AACACACTCTGGTCCCACAACCCTCTGGAGTAACACACTCAGGCTATAGGTAGAAGGATAAATCGTGGCGAAATTCACCTCCGGGACTATTATAGGGTATTGGCGAGTAGGGTTAAAACCGAGATAAGGAAAGCAAAGAGGAATAATGAGGTAAGGATAGCAAGGGAGGCGAAGACAAACCCCAAAGGATTCTACCAAATGTATCAAACTCAAACACGAGAAAAAGATTGGACCAATCGGTCAGATACAGCGGGCTCACTGATAACGACGGGGAAATGAGCAATAATTTGAATAAATATTTTCAACAGTTTTCACCACCGAAAATTTAAACATGATACCCGAGGCACCGACTCTATTCAGAGATAGTGAAGAAAACAAATTAAGTGAGATAGTAGTGACTAGTAACGATGTTAGTAAGCAAATAGACAAACTAAAGCCTAATAAGTCACCTGGTCCCGATGAGATATTTGCCAGAGTATTAAAGGAATGTAAGGAAAGGCTCAGTATGCCCTAGCAAAGTTGTTTAACATGTCCTAAAACAGGTGTAGTACAGAATCTGGAGGATAGCAGATGTAATACCGATTTTCAAGAAGGGATATATCTATCCTCTAACTACCGCCCAATCAGTCTAACATCAATAGTAGGCAAATTACTGGAAGCAATCATTTCAAACTCTATTCGAAATCACCTGGAGAAGCACCGATTGATCAATGATTCCCAGCATGGCTTCACGCGGACGTTCTTGCCTAACTAATCTATTATTTCATCAGTTTTGAATCTGTGGACGAGGGGCACAATTAGATGTGGTATATCGACTTTAGCAAAGCCTTCGACAGAGTCCCCACGAAAGACTAATTAGAAAGGTAGAAGCTCATGGCATCAAAGGTGACATCCTTAAATGGATGGGCGTGGTTACAGGACAGGAAACAGCAGTGAGCATTAACGGCACTAAGTCCCATTGGAGCAACGTCACAAGTGGAGTTAAGGCTCAGTACTTGGACCATTATTGTTTATTATATACATAAACGACATAGATATCGGCATAGACAGCAAATAAGTAAATTTGCTGATGATACTAAAATAGGACGTGTTATCAAATCTGACGAGGACTCAGCAAAACTACAGGAAGATCTAAACAAATTTTTCGAATGGTCTGAAAAATGGCAGATGAAATTCAACGTTGACAAATGTTAAGTACTCAGTACTATAGGAGATGTAAACAGGGAAACCAGTTACCAGATGAACAACGATGCCATTGTGGAATCCGACTGCGAGAGAGATTTAGGAGTAATGATAAGTAGGAATCTTAAGCCAAGTAAACAATGTGTTTTTGCTCGTAACAAGGCTAATAAAGTACTTGGGTTCATAAAAAGGAGTGTTAGTTACAAGACTAGCGAGGTCATCTTAAAATTATATCGAGTGCTTGTGAGACCTCACCTGGATTACGCAGTACAGTTCTGGTCACCGTATTACAGAATGGATATAGAATCCTTGGAAAGAATCCAGAGGAGAATGACAAGACTAATCCCGGGCATTAGGAACCTTGAGTACAGAGACAGGTTAAAGCATCTTAATTTGCACTCCCTCGAGATACGTAGAGTGAGGGGCGACATGATAGAGGTGTATAAATGGAAGTCAGGGTTAAACAAAGTGGACATTACAAAGGTACTCAAGCTATCCAACCAGAAGCGAACTCGTAACAATGGTTTTAAATTAGACAAATTTAGATTTCGGCATGAAATAGATAAACACTGGTTTGGAAACAGAGTAGTGGATGAATGGAACAAGTTACCAAATATCATCATTAACTCGAATACGCTGGATAGCTTCAATCATAGGCTGGATGCTTATATGAGCAATAAGTGTTGGGTATAAACGGGACTGCCCAGTATGGGACAATAGGCCCGCTGCAGTTTCCTCCATTCTTATGTTCTGGGTGCTAAGGAAAACATCCTTAGCACCCAGAAACATTCTGGGGAAGTAGGCTAGTGGCTGTGTGTGATATATATATATATATATATATATATATATATATATATATATATATATATATATATATATATATATATATATATATATATATATATATATATATATATATATATATATATCATGTTGCAAAGACTTCTGACTTTTTAATAACAGGTACAGTATCTGAATTCCTCTAACATAAAGTCACTTTCCATACACAACTATTAAAGCCATATATGTCAACATTCTCTGAAACATATTGACAAAATTCTGACACGTTTCATTAGTGTTATGCTAACAAATATGTCTTTGCAAAAAATTACCTGTACACACACATAAACACCTACCTGTATGCACTAAAATACTTTTAAACCTACCTATTTCTGTTTCATGTAGGGTGACCTGTACACTATTTCACAAATATCACCTAGAAAATGTCACATCTACATTTAAAATTGAACCTGTACAGTACAATAATAAGTAGTATAAATTCATCGTAGATTTAAAGTACTAAGCCCGTAAGTGCTTGAAAAATTTTATGTTAACAGGGAAATCCCACAATAAATTTACTTGCAAAACATCTGCAACAATATAACAAAGTATGAATAAAAAGGTTAGACATGATGAAAAATCAAAGAAAAGTAGCAAAAGTTATCATAACGTTGATAGATATATTGCAGTGTATTATAAGCATAAATATTTTGATGCAATCATATAAAAAGAAGACTTACCTCTACACTCAGGCCTTTGAGCTATGACAATGTTCTCAGAATCACAGGAAAGAGTATTGGTATTGAACAGTTCACCAGATCCACAGTCCCTGACTACGTATGCCATTTGAGAAGGTGTGATTTCACACTTTGTGGGAGAGAAACAGTTCATGAGCAAATCCTTACACCTGAATAATATTATTCAAGGATTACATCTAAATAAAATAGTCTCAAGAATAATTTTGTATAAGGTTCCTAGTTAATAGGAACGGTGGCAAGGTATATTCTGTTGATTGATGGTAGTACAAGTAATAACAACTAAGTATGGTAACACGGCAGATAATGAAGACAAACAGAAATATGGTTGGTGGGAAAAATCTACCTCATAGAACTTCTTGCAATCATATTCATGCTGCTTGAACTGTGGGCTCATGAGACTACATGACTCTGGGGGCAGCACAGTCGGATGTGTGGTAATTGGTGTTGGAGTTTGGTTACAGTCACAGTAGAAACGGATTTCATAGTCGTAACAATCTGGGGAACAAAGAAAACTCTTAGTTAGCTGGATGAATAACAATTTGCTTAAAAGAAATATCTATAACATGGACACTCTTAAGTTATGTCCCTTTGTACTAATCTCTATCTGTTCCAGTGTCCCAAGGCTTACCTAGTACAGTATACACACACAAGTATACAGGGGGTCTCCAAGTTAACAATGGGTTATGTCTCTGGTCACTGTTCATAAGTCACTTTGTTCTCAACTCAGAACCATATTAATTTCACAAAAAATATAAATAATACATGTACCTCTCACCAAAGGAGAAGGGTGTTATCCAGTGTAACTCTACCCAACATCACAGATTTCTCAAATTCCAGTTTCATCCTTTACTAACACTGGATAAACCAACCACTTGAATGGCTAGTGAATTGATAAATAGTGAAAATGATAATAATATACACGTATTGGACTTCAATATATGGGAATTTGATTTTTTCAGACTCTGAGAGGTGCTCTGGTCATTAAAACTGTACAGTGGTCTAATCAGATATGCTATCGGCCTACTGAGAAAAAAGACACTGAGTATGTAAGGAGGTTGGGGCTGATCAAGTGTTGCTGCATTCGTCAGGTTTATTTATTGATTCAGTATTATATTCTCATATGATTGGCCTCTTATGGTTTATGGTTCATCATGATTAATATAACATCTTCAGTAATAAAGAAAAAATACAATACTGCATGTAATTTGTAATATGACTTGAAAATAAAAAGATAAGCTGTATCACAAGGTTATTTACGCAAGATGTGTTCAAGTGAGAGCTTTCAGCACACTGGCTTACAACAGGGGTCACTATAACATACTGTACTGTATAGTATCTGATATGAAGAAACCTTCCTAAAAATGTTATTTACTACATTACCATTGAGTGATACATGATGGCTCAATTTGGCTACTTGTACCCTCAGACAACGGATTAATGAATTGGCCAGGGTAAAAGCAAATGCATAATACTGTACACTACAACATTACTTATTAAGTGATGATAAATACACTTCAATAATATTTATTAAGTGGTGATAAATACACTACAATAGCATTTATTAAGTGATGATAAATATAATGCTGTACTAATTTACTAAGTGTTGAAAATAGACATTGTGGTAAGCAGCTAAGCCTATTAGCTTTTTTACGTTTTACGTTTTATCCTCTTCACCACTGATAGGCTTGTTAGCAGTGCCGGATCTAGACCTGTGGAGGCCCATGGGAAGCCTCTTTGTGGAGGCCCCCCTCATTATAACTACCCAAGAGGATGGGGTGGCGAGTGAAGCGAGCCTAAACATCTGGGTAGTTCCGGGGGGCACTGTAAGCCCCCCGGGAAATTTTGAAATTTGAACACTTCTTTGGAGAATTTTGAAGCCATATGCAGTTATATTGAGGAAACTAGAACATTGAGAAATTTTTAATTAACTGTATATTTATTGATAGTGTACAAATTCCCAACACACACACACACACAAAAGTGAGACATTACTGGAGTCATTCATGTGGTTTCAAGTCGACCAGCCCTGATATAGCTACTGCCGCACACGTGGAGACCCCCAGATTGTGGAGGCCCTTGGGCAGCTGCCCACTTTGCCCACTCCTGAATCCGGCCCTGCTTGTTAGCCGCTTGGGCGGTCGTTCACTGCTTGCTCTTTGTAAACAAAGACTCAGGGTGTTGTGTTTTTTTTTCCAGGAAAGTCGATTCTTTTAGGATAATATTTTATAAACCTGGCTTCAAATGATCCTAAATTATATGAAAATTATGGTGAAATTGCATAAAATCGTGTTAAAGGAATCTTGGGGGGAGGCAGCCACCCACCCATGCATCCCTCCCCCCTCCCTCTGTCAGCTGCTCCCAGATAAACACTTGTCTTCCACATACAATATACTGTACTCCTACACTTATTTGTTCTTATTTTTATCTTTGTAGTACTGTACAGTATTTAATTTTCTTTTACAGGATTAGCCCACCCGGGCACAGGTCACTGACCCACATCAGGGTCTGGGGAGCGAAAATGTAATAATAATAATAATTATATAGTACTTAAAATTTATCATAAAAAATACAAAATTAAAAATGGAATAATAACATTATAATACGAATTAAAATAAAGAACCATAAAGAAAAAAAACACCCAAATTGAGACATGATATATGTATGTTGTGTTGTCAATGGTAAGAGAAACAATTGAGACCCTGCAATTGTGTGTAAATGAGGCATAAAGTCACATCAGCAACCTGGACTTGGTCACAATTTTCGTGATGCTATATGGCAGCAGGGTCTACCATTAAACAACACATTATGTTTCCAATATCTTCCCAGGCGGAAGTACCTCCCTATTTGATAGTTGCCTACTACCTACAGTTTTATCTTTATTCATACGACAAATTCTGCGGTTACTTACATATAACACTTTACAGTAAATAACAATCATCTTGGTGAAAACAGATGTTGATAACCAGACTTATGTATAAAAATATTATAATTATACTTCAGCATATATGGTAAATATGCTATTGTAACATAATGCATTAATGTTGTTACACTATTTTCAGGTATTGATGCTAGAAAATATGTGCCGGAAGCAAAGAAAAGAAAAAAGATATGACAAGAAAAATTCGTGCCGGACCATGGAATACCGGATCAGAATAGTTCAACATGTATAAAGTACGTAAACTGAAACATAATAACACAAAAAACATTGCTTACGTTGAGGAGCCTGCAGGTCATCATTACACTGAAGGCCAGTATTGGTGTTGCAGGTGACGCCCACCTGGCCTGAAGCCTCTGGGGTCAGTCCCACACCAACCACTCGACACTGTGTGTCCATTATTTGATGGGAAGCACAGAAAGTGTACTTTTCTGCCAGGGAGCGAAGGTCATCCATGTCATCCTGATAAAGAAAGACCCAAAACACAAATGAGAATGAGGCTTAACTTTCGTAACAGGTACTCTATGATATTATAAATGGTTACTGACTTCCAGGACACTGCGCTTCACATATGAGGAGGTCTGGACCATAACCTGCTAAGAGCCATATCACCGAGATGTGTTATGTATTGCACTGTATTCCCCAACCTCTCCTCTGTCCCCTGGGTAGGTCAGAGACCCAATTGGGAACATGTACAGTCTCGTTCAAGATACTTCGAACACTGCTGGAGACAGCTGGCAACTCAAGGCCGTTTGTTTACTATAGTACGCTGTAAAAATTATGAATGAATGTAAAAGGTTATCGGTGTTTGGTTACTTAGTTCACTGTTGCTTAATTAATGGTTGGGCTTTGTTGTTTCGTATCATATTATACTTCGTACTATAGTAAACAAACGGCCTTGAGTTGCCAGCTGTCTCCAACAGTGTTCAAAGAATCTTGAACGAGACTGTACATGTGGGCGAGAGTCCTTTTAATAGACTATTGTATGTCACACCTTCCTATCTGAGCATTTTCCTCCATTTTCTATTTTGGCACTTAGCGGATTATGGTATGGAGCTCCTCATATGACCCAGGTACCTTTTCTTCATCACTGTGACACTACCTCAAAAGATGATGTCTGATGACGTACATTTGACCTCTTAATGTAAAGAACTGTAATTTGTGAATTTATCTATAACTGACACACTAACATATACACATAAAGAAACTCTGATTAATAGTTATAGATGTCTACCACTCTTTTCCACTTATGAATTTGTGGCTTCAATATTCTAAGAGCTTTAACATATACCCTACTGCAAATAGAACAAAGAATTATTGTAAAGGTGAAATCCAAAAGAGGAGAAAAGCTCACCCAATTTGCTGGGTTAGGTGTATAGGTGTTCATCCAGGGTGTCCATCCATTAACACACTGAGGAGGCCCGGACGTTGACTCTGTGGTAGAGGTTGTCACTGGCAGGGTGAGAACAAGAAGGTACCTTTGCATTCATCACTCAGTAATGTGTTTTATCCCATGTAATGTAGGCTCCCTCCATGCATATTATGTTATGTCACTGAATATGGAACCAACATCACCCACACACCCCAACACCACCCACACACCACCCACACACCCCAACACCACCCACACACCACAACACACACACCAACACCACCCACACACCCCAACACCACCCACACACCCCAACACCACCCACACCCCAACACCCCCCAACACCACCCACACACCCCCAACACCACCCACACCCCAACACCACCCACACACCCCAACATCACTCACACACCCCAACACCACCCATACACCCCCAACACACACCCACACACCCCAACACCACCCACACACCCCAACACCACCCACACCCAACACCACCCACACACCACACCACCCACACACCCCAACACCACCCACACACCCCCACACACCCACACACCCCAACATCACCCACACACCCCAACACCACCCAACTACCCACACACCCACCCACACACCCCAACACCACCCACACACCCCAACACCACACACACACACAACACCACCACATACCCCAACACCACCCACACACCCCCAACACCACCCACACCCCAACACCACCCACACACCCCAACACACCACACACCCCAACACCACACACACCCCAACACCACCCACACACCCCCAACACCACCACACACCCCAACACCATACCACACCACCCATACACCCCAACACTACCCACACACCCCAACACCACCCACACACACCTCCAACACCACCCACACACCCCAACACCACACACACACACCAACACCACCACATACCCCAACGCCACCCACACACCCCAACACCACCCACACACCCCCAACACCACCCACACACCCCCAACACCACCCACACAACCCAACACCACCCACACACCCCAACACCACCCACACACACCCCACACACCAACACCCCCACACACCCCACACCCCACACACACCCACACACCCCAACACCACACCACCCACACCCCCAACACCACCCACACACCACCACACACCAACACCACACACACCCCCACACAACACACACACACCCCAACACCACCCACGCACCCCTGACACCACCACACACCCCAACACCACCCCACACACCCCCAACACCACCCACACACCCCAACACCACCCACACACCCCAACACCACCCACACACCCCAACACCACCCACACCACCCCAACACCCCACACCACCCCACACACCCCAACACCACACACCCACACACCCCACACCCCAACACCACCCACACACCCCAACACCACCACACACCCCAACACCACTCACACCCCAACACCACCACACCCCAACACCACCCACAACACCACCCACACCACCACCACTCCACACCACACCACCCCAACACCACCACACACCCAACCACCACACACACCCCAACCACACACCCCAACACCACCCACACACCCCAACACCACCACACAACACACACCCACACACCCCAACACCACCCACACACCCCAACACCACCACACACCCAACACCACCCACACACACACACACACCCCAACACCACCCACACCCCAACACCACCCACACACCCCAACACCACTCACACACCCCAACACCACTCACACACCCCAACACCACCCGGGTGGGCTAGTCCCCGTAAAAAAAATAAAAATAAAAAACAACAATATAATAATAAGAAAAATCGAAACGTGATGTCACCACAGCGGCACCCCAATTAGAGGAGCAATTCACGGTGAGTCTTAGTCAGATTCAATCACTGTGGAAGCAGGAATCATCAACAAATTCCTCAAATGAAGGAGTTTGATAGCTAGTTGGCGTGCTCAGGGGATGGAATGGAGCTGTCGAGATCTTTCCCGACATTATGTGACTTATCTCTCAAGCTTAACACCCCATTACCTGCAGCTGCTGCTTGTGAGCATCTCTTTATTCATGCTGGACTTATTATTTATTATTTGATTAATTTATTACACCCCATGAGGCGACAAGCCTAGTCACAAGACCATGCGGTCAGACAATAATACATTGGCACTTGTGTCTCGCAGGACACGTTGTGCGGTGACAATATTGGAATGATCTAAGGACAAAGGGAATTAGCTCCCACCAAAGTGTGGGTAGTGTAAATGAATTAAATGAAATTATTACAAATAAGTAAGTAGTGACATATAGTGGTTAGTGACTCGTCCTGTGGTAGGAGATCCCTGACAGTGGGATAGTCAAGGCAATAGTGTTGAAGGGTGTTAGCTTTGGGACAGTTACAGAGTTTACAGGAAGAGAAGTGAGGGTCATCCCCTGCCTCAGACATTTGCCAGATGGTCTGTATCTTAACCTAATGTGAGCAGAGACAACATTATGTCCATGTTGACGATACTTGTGTGGATAAGGAAGAAAGTGATCATAGTGTTGGGTGGATATATTTTCAGCCTGTTCACTTTCCCTGCGACGTATTGTAGGGAGAAGAGCGGCTGAACGTATTCTCTTTCAGTAGGTCATGTTGGGCTTATATTTAGGCCTAAAAGATCCTGATTTTACTATCGTGGACAAAAGTTCGCTCCTTCCCAAACTGAAGCAGTATCGACCCGCACAGCACACCCGCACCAGATAACAATCAGGGTAAGTCAGTTCGGAGACTCATTCCCGTGTCTCAGTTTCACTACAGGGAGCGAACTTTTGTCCACGATAGTACAGCCATAATTTTGAGAATCAGTTATTGATAAATCTCAATGGAAAGACTTACAAATAAACATGTGTAATGCTGTGTCTTATTTTTATCTTTAGTTAACAATTTTTTTTATAATTTACTGTGGAGTTATTTTAATATTTGAGACAAAAATTTCGTTGTTACTTTTTACTTTCAGAATTTGAGTACTTTACGAATGAGATACTTTTTAACTTTTACTTGAGTACATTGATCTTTGGATACTTTTACTTCTACTTGAGTAACATTTTGCCAAGGTAACAATACTTTTACTTAAGCAACAAAGTCCACAATTTTTTACAACTCTGGACTTGACCAACACTGGAGTAGGTTCAGATACAGTCAGGAGCCGGTGCATGCCCAGTACTTGCCAAGAGTGAGTAACAGAGACGTGACCAAACACCCAAGCAGCTAACTAGCTGATCAGTGGTTTCTTTCCCCCACTTTGTTTTCTAATTTCTAGCTTCCTTGAGAACCGATCCATGGCAGTTGTTGTCGAGGGATAAATTTCTCGCTCTTTCTCTACCAATAGTGGTGTCGCACAGGGTTCTGTTCTTTAAACCTAATCTCTTCCTTCTTTTTATCAATGATTTACTTCACAATACAACTAATTCTATCCATTCTTACTCTGATGATTCTACTCTTCACTCTTCACATTTTCCCTTCCTCCTAACTCTCAAACTAGATCTGTTTTTAGAGCTGATATCATTACATCTATCAATGCGGATCTTCGCAGCATCTCCGAATGGGGAGGTAGAAACTTGGTTAAATTCAATAGTAAAAATACTCAGTATTTACCAATTACACTTTCTAAATTAGATGATCTCCCACCAATTACATTTCAGGAAGCTATCATTCTGCCAAATTTTAAACTAAATATGCTAGGCCTCACCATTTCGTCTAATAAGTCATTGAAGCCATACATAAGATCATAAGAAAATAAGGAGTCTGCAATAGGCCGGTTGGCCTGTGCATGGCAGCTCCTGTCGAGAGTTACTACCACTCTCTATCATCCATGAATCTATCTAGCCTCCTTTTGAAACTTTCCAGAGTTCCCGCACTTACTACAAAGTTGCTAAGCTTGTTCCACTCGTCCACCACCCTATTTGTGAACCAGTTTCTTCCTATCTTCCTCCTAAACCTAGACTTATCCAACTTGAATCCGTTGCTCCGAGTCCTATCCTGCTCGGATATTGTAAGAACTTTATCTATATCCCCTTTATTGATTCCTTTCACCCACTTAAAAACTTCTATCATATCTCCCCGCACTCTTCGTCTTTCCAGGGAATGCAAGTTAAGTTTCTTTAAACTATCCTGATATGGAAGGTTTCTAAGTCCCGGAATCATTTTTGTCATTCTTCGCTGCACCGACTCTAGTGAATTTATATCCATTCTATAATAGGGGCACCAGAACTGAACCGCATAATCGAGGTACGGCCTGATTAGCGCAAGATAAAGTTGCAATAAGACCTCTGCACTCTTGTTACTTACACTTCTAGATATAAAACCCAATACTCTGTTTGCCTTATTTCGAACATTAACGCACTGTTTTCTAGGCCGTAGGTCCGGGCTTACAAGTACCCCTAGGTCTCTTTCACAAGTCGACTTCTCTAGGTTGATGTTGTTAAGGCTGTATACATTATCAGTATTTGTTCTTCCAATATTAAGTACGCTGCACTTGCTGGTGTTGAATTTCACTTGCCATTTTTCAGACCACCCCTGCAGTTTATTTAGATCCTAATGTAATGCATTTGTATTCTGCCCTGAATTAATCTGCCACCCTATTTTGGTGTCATCCGCAAACTTGCTTATGTCACTGCTGATCCCAGTATCTAGATCGTTTATGTAGATTATGAACAAGAGAGGGCCTAGTACTGACCCCTGGGGAACCCCATTGGTTACACGGCCCCACTCAGATTTAACACCATCTACGCTGACCCTCTGCGTTCTATCGGTGAGCCATGATTTTATCCAATTTAAAACTTTCCCCTCGATACCATGAGCCTTAATTTTTCTCAGAAGCCTCTGATGCGGTACTCTGTCAAATGCTTTGTTAAAGTCTAAGTAAATAACATCATAATTTTCGTCATTATCTATTACCTCGAAGACTTTCCTAAAAACGTCAGCAGATTTGTTAGACAAGATTTTCCCTTTGTAAACCCATGTTGAGAGTCATAGATTAATTTGCTTTTCTCTAGATGCGATCGGATGCTATCTCCTATAATTGATTCAAGAAATTTCCCCACTACTGACGTGAAACTGATTGCCGGTAATTTGACGCTGATGCTCTGTCTCCCTTTTTGAATATGGGTACTACATTTGCCTGTTTCCACAAGTCTGGCACAACTCCGGTGTCTAATGATTTTGTAAATAAGTTTACGAGGGGTCCGCTAATCTGTTCCCTACACTCTTTCAAGACTCAAGGGAAAATTTCATCCGGCCCTGGGGATTTTGTTTTCTTTAGTTTATTTATCTTCTTAAGAATATTCTCTTTTCTGATAGTGATATTCTTTAATTTCTCTACTTCCTTTCCCTTAAATATCAGTTCCACCTCTGGAATTTTATCGCAAATTTCTTCTGTGAAAACTGATAAGAAGTAGCTGTTCAATGCTATGCTTATTTCTTCACTGCCATTTATCACTTCTCCCCTCCCTGACTTTAAAGGCCTAACTTTGTCCTTCACCTTTGTCCTATATACCTGGAAAAATCCCTTGGGATTCGCCTTGGATTCTCTTGCTATTTTTATTTCATAGTCTCTCTTTGCTTTCCTTGCATTTTTCTTAACATTCCTAGATAGTTCATTATACCTATTCTGAGCTGCTCCTCCCCTCCCTTTAATTTCTTATATATTCCTTTCTTTATTCCTATGCCATGTTTAAGTTTTCTGGTCATCCACCTTGGCTCATTCTTATTTGACCTAATTTTTCTGTATGGTATATTTTGTTCTTGTTCTTTATGTAGTATACTAGTGAATATATTATAGTCATGATCAATTGTTGTGTCATCTATGACCACACCCCTTCCTACTGGGGACTGACGTGACTGTTCCCAGGTGACCTCACCTAGGTACCTTCTTAACCCCTGATAATCCGCCAACCGAAAGTTTGGGACTCTGACCATATTGTCATTGTTTTTTGTTCCCAATTTAGGGTGAACCTGATTTCTCTGTGATCACTGTTCCCTCGTTCTTCCCCTACTGTGATATCTCTGATAATATTTTCTTTATTTGTTAATACTAGGTCTGATATATTGTCACCTCTAGTAGGTTCTGCAATTAGTTGTTTAAAAAAATTGTCATGTTCTGCTTCTAGGAAGTCTTCAGATTCATAGTCACCTACAATGTTGTCCCAGTCAATATTTCTGAAGTTGAAATCCCCCATAATGCATAGGTTGTTATATTTTGCTGCCCTACTCATTTCCTGCGATATAGGCTGAGCTGCTTCTTTCCCAAGGCTTGGGGGCCTGTAAATCACTCCCATAATTAGTGTTTCTCTTCCTTCCGTGATTTCTACCCATACAGACTCGGTTCCTATTTCACCCTTTATTGATTATAATCAATAAAGTTGGGAATGCTGTACAGATGCTGTAGCTACTTCACTCCTAAGCAGTTGCTCCAAGTATATAAGGGATTCATTAGTCCTAATTTCGAGTACTGCTCTCATATCTGGGGTGGCTCTTCTTCTGTCCAACTGTTAGTTAGGGCGGAATCAAAGGCATTTCGTCCTATTAAATCTCCTCCTTTAATTGACAATCTTTCTTCCCTTTCTCTTTGCAGCAATTTTGTTTCACTCTCTCTCTCTTTTACAGGTACTTTAACGGGCAATGTTTGGTGGATTTGGCAACCTGTGTACCGCCGGCAAGACCGTGGGTTCGTAACACTTGTCTTACCCGCGGTGCCCACCGTTTCTCTGTGGATGTCGGTCACACAAGAATAACCCGTTATCGTACATCCTTCTTTCCTCACACAGCCAAACTGTGGAATGATCTGCCTTATTCTGTGTTTCCATACTTTTATAATCTGTCTCACTGTAAAAAGCTGGTTTTCCAGCATCTTCGTGGTGTCGATTAATATAACCTTATTCTTTTCTATTTTCAATTTCTTTGTTCTTTTTTTTCGCCCCCCAGGCCCCGTTGTGGGTCGTTCGACCTGTGCCCGGGTGGCCTCTTTCCCGTAAAACAAAAACAAAAACTAACAGCAAAATAAAATGAAATCTGAATCGGAAAGTAATCTTTTATCTGGTAGCGGTGGGGGGATGGGTCTGTTGGTGGTGGCGGATGGGTCTGTTGGTAGTGGGGGATGGGTCTGTTGGTGGTGGGGGAGGTGGGGGGGGGTTGGTGGTGGGGGGATGGGTCTGTTGGTGGGGATGGGTCTGTTGGTGGTGGGGGATGGGTCTGTTGGTGGGGGATGGGTCAGTTGGTGGTGGGGATGGGTCTGTTGGTGGGGATGGGTCTGTTGGTGGGGGACTATTTTTTGCTGGGTTCATATTTTCTTTTACTGTATTCATAATATTCTTGTACTGTCAGCCTCTTATGGTTATTGTTTCATCATTAATACTATAAATATTAAATAAATGAAAAAAAAATATATATAATATATAATTTGACTTCAAAATAATGAAGACTGTACAGTACAGGTTTTTGATAATGTGAAATAAATTATAAATTCTTACCTACAACAGGAGAAGAAGGTGTCGTCGTCCCTGTTAAAGGAAAATGTACAGTACAGTACAGTATAGTATAGTATAGTACATGTATAGTGTAGTGTTTAGTAAGTGTACACAAAGCAATGGCTACTCTTACTTCATTAGGCACACTTACTGTATAACTATATTAAATTATTTCAATACAAGTATTGTAAATACAGTATTGTGCATCTGTGAAAAGTAAATTTCAAATGATGATCATGATAACAATGTGAGGCACTAGTCACTAGACCCAGGGGTTCTCAAACTTTTTCTCACCCGGTACCCCCTTTATGTGTTTGCCCTTAGGACAAATATTTCTTTTACCTGTAACAATCCAGGACTGTTTTCTAAGCCAACATATAATCGAACCCACCCGAGGTAATAATATACTTGATTTAGTTCTGTCAAACAGAGAAAACCTCATCAGTAATGTCGAGGTAGGGAACGAACTTGCTAACAACGATCACAAAGAAATAAGATTCCAATTTAAATTTCAGGGCAGCCCCAAGGAAAATTCCACTTAAGTCCCAGATTTCAAAAGGGCAAACTTTGATAGTTTGAAGAGGCAGCTGAGAGAAGGGGCATCACGCTTGGGGGTGAATTACATGACCTCACATGAGGTGACCTCACACAATGTACCCACAGAGTGTGAGCTCACCTTACCTGGAGACCTGACGGTTGGGGATGACCTGATCACGAGACCTGAGGTTGACGAGTTCCACAACAATTTAAATAACGAGTTACTTAATGCACAAAGGCAGAACATACCATACAGACAACTCAGATCAGACAACAATGACCCTAAATGGATACATAATTATTTAAAGAATATTATTGGAGAATAAATCGTGGTGAAATTTACCTCCGAGATTTTTATACGTTATTGGCCAGTAGGGTTAAGACCGAGATAAGAAAAGCAAAGAGGAATTATGTACTGAAGGTAGCAAGGGAGGCGAAGTCAAACCCCAAGGGATTCTATTAAATGTATCAAACTAAAACACAATAACAAATTAGACCAATACAGTCAGATACCGGCGAGCTAACTGATAACGACGGAGAAATGAGCAATAATCTGAAAAAATATTTTTCAACAGTTTTCACCACAGAAAATTTAAACATGATACCCGAGACACCGACTCTAAACAGAGATAGTGAATAAAATAAATTAAGCGAGATAGTAGTGACTAGTAACGATGTTAGTAAGCAAATAGACAAACTAAAGCCAAATAAGTCACCAGGTTCCGATGAGGTATTTGCCAGAGTATTAAAGGTATGTAAGGAAGAGCTTAGTATGCCCTTAGCAAAGTTGTTTAACATGTCCTTACGAACGGGTGCTGTACCAGAATCCTAGAGGATAGTGAATGTAATATCAATGATGTGGTATATCTCGACTTTAACAAAGCCTTTGACAGAGTCCCCCACGAAAGACTAATAACAAAAGTGGAGGCTCATGGCATTAAAGGAGATGTTCTAAAATGGATTAGGGCGTGGTTACAGGACAGGAAACAATAAGTGAGTTTTAACGGCACTAAATCCGATTGGAGCAATGTCACTGGCAGAGTTCCCCAAATTTCAGTACTTGAACCATTATTATTTGTTATATACATAAACAACATAGACATCGTCATAGACAGCAACATAAGTAAATTTGCTGATGACACTAAAATAGGACGTGTAATTAAATCTAACGAGGACTCCGCAAAACTACAGGAAGATCTAAACAAATTTTTCGAATGGTCGGAAAAATAGCAGATGAAATTCAATGTGGACAAATGTAACGTACTCAATGTAGGAGTTGTAAACAGGAAAACTAGATACCAGATGAACAACGATGTTATTAAGAAATCCGACTGCGAGAAAGATTTAAGAGTAATGATAAGTAGGAATCTTAAGCCAAGTAAACAATGTGTATTTGCTCGAAACAAGGCTAATAAAGTACTTGGGTTCATACAAAGGAGTGTTAGTTATAAGACTAGCGAGGTCATCCTAAAGCTATATATTGAGCTTGTGAAACCTCACTTGGATTACGCAGTTCAATTCTCGTCACTGTATTACAGAATGGATATAGAATTCTTGGAAAGAATTCAGAGGAGAATGACAAGAGTAATCCCGGGCATTAGGAACATTGAGTACAGGGACAGGTTAAAGCATCTTAATTTGCACTCCCTCGAGAGACGTCGAATGAGAGGCGATATGATAGAGGTGTATAAATGGAAGTCAGGACTAAACAAAGGGGACATTACAAAGGTACTCGAACTATCCAACTAGGAGAGACCTCGTAACAATTTTTTTAAATTAGACAAATTTAGATTTAAGCGCGAAATAGGTAAATATTGGTTTGGAAATAGAGTAGTGGACGAGAGGAACAAGTTACCACATATCATCATTAACTCGAATACGCTGGATAGCTTCAAACATAGGGTGGATGGATATATGAGCAATAGGGGTTGGGTGTAAATGGAACTGCCCAGTATATCCCAGCTGTGAAAATGCCGGCAACTTTAAAACTACCCACAGGCATTCTAGGGTACATCCAGGGTGTCATCCGTGAATAATAGAGGACCGTGAAATACAAATTTGCAAATTATTCGGACGCACTGTATTAATTTTTGCCAGCCACCAATGTACTCCCTGGAAACCCTCCTGTTTACCCCTGGGGGTTCACAAACCCAAGTTTGAGAATCCCTGAGATAGACAATAATTTCACAGTTCATAACTTAACCAATCATGAATAAAATAAGTAAAACATTACATTAAAATCTTAGAATGTGTGGCAATGAACTTTACCATGCTCACAATATGTTCAAGTCACCACATCACTATCCTTAATTGTTGATGAATTTATTATATTTATTCAGTTACATACACAGAGTACCATATATGTCTCAGGAAACCTTCTTTCTATAACTAAGACTTTAACATACAGATGATTCTTGGCCCTCATCTTTTAAGTGACATGCAAGAAAATCAATATTTTACTTTCTTATACTAATACTGTATTGTATTTCATTCCAGATCACCCATAATAAACAATCCAATAAGCTTACAATACCCCCAAAAATCATATGAATTAGCTCACCTATGATGTCACAGCCCTTGAGCTCTACTCTGAGAGAGATGGCAACGTTGAAGTGAATAGGGATGATTCTGACATAGCGAGCAAACACAGGTTCTGGGAATAGGTTCGCCACAGGAGTAGTCCCATCCGTATTGCCAGTAAATTCCTGCGGACCAATAAATGCCAATAAAATCAAATATTCCTTATTATAAAAATATTAGCTTGACCTTTTATATAACTGGTACATGTTCTTTCATTTCTTCTGCAAAAAATAAAAATAAAGTAATTATAAGGGGTTTTGTTTCCACATAAGTGTTATCTTCACCATCAGGCCTTTTTTATACCTAACCACAGTACAGCTGAATATGACCTTAAGAAATGATGCCTCTCCACATGTCTACGATGGGAGACTGAGGCTGGTGTTACATATGCTAAGATGTTATCAGAAAGTCAATGTTCGGAGCAACAACTGTAAAAGTCTATCAGCCATTTTCTCAGCTGCTTGGGAGCTAGGTGAACATGTTTGGGAGCTAGGTGAACATGTTTGGGAGCTAGCTCCCGAACGACTGAGAAAATGGCTGTATATTTCTATTCTCTTCAGTGTGTGATCTTGACAACAGAAGTTTCAGGCACTTCAAGTCTTACAGTGGGATGACAAAATTACTAAAGTAGTGATGAAATATTGTATATGAACAGTTTTCAGAATTAATTACATTTATGAGGGAGTTTATGTATGAATAAAAAATATTATGTAAAAATGTCACAAAGACATTGTTCCTGTAAAAAGGTATCATATTTTTTATCTATTTTTCCCCAAAGATAAAGGAGTAGGTCAGTAAGGGATATACACATACCAGTGAGCCCGTTCAAGGGCAATAATGTACACACCACTAAAAAATTATTCGGCACCTGTGTCATATTGTATCACGTCGTAAGGGTGCGGAATAATTTTTTAGTGGGTGTACAGTATATATGACTGGAGAACTTGTTAGGTGAAACACAACGCAACCTCACCCTCTGATCTAGCCTTCATGTATTAACCGACATCGGATGAAAAAACATCTGTTTATAAGACTATTTACTGCCTATATGGGGAGAACAAAGATCATATCATCACTTAACGACTCGCTCATTGTTTAGGCGGTCGGTCCATTCTTTTGTTATTTTAACTTTACTCTCCAGTTTTAGTACATGAGAAAATTTGCCAAATTTGGTAGTGTCACCCTTCCCACATCTTTCCTGGGCCAGAACTCAAACCAATGCCATAGCTGATACATTGTACCATCAACACTTAATATACTATTCAAGCACTTCAAGAAAATTCTAAAATTATGTCCCCCATTGAGACAAAGGATTACTGTATTAGATATAATGAGATTGTAGAAGATTTAAAAAGATATAAACTTAAGCATTATAAAATCATAATTTATTTTTGCCATTCAATCAGAACTTCAAAAGTTATCAAATGAGAGAGGCACTTCTCTGGAGGTTAGCTTCCATCCTCCATATTCAGATCAAGAGTAGTACAGTATGTGCTCACCAAATCCAACCTCAATACGGAGGTTGGATCTCCAGATTGCCAATATGGTGATAGTAACTTGGGTCAGGATATTGAAAAAGGTCAAAAAATGCAAACATCCTCATAGAATGATGAATTTCAATCACGAATCTTGAATAAGGGGTCACTAATAATTTTTCACGAATAAATGAAGTTGCAAATATGAAATTTGCAAATACAGGGGATAATTGTACCTAAAAAGAGTTAAATTTTGATTGGGACAGAAAATGGAAAAGTGCCGTGGTTTTCTTTGCTTTTTACTTAATGTGTCCCTCATAATTTGTAAAATCTCATAATCCATAAGGGAAAGAGACCCTATTATTTAAAATTATGGGCATTTTTCTGTATGTTACTGATGATATTCTTATGAATATTACATTTTATTCAAAGTGCTACAGGATGAACCTCCCTAGTTCATATTTCCGTGAACCAGAAACTCACAAGGTTCTGAGAGTTTTAGGAAATAAATAATAAAGACTTCACTCTGGATGCATCAGAGAATTAGGTGTTTGAATTACAAAAGCCTTTCTTGATCCCCCTCCTCCCAAAACAAAAATGGGTTCCCTAGGCATGACTGCCCTTTATGGATAACATGGACACAGCACTATGTACACTATGCCTTCGGTATACAAGGAAGTAGCAGGGCCAGTACTGCACTCAACTACCTTGGTTTTCCCAACCTGTAAGTTCAGGCATCAGTTTACTGTATATCTGGGTGGACTCTAAGTGCCCTGGGATTGAACCAACGACCCTTAGGTCAAGAGAGCACTGTATAAAATTTGAGAAAACAATGTTATTGAGACAAGAGGGGAATATCTAAAAAAATTGTAATAAAAAATAAACCATTGTTTAATTTTAAAAGAATGCATTATACCTCATAACCATCAGTTTTTATAATGTTGGTACAAACCATTAGCAACACATATTGGTGAAGCTCCACAGTACCTCGTCAACTTCAATTAATAAATTCATATTCAGCACAGTATTCATTTCTCTATTGTAATACTAAGAAGGTAACAAACTAGTTATGAGTGCAAGGAATATAAATTATTACTTATGTACATTTTACCCTATTACTTATAACTATGTCAACTTCCATGAACTGGATAATTTTATAATTCAGCTCTTCTCAAGTCTCAATGTTGTTGTATTTGTAAGGTTTAATCTGTATTACTCTTGGACCTTTGGGCATCTCAATAACATTCACAGTATTAAGAAGAGGCAATTTCCCCAGCTCAATCAATATGCTGAATGCAAGCTGACATATTCAAGTGGTGGAACATGTGTGAAATTACAGTAACACAGCGAATTAGGCGACCTTCGGATAAGACGAGGCCCAAATTTCAGTCTAAATTCTATGGTTTCAGCTCATATCTGTGGTATGAGACGACTCCTCAAACTACCAAATCACCTGTGGTTAAGTTTAGGTAAATGACCACCAAACCGTATTGGTGGTTTGGTGATATGTTTAATGTATTAAATACTTTGAATGTTTAATGTATTACCAGTAAATCGTTTGAATTGTGTTATCAGAGAGGCATACAATAAGGTAAATACCATGTGTAAACTATCTTCCGTAGTGGTACATTAAGGTCAATGACCATACTGTTTACATACCCATGTGTCGTGGTGACACCTCACTTGATTGCATGGGATAAAGTGAAAGTAGAGACTGTAATAAAACCTTTCAAAAAATGCTGTATCTCTAATGCAATGGACGATTTGTTGTGGGACACTGACGACGAAGCAGAAGCCAACTCACCACATTCCGACTAGGACCCCTACGATGACAACATAAACAATGAAACTCAGGATGTGTATGATGAGCTCTTTGCTTCAGATGATTCCAGTGAAATTGATGGATTTTAAATGTATGTGAATATTTTATTTTACAATACTTTCATTGGTTTAACACCATATCGGTATATAGACTTTAGTGAGAAATAAACATTTTAAACACTACAACAGCTGTTTCAAGGTTGATGACCCCAGCTTCCTTCACTGACCCACAACATTAAGGTAATTTGTACAGAATTTTGATGTCACTTTTTGTATTATAATTTCGCATCTGGCATATAAGACGACCCCTGGTTTTGGGGCAATTTTTTCATGATTCAAGTGTCGTCTTAGCCGCCGAAATATATGGTACTTCTTCCATGGAATATTAGTTGAAAAACTTTTATCCTGTAATATAAGTCATACTGTATTGTGTTTGACTTAAACTTACCTTGGTTAATGGAGAAAACCTGTCTTTAATACTCTTAAAATCTTCTCCTGTGTCTGAAATATGAACAGCAAACTTCTCCACATAACGAGGAAGTATTGGATGTCCTTGAGTTACCACACCAGTCACTTCTTTTATTTCTCCAAGATCAACCTGTAAAATCCACATTATTTTAAATATTGTACTGTACTGTATAAATACAGTAAAGTGTATTGTACAAATACTTTATGCATAGTACAGGCTTAGGATCCTTCATCTGAACACCCTGGGACTAATTGTGTTTTAATTTAAGATAGTTCCCTTTTTTTTGGAGGTCTAGGCCAACTTACATTGCAATAACCTAGCCAAGACCAGATTATACAATACAGGCTCAGATCCACACTTGAAATATGACAGATGCAATTTTTTTACTTCATCACCATTAAGTAAATATGATTTTGCCTAGATATTTATTATTTTTTAAGTTTTATTGATGTTTGGTTTGATATAATGATGTAACTAAGGAAACAACACATTAAGTAAATGTTGGTAATGACATTCTCCCCCAGTACAATCACCATTTCTCATTATATACAGTACAGTTAATACATTCTTACTGTTTCTTCTTACTGTTTATAATTCCTACTTTTTCACCTTCTCAGTGCCGTTTCTTCTTTCTCTCATTTGCAGGTAAACACCGTACCACTTTTCCCTTATTCTTTATATTTACTTTTATCCTCTTCACCACTGATCGGCTCGTTAGCCTCTTAGGCGGTCGGTCACATCTCTGTTATGCACTGTTGGCAAGTACTGGGCATGCACCGGCTCCTGAATCTATCTGAACCTGCTCCAGTGTTGGTTAAGTCTGGTCTTGAAAGAGCTCACATTCGGTGCCGTCACAACACTCTCCGGCAGGTTGTTCCAAGAGTTCACAATTCTCACTCCGAAAAAGTTCGCCCTCACAGTTTTCTTGACTTGAGGCTTCTTTAACCTTGAGCTGTGACCACTTGCCACTTGTGGGATGGGCGTCCGCCAGCTTCAGGTATGGACACTTGCGTGAGTAGTGCCCTCCGAGATGTTTATACACATCAGTTAGGTCACACTTCGCCTGTCTGTAGCTTAAGCTAGGCATTTTCAGGTGTTCTAATCTCTCTGGGTAACTGAGGTGCCGTAGTGCAGGGACCAGTCTGGTGGCCCTCCTCTGGACATTTTCAATCAACTGACAGTCTGTAGCATATCTCGTGGATCAGACAGGGTGACAGTACTCCAGACAGGGAAGCACCTCACTCTTGAAGATCGTTACGACGGATGGACTGTTTAGATATCTGAATAGTTTATCTTCAGCTTCTCACAATGGCCCAAGAACTTAAACTTATTGTCAATATACACACTCAGGTCCTTTTCACATTCAGTCTCTATTTATGCAGTTTCTTCATCCCTTTGGGACATATGATACGCCTCCTTACCGTTGGTACGACCCAAGTACATCCTCTTACACTTCGTGGCATTGAATCTTAGCCGCCATTTCTTCGACCACTCTTGAAACTGACAAAGATATTTCTTCAGCTCTTCACAATACGCTTGGTTCTTAATTTTCCGAAATAACATGACGATTTCATGCCATTCATCACCACTCACTACTTGCAATCATGCAGACAGTCTTCTATCTATGCTATGACACTTCCCTAAATTCTGTACCCTTCCAGTTTAATTCACAGCCTTTCATGGTGGTACGCTGTCAAAAGCCTTGGCAAAATCTAGGAATATAATGTCGATATTACCACTCTGTTCCAGAATTTGAGACAAAAAATCCAGTACCTTCAGTAACTAAGTAAAGCAGTAGCGTCCCGGCCTAAAACCATGTTGGCAATCCTTAACAAGGTTGTTTCATAGTAGATGTTCCGTCATGGCATCTGTTATAATGCTCTCTAGTACTTTACACACTACACTCATGGTTATTTAATGGAGAGGGAGTCTGCCCCCCTCTCCATTATGACTGTCTGGTCCCATTGACTGTTCGACACTTCCTGATGGAGTGCCTCAGTCAAAAAGATATTCATCGCAAGCACCTCTCCCAGTGCCGGGGGGAGGGGAGGAAACCGATCTTATTGTCTGTCTTTAGTGCTGGGGGGAGGAGTGGGTAGAGTGGAGGAAGCCGGCCTTCTATACAAGCTTCGAGTTTGATCTATTAACATTTAAATGTTTTTATGGAAGTTCTATGTTATTTATTACTTAAGTTTTTTTATTTTTTATCTTGCATTATTTGATTATAGTCTTAATTTTAATTTGGCGACATATGTCATTAGCTGTTACATCGCCAAGGATATAATTACCACAATCAATCAATCAATTAATCTCTGACCTCCTGTATCTGCAAGCTGTTTGAAAAGATGGTCAACTCGCAGTTAGTATACTACCTGAAGAAGAATGACCCTTCTTTCAACATATCAATATGGCTTCCGGTAGATGCATTTAACAACAGATGCTCTTATTCGTCTTGAGTCCTCAGTTTGTGAGGCCTTTGCTCATTACCAGCATCTCGTCTGTGTTCTATTCGACCTAGAGAAAGTATATGACAGATTGGAGATTTAGTATTCTTAAGGAGCTTCACAATTTTAGTTTTTGGGCTGTCGAACTTTTAGGGTCCTCATTGCCACAGAAATATCAACACCACATATTCAGGAGGACGGGGTTCCTTAGGTCAATATCTTGAGTGTGACCCTATTTGTCAAGCAATAAAAGGGGTAGCAGCATCGGTTCCAGGTGGTATGATCAACCTCATTGTATGTAGACAACTTGGTCATTTAGTATGCAGATTCCTGCATGTCAGTGGTTGAACGTTGCACGAAAATTGCACTAGAGAGGGTTTTTCATTGTACCACAGAGCATAGTTTCAGATTTTCTCCCTTGAAGACCGTTATGCATTTATGCAGCCTCCGAGATGTTCACCTAGATCCCAATCTACAGCAACTATGGTCACCATGTGTGGTATGTGTCACAGAGATTCATTTCCTGGGCATTATCTTCGACAACTGGCTGTTGTGGCAGCCACGTATTCATTACCCCAAAGAGTCTTGCCAGTGTGCTCTCAAGTTGTTGGGAGTCTTGGGGCACACGTCATGCTGTGCTGACCAAGGAACTCTGCTCCACCTTTACCACATGCTAGTTAGACCCAAACTGGATTATGGGTGTGAGGTGTACGCCTCAGCCACTGAGACTAGACTCAATACACTGAACTCAATTTATTATGATGGGGGTGCGCCTGGCGATTGGTGCCTTCAGGTCTTCACCAATCCCATGTCTGCTAGTTGATAGTGATGGGCCACCCCTTGATCTTCAGTGTCAGTATCTCCAGGTCCAGTATTGGGTTTGTCTGCATCACCTTCTACAGTCTGTATCGTTGATGAGACTATGTCCCCACACTACACTCAGCAACTTTTTTGGCTTCAGGTTAAGGGAGGTTGTGAATCTTCTTTGTCTTTCTCCTGTTCAGATATGCCCCATGCAGTTAGTTACCTAGAGCCACTCCGTGGATTCTCCTTGAAGTTCAAGTCTGTCAGTATTTTAGCGAATGGAAGGATTTACGCCTTCCCTGTATGGTTCGTTTTTTTTTAGAGCATGCCTCCTCTCACATAGGGACTATCCCTGTTTACACCGACAGCTCTAAGTCAGATACGGCAGAGATTATTTTTACCTAGCCACATTGCAATTTTACAGTTTTTAGCGATTCTAGTAGTGCTCTCCAGGCCTTAGCTAGTGACTCATCATCTCATTCCTTGTTAATAGCTATTTTAGAATGGCTGATTATCATTTAATGTCGGACACCAGAATGTCAGTTTTTGCTGGGTTCCATCCCATGTGGTGGAAAAGGAGAATGAGTGTGCTGATGCTGTGGCAAAAGCAGCTATTTCTTCCCCAGTGGCACATCATTCCCCCTCTATCTGCCTCTGATATGAAGCCAGTAATAAGACCTACCATCTGCTTGAGTTGGCAACGTAGGTGGGATGCTGTCGGAGCAAACAAGCTCCACGACATCCACCCTGATTTGGGTACCTGGGGATATCAGGGACTGTTGTGCCACTGGGAGACTGCTTTGGCCTGCCCCCGCATTGGCCACACATGGATGCCTGGTTCCATTGACTGTTCGACACCTTCTGATGAAGTGCCCCAGTCTTGGAGTCAATCATTGTAAGCACCTATCTGAGTACCAGGGGGAAGGGGGTTGAGACAGGTCCGATCGTCTCTCTTTGGTATGGGGGGCAGTGCAGGTAGCATGGGAGGGGACGTCCACTCCTTCGTGGAGTAACTCCGCCTTCTATACAAGTGGAGTTTTATCTATTAACGTTTAAATGGATTTTATTAAAATGTTATGCTATTTCTTATTTATGTTCTTTAATCTGCATTATTTGTTTTTAGCCTTCTAAGTTTTTAGTTTAATTCGGCGACTTATGACCTAAGCTGCTGCGTGGCCAAGGATGTAATTACCACAATCAATCTTCTTCAAGAACTGTTGAAGAAGAACTGCAAAACATTCAGTCCATTGCACAAAAACTTGGGTACCCTTCATTGTTTGTTGAGCGTTGTTTTAAAAGGGGTAAACAATCCTTTTATTCTACTCAAACTAGACATGTTCCTACATTTAAGAATATCTTTACTACCTTATCGCAAAGAGTTTGTCCCGTTAGTTCAGTCCCTTAAATTATTAAACATAAATGTTGTTTTTAAGTGTGACTCAGCTATTACTAATATGTTAATTAAGAATAGCCCAACCGTTAATGGAAATGGAAGTGTTTACTGTATTCCATATATCAAGTGTAATGAAAATTATGTATATAGGTCAGACTGGGAAAGCATTACAACTTAGAATTAAACATTACAAGAACAATATTAGAACAGCTTCTGAAAGCAGTGCACTGTTCGTTCATATAAGGAACAATAATCATCCCATAGATTGGGAAAACAGTTTAAAAGTGTATAAATCATCATGAGTCACAAAGACTTCTGGTTGAAGCAAGTTTGATTAGAGAAATGTATTCGTTAAACATTAGTGATGGTCAGTACAAAACTGATCATACGTTACACAAATTTATTTGTCAGTGGCCCAAGGTTAAAATGATTTGAAAGTATTTGAGGTAGATGTAGGATAGATGATTACTGGGTCTCATATATTATTTACCTGACTTGACTAGTTATCTCGCCCGTTCGTATAATCTCTTATTATGTTTGCTGTGTGGTTGGTGTGTGGATTAGTGAATGTCATGTTTTTTTTTTACCTAACCTCATGTTTTGTAAGGTCACCCTGTGTTCATAAGCGTAGTGTCTGCGTTCTTGTGCCAGTGGATGCACTTCTCTTCCCTCATCCCTTCGTAATTTCTCTTGTAATATTTGCACCTTGGCCTGGCTTTATCATGAACGAGGTAACACTTAAATCGGAATGACAACACTACATGGTGATTTGTGCCAACTGGGACTAGATGTTCCAGTTTGGCCACCATACCCTCCTCGTTTATAATGATGAGGTCTAGTGGCTTGGGTGTTTGATCCCCTCTGTAATGTGTCGGGTCTCTAACATGTTGGAACAGAAAATTATCTCTCAGAGTTTCTACAAAAAGAGTAGCAGGGTTATTCAAGTCATTTGGGGTGAACTCGTTTCTCTAGTCGATGTCGCCATAGTTAAAGTCCCCCATGATAAGGAGGTGGCTAGGGTTGAGCATCGCTACGTTGTCTATGAAGTCTCTCAAGTCCCTTTGGTTTGGTAGGTTACAGTTTGGGGATCTGTAGATACACCCGACAATAATTAAGTCCCCTCCCTATAATTTAAATTTACACCACATGGATTCTTCAAAAACATCCTCTCCCTGTACCCTCGCCTGGCTGGCTCTAAGGTCTTGCCTAGCATAGAGAACCCCTCCTGCAAGTTTCTTGAGAAAGGTTCGTAAATGATTCATATCCATCAATACTGAACTCGCATTCCTCTGCGTCGATTCTCCTGTTCTTGTACAACAGTTCTACAACTCCTACTATATCAGGTTGGGGTACCTTCAGTAGTGTTTCAAACTCCTCTCTCTTATCAAGGAATATGTCAGTGTTAGTGTATATGACATTCAAGTCAGAATTTGTTCTTAGTAACGTCTTTGCTCATATTAGTAACTCCGGCCCCCTCCATTCTCAGAAGATGCAGCATAGGTAGTAGGTAGATAGGCAGCTACCAAACAGGGAGGTACTACCGCCTGGGAAGATATTGGAAGCATAATGTGTTGTCTAATGGTAGACCCTACTGCCATATGGCATCACGAAAATTGTGACCAAGTCCCAGGTAACTAATCCGACTTTCTGCCTCATTTACACACAATTGCTGGGTCTCAATTGTTTCTCTTAACACTGACAACATAACATACATATATATTGTTTCTCACTCTTTATCTTTTTTTTTCTTTATGGTTCTGAATTATGATTATTGCAATTATTATTATTATTATTGTTATCATTATTATTTTATATTTTTATTTTATTTTACTTATCTGAATTATTCTTATTCTTATTCTTATTCTTATTATTATTATTATTATTATTATTATTATTATTATTATTATTATTATTATTATTATTATTATTATTATTATTATTATTATTATTACATTTTCGCCCCCAGGCCCCGAGGTGGGTCAGTGACCTGTGCCCGGGTGGGCTAATACCCACAAAAAAAAAAAAATTGCTAAGCACACTGTATTTTGCAGGGTGTGGTTAGAAATGTCATTGTTTATACGGCGCTTGCCTCCTCCTGTCTGGGAGGCGGAGCTGGTGCCTCCTCCCAGGTGGGGGGTAGAGCGGGTAGAGGGTGCGCTGCTGCCCCCTGGCTCTGTGTCGGCACACTTGCTTCCACTACCCACCCACTGGATATAACCCATGTACAGTGTACACCTGTTCCCGTTCCTCCTCGACTGCTCCTTCTTCTGCTTCAAGTCCTACAGGAGCTCCATGCGCTGTTCCCTGTGTTATACCGTGCAATCTGGGCGAAAGAATAAATTCTGAAACGTCTCGCTCTTTGCTAATTTTTTTGCGTGCCGGATTACCTCCCATTTCTCCTCCTCACCCACTAGTGTGATCATGAGGCGGCGAGGCTTATCCTCTGCGTAGACAGAGCCTCTGAACAAATATTCACAAATTGCATCTTATCCGCCTGGCTCTCAGGGACTCCATAAACTATTACGTTGTTCCTGCGCTGGAGACGTTCCCGTTGCTCCTCCTCTCCCCTAACAGTAGTGTCTGCTCGCTGTCATATCTTTGACACATTTCTTCAGAGTCCTTAGCTGCTGTAGTACCTGTTCTAATCCTGCATTACTCCTCTTTATTTCCCGTGGCCCTTCTAAGGCCTGAGCATAACTCCTCTTCACTACCACCTCCATTCTATCAGCTACTTCCTCAGTCTTAGCAAGGATCTCTTTCTTAACTTGTTCTAGTTTGGCAACCAGCAAGGATCCAGCTTCATCTATTTCCATCCCGAGGAAACTAATTTCCCTGTGGCTTGCAATCGCCTCTCTCACCTTTACTATGCAGCCAGGACAATACCGTCTTAAACGTTGTATCTACCTCGGTTTTCATCCCGCAGTAATTACATGTCAACAGATTTCCTGGTACGGCTTTAGCCCCTAGTTTCGGGCCCCCCATTTTGTTGTTGTTGGGGGGGGGGGGTAGAAAGCGTGCACTCTGTACAGATCTTCTCAGCCTAAAGTCCACCAGTTTACTAAACAGTGGACTTCCAATTGTTGGCTTAGTATATATATATATATATATATATATATATATATATATATATATATATATATATATATATATATATATATATATATATATATATATATATATATATATATACTGGGGAATCCTCAGTCCAGGTGTCTAATAATTTAATGTAATATTGCAGTCTGAGTCATAACCACGGTGCAGTCGGCTTATATTTCTTTTCATATTGAAGACTGTATAATATTAAAAACTAAAAAAACTAAAAAAAAACACAGGCATTATCAACAATACTGTATATACAGTACATGTGCATATGTCTGAAAACATCACATACAGTATACAGGATACACATGTACATGAAAGAGGGAAATAGTACCTGCAGCCATTCTTTCTGTGCTTCATCTTCGTCCACAGTCTGTGCTGTCCAAGCCCAATTAAAGTTGAGGCGTGCGGCATAAGGTTTGTCAGCAGGGCCCAACGAAGACGAGGCAGTAATCTTACCATTGGTGATACTAAAGTCTTCCATGCCCAGACCATCCTGGCACTCACAATGACAAAACACCCGCACCTCATAGTCCTGGCAGTACTGCCGTCCAGCTGTAGTGAAACACACATGGTTACTATGAACAAATAGAAAGAAATTCCTAGGGGCGAAGTTTCTGTTTACTTTATAAAAAAAATATATTTTTTGATTGTAACTAAGTAAATGATATATAAAATTACATAACTTAAGGCACCATTGTTAAGGACTTAAAGTTCATCCTAACATAACACACACAACAAATAACTTTTCCTTAGGAATGACAACTACCTTAATGATGGGGTGATTTGTCTCCTCAAATTGTTGCAGAAAATGCCATTAAAACATTCACCATTACAGGTATCCCACTTTTAGTGATTGTGATGCATTCCTGAAAACCGATCGCTAAGTGATATGATCACTAAACGAGGGGAAAACGAGAGATAATATCCTAAATGAGGAGTAATATCTGTGGGCTTTAAAAGGGCCTTGACACTTAAGTCCTGTCATCAAGACACAAAAATATAGTAATAATAATAATAATTATTAAGCCTATAGTAGAATTATATCACATCATAAATTGGGCTAAAGGAAAAGAAGTTTCTTATTGAATCTTGACATTAAATTTGACAACCGCTCACCTCGCACATCACCCCTCCCGTTAGCTACCAGTTAGATTCCCTCTCCCTCAAGATTACCAACGGTGACAGCTGTCAAGCACTGTGTGTCCCATAGGTGTAAGAATATAAAAGGGAAAAAAGTCTGTAACAAGATATACATTGGCATAGTGAATCAGGGAGTAAAACCTCAGCATTACCAGGGAGTTTGTTGACATACACTTATGGCAAGGAGATGTTTTGTGAGGATTATGTGGATCTGAACATAATGGCATTCAGGGCACTGCAGAAAGCATTGAAGTATGAAGGCTGTTGCTGGTATTGCCCTGACTGTATTATCAAAGTAAACGAGGCTATTACAGATCATAAGGGAAAAATAAACTAGGAAGCGAAAATAGATGTAGTTAGATCCTTGTTGGTTACCAAACTAGATTAAGTTGGGAAAGAAAACCTCATTAGTCTGGGGAAGTAGCTGATAGAATAGATCACGAAGTTAAGAAGAGCTATGCTCAGGATGCAGCAGGGTCAGAGAAGGTGGTGGCGAGTAGTTTAGGATCCGAACAGGTCCTACAATAGCTAGGGACTCTGCAGAAGAGTGTTGAAAAAATGACAACTAGTAAGAGGAGCACTGGGAATGTTTCGAGCACAGGAGCGATATAATCATGTTTGGGGTTCCTGATGGTCAGGAGGCTGAAAGTAAGAAAACATATAATAATACAGAGTTTCAGATTATTTGTGCAGAGGCTCTGAACCTGTCAGCTTCCCCTTCTGAAGTAAGGACAAAGGCAAGAGAATAAGCCTCAGGATCACACTCGAGAAAGAGGATAAGAAATAGGATGTTATTCGGCAAGCAAAATCTTTGCAAGGAGTGAAGCATTTCGGAGTACAGTATATTCATAAACCCAGATCGCACGTTAATGCAGAGGGAGCAGCACAAAGAACTCCTGAGGTGCTTGAAGCAGAAGAGGGAGAAGGAGGAGTTGAAGAGGAACAAGGACGAATGTGCATGGGTTATATACAAATAGTAGAGGCAAATGCACCAGTACAGAACCAAGGGGGAGCAGGACACCCTCCAGCCAATCTACCTCCCACCACACAGGAGGCGAGTGCCATGTAAACAATGTTATCTCTGGCCACACCCCACAAAATACAATGAGTTTAGTATACGAGGCAGCTGCTGATAATGGGGGTAGACCGGAGTCACTCCCAAGATCAGAGACATTACCGAAGACAAATTCCAGCTTGAAAGTCCTGTACATTAATACTGACATGTTCCTTGATAAGAGAGAGGAATTTGAAACTCTACTCAAAGTACACCAACCCGATATAGAAGGTGTTGTAGAACTGTTGTAGAAGACCAGGTGAATGGACCCGGAGGAATGAGTTAAATATAGATGGATATGACTCATTCATAAATCTTTCTCTAGCAACTTGCAAGGGAGGGGGGGGGTGTGGTTATTTATGCTAGACAAGACCTTAGAGCCAGCCAGGTGAGGGTACAAAGGATGTATCGACAGATCTCCAAATTGTAACTTATTAAACCAAAGGAACTTAAGAGCCTCAACTGACAACACAACGGTGCTCAACCCTAGCCAACTTCTTGTCATGGGGTTCTTTAACTGGAGAAATGAAACCATGCGAAATGACCTTAATAATTCTGCTACTCTTTTGGTAGAAACTCCATGAGACGATTTTCTATTCCAACATGTTAAAGATCTGACTTACAAAAGAGGAGAACAAAGACCCAACCGCTGGACCTCAACATACAGTAACTAATGAGGAGGGTATGGTGGCCAAGTTGGAACATCTAACCCCGTCAGCATCAGTCACCAGATAACATTGTCCTTCAGATTTAACTGTTACTTGGTTTACAACAAAAAGCAGGCCAAGGTTCAATCAAATATTACAAGGGCGATTATGACGGGATGAGGAAGAAGATGAGGGGTATTCACTGGCCGGACTTGCTGAGATGTAAGAATGTAGAGACTTTCGTGATATTTCATACCCAGTAAAGTAGTAAACTATTTGATCAATAAATATATACCCAAGACCAAACCCATTGCCTTCAGGTACAAGGAGACCATTACACATGAACCATGCACTGGTTGACAAAGCTAAGAAAACATCTTAGAAATTCAAGATGTGGGTTAGGACAGACAATGGGCAGAGTACAGGAGGGTTGAAAAAAAGAGAGCTCCAGTGGCAGATTGCAAGCGAAGTCAAGTCAAAGCCAATGGCTTTCTGCCCCTACGCAAAATTGAAAAAAAAACCGCATGAAGGTGTGTCGGATCTAAGGCATGAAGATGGTAATTACGCAGATTCAGATCAGGACAAGGTGGAGACATTAAACAAATTTGTTTCCTCGGTGTTCACAAGAGAGAACGAGAACAATCTTCCTGCGTTTGAGCAAACACAGTTTGACACAGTGCTGACCCACAAAGCGTTCTCAGAAAAGGGTTAAGAAAGAAATTATCAAAGCTAAAGGTTCACATGAGTCCCGGCCCAGAAATGGTGCATCACAGTGTGCTAAGAGAGTTGTGCAATGAATTTGCTGAGCCCCTGAAGATCCTGTTCTGTAAATGCCTGGATGACCAAAAGGTCCCCAGTGATTGGAAAATAGCTTATGTGAGTCCTATATTCAAGCAGGGTGACTGTTACTCCATAAATAAGTATAGGCCAGTAAGCCTAACCAGCATAATGTTTAAAGTTTTATCCTCTTCGCCACTGATCGGCTCGTTAGCAGCTTGGGCAGTTGATCACGTCTCTATTATACACTGATGGCAAGTACTTGGCATCCACTGGCTCCTGACTGTATCTAAACCTGCTCTAGTGTTGGTCAAGTCTGGTCTTGAAACAGCTCACACTCGATGCCATCACAACGCTCTCTGGCAGATTGTTGCAGGAGTTCACAACTCTCACTCCGAAAAAGATTGTCCTCACAGTTTTCTGGGCTTGTGGCTTCTTTAACCTTGAGCTGTGACCCCCTTGTGGGGCGGGCGTCCGCCAGCTCCAGGTATGGACACTCTACTATGTAGTACCCTCTGAGATTTTTTATATACCTTAATTAAGTCACCCCTTAAGTCACCCCTTGCCCGTCTGTAGTATACTGTAAGCTAGGCAGTTGCAGGAGCTCAAATTTCTCTGAATAGCCGAGGTGCGAAAGTGTAGGCACCAGTCTGGTGACCCTCCTTTGGGCATTTTCAATCAATTGACAGTCCCTAGCATATTTCGGGGATCAGACTGGGTGACAATACTCAGGGCGGGAAAGCATCTCACTCTTGAAGATCGTTACGAGGAATGGACTGTCTAGATATCTGAATAACCTTCTTGTAAGACCTAATAATTTAGTTGCTTGATTTACCTTCTTCTCACAATGGCCCAAGAATTTCAGTTCATTGTCAGCATACACACCTAGGTCCTTTTCACATTCAATCTCTATTAATACAGCTTCTGCGTTCCGTTGGAACAAAAGACACGCCTCCTTACTATTGCGATGACCCAGGTGCATCCTCTTACACTTCGTGACATTGAATCTTAGCAGCCATTCCTTCGACCATTCTTGGAGCTCACAGAGATCCTGCTGCAGCTCTTCATAGTCTTTTTGGTTCCCAACTTCCCTAAATAACTTTGCATCATCCACAAACATTTATATGGAGGAGTGTATAGCTTCTGGCATGTCATTTATGAAATAAACATGGGTACACATGACGATTTTGTACCATTAATCACCACACACTGCTTGCGATCATGCAGAAAATCTCTGATCCACGTTAAGACACTTCCCCGAATTCCGTACCCTTCCAGTTTAGTTTTTAGCCTTTCATGGGGTATGCTGTCGAAAGCCTAGGCACAATTTAGATATATATTGTCGATATTACCACCCTGTTCCAGAATTTGGGTCCAAAAACCAGTACCTTGAGTAATTGTGTTAAGCAGGAGCACCCCGGCATAAAACCGTGTTGGCAATCCTTTACAAGTTTGTTTCGTAGTCGATCTTCCATCATGGTATCTCTTATAATGCTCTCTAGTACTTTACACACTATGCTGGTCAGGCTTACCGGTCTATAATTATTTGTGGAATGACGAACGGCTTTCTTGAAAAGGGGACTCTCGTAAGCCATTTTCCAATCGCTGGGGACATTTTGCTCATCCAGTCATTTACAGAACAGGATCTTCACGAGCTCATTGCACAACACTCTTAGCACTCTGGGATGCACCATGTCAGGGCCGGGACTCTTATGAACCTTTATCTTTAACAATATATTTCTTATAACCTCTTCTGTGAACACAATGTGGGTCAGCACTGTGTCGAACTGTCTTGGTCAGAATCTGCTTTACTACCATCTTCAAGCCTCAGGTCCGATACTCCTACTCGCATTCTTAATTTCAACTTTGCGTAGCGGTAAAACACCTTTGGTGTTCGACTTGACCTCGCTTGCAATCCGCCTCTGGAACTCCTTTTCAGCCATTCTACACTCTGACTTTGCTTGGTTCCTAGAGCTGGCATACATCCTCCTGTCCTGCTCATCGTTTGACGTATCCCACGTCTCGAATTTCTAAGTTTTCTTCTTAACTTTGTCGACCGCCGCATGGTCCTTGTATTCTTAGAGGCACTGGGTTTGGTTTGGGTATATATTTCTTGATCAAATGGTTCACTTTACTGGTTATGATATTCAGCGTAGTGTCTGCGTTCTTATACCTTAGTGAGTCAATGCCAGTGGATACCCCTCATTCTCTCTTCCATCCCACCATAATTTAAATTGTGATATTTGAACCTTGGCCTGGTTTTGTCTTGAACCAAATAACAATTAAATATGAAGGACAACATTACATACTGGCTGGTGGCTGACAACAGCAATAGCGTTCCATCTCCTGTGTGATATTATTATTCATTTAAATTGTATAAGGTGCATTCATAAATATTATTTAAATAATATAGTTTGCATTTTTCATTAACGTACTGTTTGGGGGGGAAAGAGTGTAATTAATGCTTCACGATACGATGATTCACCTTACACTGTAATATTGGAGGACACATTACCGTCATTATTCGAGGCTTTACAGTAATCATACCTACTCATTGTAGTCTAAGTGAAGTGAGATGTGTGAGTGGTCATGCCCTTGTGGCAGCCTACTGTAATGCTTTTTTTTTTTTTTTTATTGGGCACCCCCCTACATCCTTGTGAAAGGTGAAGAGCAGAAGCGTGTACAGCGCCCAACAGGGAAGCATGCCAAGTTTATACTTGCCTTATGTCTCATGAGTTAAGGGCGTAGAAGCCTGAAGAGTCAATGGTTTATGTCTAAGCAAGTTATTGGAAGTTCCAACAACCTGTCCCTGAATACGAATTCGCAACTTTCGACTTACAGCAGGTACCTACTTTGCTGCTAGGTGAACAGGGACCAAATGGACTAGGAAGAGTATCCAAACAACTTCCACCGGCCCGGGAATCGAACCCGTGACAGATTGATTTTTTTGTTTACAGATTGCCCCGGAGGGGACTAGTTTATTGGGCACCCCCTTACATCATGTGCAAGGTGAAGCGCAGAAGCGTTTACAGAGCCCAACTGGGAAGCATGCGGAGTTCATGCTTGCCTTTATGACTCATGCATTAAGGGCGTGGAAGCCTGAAGGGTCATGGGTTTTGTCAGCAAGTAACATAAAGTGACAGAATGATGAGTGTGTGGGGGGGAATTCCCGGTACATTTCATCTGTTTATAGCAAAGCGTGGCAGGTCCCTAATAATGTCAAGTGCCAGGCCTGTGACTAGGAGGAGGGATATCTGGTCAGGGAGGGAAGAGGTGTTGGTAACGGCGGCTGGGGACCTGTAGGAGGAGGTCATAGGGCAAGTGAGGATGTAGTGAGAGAGAGTGTGAGAGTCGGGTTGGCCATAAAGTTTACAAACAGTGCGGCCAGGCTCAGGGTTGCCAATGTACTCCCATAGGTACCTGTACCCTAGGCGCAGTCTCATGTATATAATTTGTTGAGATCGAGTCAGAGATTGATACTCTTTGTAGTGGCGGTTGGAGTCACCGGTTACAGCGTCATAGTGGCATAGTGTGACGCTGCCCCGTTGTTTCAGGTGTGTCCATTTTACGTCGAATGTTTCTCGTTGTGTGGCGTGTATGCGAAATTTGAGATGATTCAGGGAGAGGGCGAGGGAGGCTTCAATATCTTCTTCTTGTGTCGCTTCTTTGGCAAGTCGATCAACAGTCTCACAGGCAGTTATTCCTATATGTGACGGGATCCAAATAAACTTGACACGGATGTCATCAGTTTGTTCTAGCCTGGCGACGGCGGCTAGGGTGTGTTGGGCGGCAGGGGAGGAGGGTAATTTGAGCCTCGCTAGCGCAGAAGTGCTGTCACTGATTATAAGGAGGTTCCGGCGTTCAGTGCGAGCATAGGTCGCCCCCTCATGAATGCCCGCGAGGATGGCTATGCTTTCAGTGTCAGTGGAGGAGGCCCAGTCGTGGACCCTGATTTTCTTGCGGGCCTGGCGCTCAGGAATCCATACAGCTGCCCCAGCGCAGCCCAGCGTGGTGACAGACCCATCGCAGTACAGTAGACGAGGATAGGAGGGAGGGAGGTCGTAAGAGAAGAGGCGACATCATCAATCTGCTCAAGGCAGTTAAGTTTGAGCATATACCGCAGTTGGGTGGATTTACAGGGAGGTCCACGGCGGTAGAGGTGGATGAGTGTACTCGGGAGGGAGAGAGGTCGAGGAGGTGTAGAGGTGATAACGCAGGATGTCAGCAGCAGTGTGGAGGGGCCAGTGTTGAGAGAGGGAGGGAGAGGTAATGGGGCAGGCCGGCGCAGGAGGGAGTCAAGATGTGAGTTCAGTGAGCGAGACAGGGGAGTCGGTTGCTCACTGCGAAGAAGTTTAACACCAAGGATGGCATTGAGAGCAGTAATTCGATCAGTTCACGCTGCATGACTTCTATTCTGGTGGTCATAGGGCAGCCGAGGATGAGTCTCATCGCTCTGTTTTGGATTTTCTCTATGCTTTCTTTCTCGCGTTGGGAGGCAACTACAAGGACAGGAGAGGCATAATCTATGTCAGCTCTGACGATAGCAATGTACATGAGACGTAGGACCCTGACATAGGCTCCTTTGAGGCTGCAGATAAGGGACTGGAGGGGCCTCGTTCGTTGGCGGCACTGGCAGATGACGTGGGCGGCGACAGCAGAGGTGGTGGCGCTGGTAGTGGCTCGCACGGGTAGACCAAGGTACATGTAGGTGCTTACTTGATCGATGTCTTGTCCTTGCAGAGTCAGCGGAGTCTGACGCCGGAAGTGTGAGATGAACTTGGTTTTAGTGTGTGAGATGACTAGCCCGAGTGTTTGACAGGTCCGGGCGAACGTGGAGAGTCTAAGTTGTTCATGTTGCACTGTAGTAATTTGGAGGAGGATATCATCAGCGTAGCTTATGATGTGACCGTCTAGGGCGCTCAGCGAAGATGTCGTTGAGGCGGCAGATGGAGTTCATGAGTACATTAAAGAGTGTAGGGCTGAGTACACCTCCCTGAGGAGTGCCAAGATCAAGGTCCCTGCTCGTAGAGTAGTGACCCTGAAACCGGACACGGGCCTGTCGACGGGAGAGGTAGTCAGCAATCCACGTGAGGAGTTTGCCCTTCACATGTGAGTGAGACCGTGACATCACATAGCTGCCCTGCTGGTCTTGACCTCCCGACACTCTCGTTCGTCCGGTGTTGCAGTCCAAGACAGTTTGATTTATCTTCTGGTTTTTTTCTTTAGTTCTCGGCGAGTTATTGGTGTCTCTCTATATGCTATTACTATGTACACTGCATCTCATTATGAAAGGTCGAACATATGCTCAATCACACTCCTTTAGAAAACACAGAAAAAAAATCAAATTTCCTTTGTGGCAGCAATAAATGCCGTTCATGACAGCCCAGCTTGTTTTTTTGTGTGTGTTTTAACTATTATTTACTTATGTTCTCTTTTCTGGTTCTCATCAACGAATATATCTCTTTGTGCTATCACTGTGCACACTGTATCTCCCTATGAATGGCAGATTGTAGGCACAGTGTCAGTCCTTGAGAGAGCACACACACAAAAGAAAAACTTTCTTCGTGACACCAATAATACGACTTGGTTACTGCCGGCAGGGGTGTTTGATTACTTGCTCCAAATAGTTTTTCACTTCAATTTATTTACAATCTCCTCCGCGGTCACTGTTGTCACTAAGGACTGTCTTAGTTAAAGGTGCAATACTACACTCACTGATCGACCTTCGGAAGGCCAGTCACAGCCATGAAAACAACTCATTAAGATTTTCTGGATAAATCTTGTCACATGGCAATGATTTTGTGGTTGTATACCTCCCGGCCCATTCCTCTGGTCAGTAGAGAGTGTTTCTTTGTGGCGCTTACAGCCGATTCGCCAGGCAAGAAGATGACGGTGGCAATGTGTGTGATGGAGGGTGCTGGAGGGGGTTTTGAGAATTGCAATTAAATGCCAGGTAGCGATGTGTCCTCCTAATATTACGTATTTAAGTAATTAATAGATGTTTTAATTGCCTGTATGTTGGCCTGGCGAGTTAATGCTAGGCATTTACATACCTTGGTATAAAGCTGGACGTCGCTTTCTGGATTTTATCACAAAAACTATTTTTTACAATAAAACGTTTTTTTTTCATTATACAATCGGGAATAATGTTAAAATCCTACATCAATTTCCACATTGTGAACATCACTAAGACGACCTTCATGCTCTGATGTAATCACTGTCCAATTTCCGCCGCTCAACAACAAAGGCCTGAGTGCCAACACGCTTTGTTACAGAGACGCAACATCGATACGACCCGAATGACCTGTGGCCTAAACAAAATTATGGCAAATTATTATGGTGAAATTATTATAATCTGAGAACTCCACATCAACCCCCTTCCCCCTCTTCTCAAAAAATATAAAATAAAATAAGATCTGTAAGTTTTGAAAAATGTTGTCTTGTGTGAGCACCAAGGCTTGTCAGTGCTAAAGGACCCTGTATTTAATGCCCCCCAGATACATTAGAATAACAACAATCATTCTCTGTCCCCTAATCAAGGGTATCTCTGCATCCCTTACTGCACTTTTAACTTTGGGCTCACCATTGTTCCTGCAACTGTCCCTTATCAGCTATACGTTACAGACCCCAGCATGAGTCTTATACCTAACTGTTACACATAAGAGAGGACTCACCATTGTTCCTGCACCTGGCACCTTTCTTATCACAAAAGATGAAAGACTCCATCTCTCCTCCCATCACTGGTCGACACTCTACTTCAGTAATGTAGTGGTCTGGACAGAGTGAGTAAGACTGAAAAGATATGACATTTATTGAAGAGCTTTCCTTTCTTTATACATGAAATGCATAAATAAAAATAAATAAAGTACCATTGAGGAATACTGTATGTTTATAATGGTGAGAGCCTCCATCCTGTAAGTGTTGCAGAATGTGTCCACCACGGGTTATTTATTTTTCATTTAAGTTACGATGGTGTGCATTGGGAAAAGTCTTTGGAATAAGGAATACAGAAGGCAAAAGAATATGGTGTTTGAGGATGCACTGTATATGTATGTAACATGTTATTTAAGAAGAGGTCAAATAGGGTGATCATACACACATCATGTGGCACAAAAGCCCAGATTGACTACATATTTGTCAGAAAAACATACAGGAACCTTGTTAAGAGACATAAAACCGATAGCAAGGGGAAGAATGTGACATGTTGCTTTGAGGATGCAGAGAAAAACAGAAGGTGTATGTTAAGGAAGCATTTTATGCTTATTGGGAAGAGTGGAATGGGTTAGTGACAGTGATGTAGCAAGATCCTGGACCAAATTGAGGGACTAAATGATTGACCCTCTTGGAAATAAGCACCTGTCAGCTTTGTCAGCTATCCTTGGTGAAATTGCCTTACTGTTTACCATTATCATTCAAATAATTGTTGCTCACATTTGCTTCCTTCGATATATTTAAAACAATTTCACACACACACACACACGCACAGACGTACTTCTTTTTCATATATACATATATATATATATAAATATATATATATATATATATATATATATATATATATATATATATATATATATATATATATATATATATATATATATATATATATATATATATATATATATATATATATATATATATATATATATATATATATATATATAGATATAGATATATATGGAGTAGGTACTCTATAAAAATATTAGTGTATTATGCAAAGTCCACTTAACTTAAACCAAATAAATACCTTTCGGATCTCGGTCACAAACTCAAACTCGCCATCAGCATTTGGAATGTGCATGTTGTACCAGGGACTCCAGCCTGGCTCCTCCTCACAGCTTGGGGGTTTCACAGGAACAATTGGTGGGCTGGAAGAGTTACCTAAATTAGCTTAATAATACTGATGCTCATGTTCTCTAAAGTTGATCAACTTTGTTTGTTGTGAAATGAAATGCCCACAATGTAAGCAGCAAGTCCACCTAGTTACTTATTAGTCTTAAGTCCTCCCAGTTGACTATAAATAGTAGGTCTACTTAATATCTGTGCACTCCGAAACAAAATTTGCTACGTTAATGCTGGTGGTACAGAGGTAACGCACATAACTCTCACCAATAAGTCAAGAGTTTGATCCTCGGTCCAGACTCACGTGAGACGGGTGTTATCCAGCGTGACCCTCACTACCAAACACCACAGGTTTCTCCTGTACTAACACTGGAAAGATCAATTGCCTAAATGGCTAGTAACCTGATAAGTGGTGAAAATTATAAAGTATATAATAAAATGAGTTTGAGGGAGTTCAGCTTGGATATCCTTTGTGTAAATGAAATGCGGTTGTATAAATCCGATATTTTTTCAGTGCTCTTGCCAAGACATTCTCTCGTTCAACCTGCTGCAGGAGCTCCGGGTGGTGGAGTGGTGCTGATGGATTCTGTGGCCCTGCTCAACATTAGAGACATTAATATGTAGGCATTAATAAATCTTCATCGCCAGGTTATTAAAATTGCTGTTGTTTATCATCCAGGTCACCCAGGCACATACTGTATAAGGTGTTCGTGGATGAACTTGGCTGATTTCTCGAGACTTTCTCAGGAAAGAACAAGCGACAATTGATCTGTGGTGACTTTAATGGACGAGTTGTCGGTTCTGGGTATACACAAGAAATACATTCTGCCACGTTCGTAGAGTGATACTGTATATATATAATTTGTAATAAAAGTTTAAAGTCCTGCTATAATATTCGAGATAAGTATATTTTTTTAGAAACAGGACCGCCATTTGCAATGACATAGCCACCTTCCCCGCAGACGACGTTCTCCATCAAACTCACCACTGCAGTTGGAGGTAGCACAAAGGATGGCCTCTTCAGACCCCAAATACCACGTTCAGGTAAGTTTTAAGTTTTTTTTTTATGGTCTAAGTCATGGACATTTTATAAGTGAAGAAACGTGCCGTAAAGAGCAGCTTATGGACATAAATAACTCCCATGTTCACACCAGTTCAGCTGTCAAGTATTCTTACCTGGGAGACTTTCTCTTTTTTCCCCAGTGCATTTACAGAGTATATCATTACTAGATGGAGATACCAGTCAATTTAGAAGTACAGGAAATGACATTGTCTGACTTTGTTTTGAGAATGCCTGATACTAGTTAAAAACATGACAACATACTGTAGTGCTGTTATTGTTTTGATGATTCATAATTTATATTAATTAATGGGTATAATTTTACTTTTACTACCATAAGTATTTGGATGCTTAGATTCGAGATAGGCTATACAGTATTGGGTACATTTTAAGTTTTGGTCATCCCTGTACTTAGACATGCAGACTATGATTTTTCTGGTAGTTTGCGATGTGTTATGAACGATTTAGACCTTCATTTCTATCGGAAATCACTAGTTTTGTGTTATTACCCCCACTCCCTTACCTGTGTATTTTAAACTTATTTTATATCTTATAATATAACTTATCATAACCTAACCTAACATATGACCTGTATTTTCTTATGCGACCGAAAAATGTTTTGCGACAGAAATCCCGTAGAGATAATGTGTCTTATTGTTTAAAGTATTTTATCCCATAGTTAGAGTCTTAAGGTTCCCCAGATGACCCAAACCAAAATAATACCAATATTGTTTGGAATATTTATGCTATGAAATTTGTAGTATGGGCAGCTAATATCCATTGAATGAGTTAATGTGCTTTGTAATATTTATATATTCAATATAGCATTACTCTGTTGCACAGTAAAGCACAATTAATTATCTAATAATATTATTTACAGAGTAGCCGAGAAGGTTGGACAACAACTTCCAGGGTTCATCAAGGCAGAAGAAAGAAATTTACCAAAAGTAGGCGTCTTTATGATTATAGAGTATTATCAAGAACTCCGCCATCCAACTTTGACGCACACACATTAATTACATCTGTCGTCTGATCATCTCACTCTGGCCATGGTCGTCCATAGTCCTTCCACAACATTAAATATAGACATCAGTGACGAAAACTTACATTTTCCAGACATGAAATAGAGAACAGTGATGAAAACTTCCATGTTGGAGTTATCGGTGTTTTGTATCATTTTGGCACCCAGCAAGTAAATACACATTAGAGTAGTAATTTATTTTAACTTAAATATAAGGCATGTCTGTGTATATCAACATTGTATTTGGCCACAAGTCCTGTATTTCTGCTGGTAACAACACATACACCACAGCTGGCTGCCTCCAGGCTCCCGCCCGGTGGCTTGCGTTAATCTGTGATGTCACGACCAATCACAGAGCTACTTTAATCCTTATTTTTTGTTTACACTTTTTGACCCAATTTATTTAAAAATATCATTACCATATATAGAGTGATTGCTTTTGCAAGTCGTAAACTTAATGATGTCTAAACACGTTATTCAGTAACGCATCTAGAAACGTTAGCTGTTGTCTGGGCACTGAAGAAGACTACAGTACATAATTTTTGGTTATAAAATAACCGTCTATGCAAATCACGTGGCAGTAACAGCTGTTTCACGGTAAAAATCTTTCAGGTATCTGACCATTCACCAGTTTGAACACGAGTTCAAGTATTTATACCGGGACGAGCGAATGTGGTCGCAGACGCTTTGTCCAGAAACATAGCACCAGTGATGCCTCTATCATCGTTCTCCCACTCGCAATTATGGGATGAACAACGAGCCGATCAGTGGTGAAGAGAATAAAAGTAAAAGTATAACGCGAGATATACAAACTGACAATGCCTACAATTCTCCCCGAGTTCATCACGTGCACCACTTCACCACTTACTCAGATGTCTAAACCTCAGCATATTGAGAAGTGGCAGCAAATTCTAAAAATCAGTTTTGTTTACATAAATAGGCAAGAAAAGCTTAAACTACAAACTTCTGGTATATGCGGGCATTTAGGAAACACAAATAATCATTGTTTTATTTGTTCAAGTGTGCTAGAAAAACTTTAATGTGTTTGTTGTTTTTGTGGGCATGCTGTGGCTTCAGGAACCAAGTGAAGTGACACACTGAATCTTTAGGAATGGGTCAGTCAGAGGCAGCAGGCTTTTCGCTACTGTACAGTATGGTAATTTTTCTTTATTTTCCAGATGAACCCTCTAAGATGAACCCTCTAAGATGAACCCTCTAAGATGAACCCTACAAGATGAACCTTCTAATCATTGTTTGGTCAATTTTGGGTGCCTTCAGTCCCTAACTCCTTATATTGTACTGAATTATTGTAAATAGATTTCATATCACGAATGTTTACTTTGCGAAAGTATTCATCTCTATGTCACAAAAGAACATGGGGCTACTTTACTACACAATACTTAAGATCGACGACAACACCTCCCTGAAGATATATGATACTCACATGGTAGTGAAGTTCTCAGGTATAGGAGAAGTTGAGACGGAGACAAGGATGGGGGTAGTAACCGTGGTGAAGACAGCATCTAATGGAATGGAATTTTTTTTTATATTAAATCAATTTATACCCATTCAAATGAAAAACTAAAATATCAAAATGCACAACATTTACTGGACATAATATATAATGTTAGCATGTAGTTTGTATACACAGATGAAATCAAATTGCAATTCTAAATTCATCAAAAAATAGTATGGGGCAGGGGGTGGGGTATAAGATATAGTGTGGGGGCAGGGCATCAGGTATAAGGTGGAGGCAGGGTATAGGATATAGGGTGGGGGCAGGGTATGGGATATAGAATTGGGGGGCAGGGTATGGGGATTATGGGATATAGGGTGGGGGCAGAATTATGGATATAGGATTGGGGGCAGGGTATAGGATATAGAGTTGGGGGCAGAATTATAGGATATAGGGTGGGGGCAGAATTATGGGATATAGGGGGGCAGGGTATGGGATATAGGGTTGGGGCAATGGGATATAGGCAGAATTATGGGATATAGGGTTGGGGCGGCATGGGATATAAGGGTATAGGGGGGGGGGTGGGGGATGGGATATAGATATAGGATATAGAATTGGGGACAGGCAGGATATAGGGTGGGGCGGGCATGGGATATACAGGGTATAGGATATAGGGTGGGGGCAGGCTATAGGGTTGGGGGCAGAATTATAGGATATGGGTAGGGGATACAGAATTATGGATATGGGGCAGGGCAGGGTATAGGATATAGGTTGGGGCAGAATTATGCAGGGTATAGGATGGGGGGCAGGGGATATAGGGTGGGGGCAGGGATATAGGATATAAGTGGGGGCAGGGTATAGGATATAGGGGGGCAGGGGGGGCAGAATTATAGGATATAGGGTGGGGGCAGGGGATATTGGGGGGGATCAATTGGGGGCAGGGTATAGGATACAGATTGGATATAGGGGGGCAGAATTATAGGATATAGGGTGATGGCAGGGTATAGGATACAGAATGGGGACATAGGATACAGGGTGGGAGGATTATAGGGATATAGGGTGGGGGCAGGGCATCAGGTATAAAGGTGGGGCAGGGATATAGAGATGGGGCAGGTATAGGATGTAAGGTGGGGGCAGAATATAGGATTTAGGACAGAGTATAGGATATAAAGGTGGAAGCAGGGTATCAGATAAAGGTGGGGGCAGGGTATATAGGATATAAGGTGGGGGCAGGAATTATAGGATATAAGGTGGGGGCAGGGTATAGGATATAAGGTAGGGAGGGCAGGGTGGGGATATGGGACGGTATAGGAGGTTATAGGATATAAGGGGGGCAGGTATAGGATAAAGGGGGCAGAATTATCAGATAAAAGGTGGGGCAGGGGTATAGGATATAAGGTGGGGGCAGGGTATAGGATATAAGGTGGGGGCAGGGTATAGGATATAAAATGGGGGGGTATAGGATATAAGGTGGGGGCTGGGTATAGGATATAAAGGGCATTATAGGATATAAGGGGGCAGGGTATAGGATATAAGGTGAGGCAGGGTATAGGATATAAGGTGGGGCAGGATATAAAGGGGGCAGAATTATAGGATATAAAGGTGGGGCAGGTTATAGGATATAAAGGTGGGGGCAGGGGTGGTATATAGGGCAGGGGCATAGGATATAAGGTGGGGGGTATAGGATATAAAAAGGTGGGGGCATGGATATAAGATTTATAGGATATAAGGTGGGGGCTTATAGGATATAAAGGTGGGGCAGGGTATAGGATATAAGGTGGGGGCAGTCAGATAGGTGGGGTAGCAGGGTATAGGATATAAAGGGGCAGGGTATAGGATATAAGGTGGGGAGCAGGAATTATGGGGGCAGGGGTTATAGGATATAAGGTGGGGGTATAGGATATAAGGTGGGGGCAGAATTATAGGATATAGGATAGGATAAAGGGGGGTATAGGGGGCAAGGATATAAGGTGGGGGGATATATAGGTGGGGGCCAGGGTATAGGATATAAGGTGGGGGCAGGATATAGGGTTAGGACAGGTATAGGATAAAGGGTGGGGGCAGGGTATCAGATATAGTGTGGGGTCAAGGCATCAGATATAAGGTGGGGACAGGGCATCAGATATAAGGTGGAGGCAGGGCATCAGATATAAGGTGGGGGCAGGGTATAGGATATAGGGTTAGGACAGGGTATAGGATAAAGGGTGGGGGCAGGGTATCAGATATAGTGTGGGGTCAAGGCATCAGATATAAGGTGGGGACAGGGCATCAGATATAAGGTGGAGGCAGGGCATCAGATATAAGGTGGGGGCAGGGTATAGGATATAGGGTTAGGACAGGGTATAGGATAAAGGGTGGGGGCAGGGTATCAGATATAGTGTGGGGTCAAGGCATCAGATATAAGGTGGGGACAGGGCATCAGATATAAGGTGGAGGCAGGGCATCAGATATAAGGTGGGGGCAGGGTATAGGATATAGGGTTAGGACAGGGTATAGGATAAAGGGTGGGAGCAGGGTATCAGATATAGTGTGGGGTCAAGGAATCAGATATATGGTGGGGACAGGGCATCAGAAATTGAAGTGAAAAAACATAATTGAGACAAGCAATGAGGCACCAGTGCCTGATGGTAGCCAAGACATATCATTGGTGCCACAAAAAAGTTTTTCTTTTGTGTGTGTGTTTTCTCAAGGACTGTAATTGTGATCGTAATCACCACTCATAGGGACATACAGTGTACATAGTGATAGTACATACAAATAAATTCGTTGATGAGAGCTGGAAAAGAGAACGTAATTAAATAGTAATATCTCTGTAAACCGGAATCCTCCAAACCCGGAACTCTCCGATAGCCCGAATTGAAATTTGTTCAGAAAATCTTTCCCAAAGCTGGAATTTTCTCCAAATTTCCAGCTTTGGGAACAAATTTTCCGGGGCTGAAAATTGAAATTTTTTTCTTTAAATGTCTTGAATAAAGACGAAAGTTAAAGTTTTTTTTTGGGGGGGGGGGACCTGACCTGACCTGACCTGACTCAGTGTCAGGTGGAGGTAGGGTGGGGGATTAGTGGTCTCATATTACTGACCTTCTGATGGAATGTCAGGTCACCCTTTCTTGGGTGGAGGATTAGTGGGTTTCATGACCTAAAGAGGTCTTGAGTAAACACGAAACCTAAAGTATTTTTAGGGAGATTGCGATAAATATAAGTATAAATGAGCAAGGTTGTATCCCTTCAACTTTACGCTACATAACATTTAGGATATGGAGTGAGAAAGCTGAAGTATGTGGGTAATTAGAGAGATGGAGTGGAAATGATAAATGTGTCCCAGAGCCTAGAAAAGGTTGGGGGCCACTGAGGCAGCTGCAGGCGTTCTAATCTCTTCGAGTAGCTGAGGTTTCGTAGAGCAGGCACCAGTCTGGTGGCCTTCTTTTGGATATTTTCAATCAACTGACAGTCTCTTGCATATTTCAGGGACCAGACGGGGTGACAGTACTTCAGACCGGGAAGCACCTCGCTCTTCACTCACTTCACTAAATATAATCCAACTCTTGATGCACAGTACAGGCTTCATTGTAATAAAGACTTTTTTATGCAATATTACTTACTGCAGTCACAGAGGAAGGAAACTTCATAGTCCCAGCAAGCATTAGCCCCTGTTGCATCATCCCGGCCCTGGCACATCAGTCCCTCCTCCAATGAGCACTTCACATTTTGCTGTTCTGTGTGGGGTCGGTGGGTTCCTACGCTCCTGCAGGTCATGTCCACAATTTGGGCACGCATGCAGAAGCCCTTGTCATCAGTGCCCTGAAAAATTTAGTTTGTTATGTGCTGTACATTTTCACTAACTAATTTCTTGATAATTCCACAGATCCTCCTGAGAATAATACTTAAGTATGTTCTTGCTACAATTTGTGACTCCAGAGTAAACATGATAGAACAGGACTTACTCGCAGTTATCTCGGTCACTAACACTGGTGAGGAGCAAGTACAGTATGAAACGTTGCCATTATCATCATTTACAGTATATTTTTTTCTATCTTTGAAGGATTATTATTTTAACAGATAACAGTTCATAGTTTTTTCAAGAGAGTAAATGTGTAAATACAGTTAGAAAATTATAATCAGAATAAAAGGCATCCCCAAAGTCTTAAAGTTGTTTAATTAAGGACTTTGTACTGTTGTGTATTTCACTCTGGGGTCAACTGAGAATAGTGGGCCAAATGGGGGAGGCTTTTCTATGCACTTGTACTGCACTCAATAGTCCAAACTTTTGACTAATCCAGACCCCCTCACCCCATTAGTCCAGAAAACCGTCGCAAAATAACCAGAGGCTACTGTACAGTATTATGTAATGTAATATATATCAATTTATAATACAAGCAAAATACCTCGTTGATCTTCTCTGGCACCCTCTCTTTGTCAGAGTTCTTCCTGGAGGCTATAGGCTGGTCTTCACTGATCCATTCTGTCCACCCACTCCTGCAGTCCAGCCCCACAGTTGGGGTTATGATAGGTGGAGTGGTAATTTTGAAACTCTCAGTCACAGTGGTAGTGCAAGGAGTTCCACGACAAACCTTCTTCTCATGTGAACAGAAGCTGAAATTTGAAACATATTTATATTACAGCTCAAACCTCACTCTTTAAGAGCTAGTAATAGGAAAATGTGGCATACCTTCCCCCTATCATGGTGTTATGGGTGGCAGTTAACATACAACCACCTGTCAACCTTTTAAAATAAAATCTAGAGTATACTCTTATCAGATGCCTTTTATCTTATCAAAAGTAAAGTAAAGGGAAATCAGTTATAAGTAACTACTGTTTAGTCTTCTACAAAACTCACATTATGCTTACTTTCCTCCCCAAACTTTACAATTGTAATATGTGGCTGTCTGCTGTCTTGTTTAAAGCTTGGAAATTAATAAGTTTTCTCCTATAATTCATTAATAAACCAAGCATATAGCCTAAAAACAATAGTCTTTCACCAAATGCAGAGGTTACATTCAAGAAATCTCCCAGGTTGGCAAGGAGTGGGTCTCATGTGAAATAGGAGCTTAGGGGAAGTCACCCATGAGAGTCATGCCTAATATTTTATAGTGTACAGTTCAGAAATTAAATATATGTACAGGACATACGCTATACTTATTCTTATATAAGACTGTATATAACTACTGCATGATACGCTGTGCCAGTACAGTACAAGAAACATTTGAAAAAAAAAAGTGTAATGGAACAGTCTCGTGAAACTACACGCCTGCTCTCTCAACATTCCCCTACCAACATAAATATCCATATGAAGCTTTTAAACTCTACAATTTTTTTTTTTAAGAAATGAGATCATAAACATAAGAGAAGACAACCTCCACGTCAGTGCTGGGCCTATCAGGTAAGGTTCACAACTGGCACTTCCCAATTATATCTCCATTTTTTCCAGTTTTATTTTACTTTATTTATTTACTAGTATTTTCCTCCGGCCAGCTTACTTGGCAGATGGGTGGTTGATCTGTTACCTGTTATGCGCTGTTCACAAGGTCTCGGCATATATTGGCTCCTGATTGCACCTGAACAAGCCTGGACTTGAAAGAGTTCACAGCCTTTAATCTACAGAAGAGAACTCTGACAATTTTCAGTACTTATGGCATCTTTAACCTGAGGTTGTAACCTCTAGTGGGGCTGCCATCCACAAGCTCCAGATATATATTGTACACATGCCTGAGTACAGTAAAGCCTCGCCAGCCATGAATTTCTCTTCTGTGGATTCCGGGTATCCAAGGTTTCTACTCTGTATACCATTTCACAAACTACGACATTGAATTTCGAGTATCTGTGAATTAGTGTGGCGTCTTTATTCATCCGTGGTCTCATGTATTCCTCCTTTAATGTGAGGAATGAATAAAAATAATACTAACAAATAAAATAAAAGAAAAATACAGCATTGCCATTTGGCAATCGTTTCACAAAGGACATGGGGGGCAAGAGTCCTCTCCCCCACAATCGTGGGCTAACTCCCTTGGACGTAAGAAATGCTTATTCTCTGCATTGATATCTGTTGTTTTTTTCACAATCTGTATGAACCATTGTGTGTACATGTAACAGTAAAAAAGAAAACAAAATTATGTATATCTACCTGAAACTATGATTTAAAAATGAACTATAAAGCACCTCACAGCTTGGCCTGGTGGAGAGAGACTGAGATCCCCTTCCCCTCCCATAATCCGACACTAACTCCCATGGACGTAAGAAATGTTTATTCTCTTTATGTTTCTGAGCTCTCCAGTCCTTGTATCTCCTCACTCAACACTAGTTCCCCAGGGACAGTTCCATGATCTCCATCATCTAGCAGTTTAGACAACTGTCCTTCATCCTCCAGTTGCACATCACTCATTTAAACTAGGAGGAACACTATGAGTCACATTGTATCATCATAATAATACAAGGGAGATAACATTTTCTCCCAAACATAATCAATATGACTCATAACCGTTATATTTCAGTAAGATATATCATTTAATATTTCTTATTGTTATACGAGTCACCAGTGTGACAATCATAAACAATAACTCACTATATCATACACCTCTCCCTTCTCTTATCTCAAATGACCCTCAGCTCAATGAACTTTGTTCCTTCATTAAGCCAACTTCATTTTAGAGTGCTTATATTTTGAGGGATCACCAAGTTCTCTATTTGTTGCCAATCAGGGTGCACAGACATCGCCGCTTCAATTAATCATGCTTGAGCGATGATGCCTGAGTGAGCATCAAGTCACCCGGAAGGGTTGACAGTGCCGAGCTGCTACCATAGCGCTCCATCGGCTAACATCGTTCACCATTACTCTAGCAAAATGTATTGGGCTGAGAATTCCACCCTGAATTTCTCATTTAACCCATACTGAGGATACAAGGTTCATCCCAACATAACTCTAGATTGCTAGTAAGACCGGAAGGTTAGCGTCCGGATCACTGAGACTAGCAGCCTCGCTAAAGTTCGCCTGGAAAGGCTGAACCCGCTGCTGAGGACATGAATAAAATAGTTATGAAGACAAAAACTTAATTTCTGAAAGCCGGAATCCCTCTTAACCAGAACTCTCCGATATCGGGAATTAAAATTTTCCAAGAGCACATTTTCTGGAAAACTGAGAAAATTTTCCCAGTACCTGTAAAATTTCAGCAAATTCCGGGGATTGGGGAGTTTTATTAAGGGTTTGAGAGATGAAAATCAAGCACATTTTCTGGAAATTTTGAGAAGAATTTTCCAATACCAGGAAAATTCCGGGGATGGGGGAGAGATGATGTGATGTGCAATTTTTGTAACTTCTGAGAAACTTTTTCTGTTACCCGGAAAATTCCTGGGATGAGGGACTTTTTCCGGTTTTGAGAGAGTCGTCTCATTACCTGGAAATCTCTCATTCCCAGAAATGCTGTGCACCAATTGTTCCGACTAACGGAGATATCGCTACTTACTATTTCATTTATATTATAGGCAGTGTCTGGCTGAAGCAAGAAATTCGTTAATAATTGATCAATCAATTTCCTGTCAGCAATTAAGGACACCAGATACAGTACATTGTTGCTATACCCCTGAATCGGTTCTGCCTAATCCCTAATCCCTGAAATTTTCCTTATATTCTAATCAATTTTCAAAATCATACTTCTCCATAACTTCTCGCTATATTATGTTGAAATTCACGTGAAGTATAGGTAATTTAATTATCTTGAACGTGACATAAATACTTCTGGTTATCGCTTTTGTTTTGGGTTCATGAATTTTTTTCCTAACTTACCATTTTTTCCTCCAATATTTATAAAGATAAATCAGCAAATAATAAACGAAGACAAATATAAAGAAAATCTATATGTTCAGTCACTCACAATATGTTATTCTACTACTTAGTTTTTGCTTTATTAGAAACAGCCCATAAATGACTGAGTCTTAGGGATTTGAAAGTTAGAGAAACTCATTCTCAGATACAAGCCGATATGGTTGGCGCGAGAGCAACTGACGGTCGAGACATAATCTTACTTCTTTTGTGGGTAACTGAGGAATACAAGACGCTGGTCCTGTTGTTAGCTGGCCGAGAAAGGTGCCAGATACTGATTTTTACCAAGTGATTGGTATTACTTTACACCAAAATTTTATTATAAATACTTTTGCTACGTAAACAGAAGGGCTCTCCAAATGAAGGAAGATATAACAATCATGAATGGCTACATAAATATTACGAATTAGGCAATAAAAATGCGTCAGCAGATAGTCAAAGTCCGTGGCCATGGAACCTAAGCCCCTCCTTGCCAGAGGCCTTTAGTCTTGCCAACCATAGATTTGCCAACCATAGGGTTTTTCAGGAACCTAACCCCTGCAGTTGGCGAGGGACACTGTACTGTTCTTTAAGGTGCTTATAAACTTCTGTTAAATCACCCTTTGCCTCTCTGGTATAAACTAGGTGGTAAAACCTCGATAAATCAGACTGAAATACATGTATGTATACAGAAATTCACTTTTTTCAGACTATGAGATGCTCTGGTCACCAGAAATGCTAAAAAAGAAAATCCATGTTTTAAGAAATGGGGAAGTTTAATAAAAAAAAATCTTTTGAAATGAACAACACTTACTGAATACTGTACAGTGGTCTAATCAGATTTGCTATCGGCCTACTGAGAACTAAGACACTTGAGTATGTAAGCAGGCTGGGGCTGATCAGGTGTTGCTGATTCGTCAGGTTTATATATTTTTTTTATTCAGTATTATATTCTCATATGATTGGCCTCTTATGGCCTATGGTTCATCATGATTAATATAACATCTCTTCAGTAATAGAGAAAAAATACAATAATGTATGTAATTTGTAATGACTAGAATACAAAAAGATAGGCTGTATCGGAAAGTTATTTACTCAAGATGCGTTCGTGTGAGAGCTTTCAGCAGACCAGCTTACAACTGGGGCACTAAAACACACTGTAAAGCAGGGGTTCTCAACCGGGGGGGAATTTCCCCCCCTCAGGTTTTCAGGGGGGGGGGAAACTGATACTAATATGGAAATGCACTTTTTGAGGCAGACAATCTTGGAAAGGAGGGGGGAATGACATTCTGACATATGGTGAAAGGGGTGTATGGGGCAAACAAGGTTGAGAACCGCTGCTGTAAAGTATTTAATGTGAAGATATCTTCTAGACAATGTTATTTACTGCCTCTGGGTGTTATATGATGGCTTAATTTGGCAACTTGTACACTAAGACAAATGATTAATGAATAAAACGGGGTATAAGCAGACGCATAATACTGTAACTAATTTACTAAGAGTTGAAGACAGACATTGTGGTAAGCCGCAGCTGTTTGCCCTTTGTAAACAAATGACTCATGGTGTTCAGTGTGGGATTCTTTTTTCAGGAAAGCGGATTCTTTTAGGATAATATTCTATCAACCTTTCACCAAATGATCCTAAATTATATAAGAATTATGGTGAAAATGTATAAAGACGTGTTAAAGGAAGCTTGGGGGAGAAATGGGGAGGGAGCCACCCACCCTGTTACCCGCCCCTCCCCCTCTTCCAACTGCTCCCAGATAAACACTCGTCTTCCACATACAATATACTCCTACACTTAGTTGTTCTTAGTTTTATCTTTATAGTACTGTACAGTATACAGTTTTATCTTTATTCATAAGACAAATTCTGTGGCTACTTACACATAACACTTTACAGTAAATAACAATCATCTTGGTGACAACCAGACTTATAGTCTGAGTTTTCAACCCAGAGAGTTCTCTCTCATATTTTTTTATTGTTGATGCAATCATCTTTTAATAACCTTGTTATACACTTGACGACCTTAGTTGTAGAAGTGCAGTAATAACATAACTGATTTTCTTAAAGCAGTTGAGATAATCAGTGTTATCTCAAACCCCATATATTCGCTTTTTGGGGACTTTCGCATTTCTCGGACTGGAGTCTGCCCTAATTAATCAGATTTATCGAGGTTCTACTGTACAGTATATGTATTTAAAGTCTTTATAATCTTTCTTGTTATGTGAGGTGCTTAAGTCCCACCACCAGTTTGGTGGTTCTTCTTTGGACATTCTCAATCAATTGGCAGTCTTTGGTGTATCTTAAGGCCAAACAGTACTCCAAGTGGGGGACCATCTGAGCATATGTAAGCTCTTCCACACTAGCCTGGCCCGTAAGCCACGCCCCCTGTCTATAGCTATAAATAGCCGATTGGATCACCTGAGCGTCCCCCCCCCCCGGACTGCGGGTATATAAGGGCATATTTATATTTAACATTACTTTAGACACTAACAGATTTGCTTACCAATAATTGTGAACACATTTAATTTGAATTTTCTATGAACCAATAGGCTATTAATATAGACGAGGTTAGCGTGGAAATACTATAGTTTATTAACGATATTCACCTTCTCACAGTAACCATTATCCCCATTTTACGGCCACCGTCCACACATGCTTGGGTTAGCTACAATTACCTGATGGTAAAGCAGGTCTCTAAACTGTACAGTCTCTTGCAATTTCTCTCGTGACGTTCTTACAACCTCTCCCCAAGTCATTCTTGGTCTGCCCCTGTAATACTTTCAAACAAATTGTCTTTCTTTGGTAGACTGGCATTTAACAGTATATTGAATGTCATATTTAGAGGCAGCTGTTACATATTTCACTCTAGTCTGAATAAACAATCCATATCTATTGAGCCTTGTCTCACATATTTCCCGTTGACTGATCATTCCTCAATACATAATTATATCACATAATTATATCCACAGTATTTTCTTACTTTCACTATTAACCCGCATCTGGTCATTAACGTTCAAGTACGTGATCACTGATGTTACTATCTCTGGTCATTCACGTACTAGAACGTTTTCTAAATATACTTTTCCTGATTCTATGAGAGAGTCTAGCTACCATAATCTGTTGGTTGGTGGTGTCTGGCATCTTTATAAATTTTTTTTATTATTATTTATTGGGCACCCCCCCTACACCCTTGTGTAAGGTGAAGCACAGAAGCGTTTACAGCGCCCAACAGGGCTTGCCTTTATGTCTCACGATTTAAGAGCGTAGAAGCGTCAAGGGCGAAGCCTAAAGAGTCAGTGGTTTATGTCATCAAGTTATTGGAAGCTCCAACAACTTGTCCCTGAATACGAATTCGCAACTTTCGACTTACAACAGGTACCTACTTTACTGCTAGGTGAACAGGGACTAATGGGGGCTAGGAAGTAAGTCCAAACAACTTCCACCAGCCCGGGAATCGAACCCGTGACATCTCGCTTGCGAGGCAAGAACGGTACCGCTTCTACCACCGGTCCCCACCACCTTTATAAACGTTTCCCGCCACTCGGCATTGAGGAACCCCGGGGGAGGGGGGACACCCTCTTGTCTGTTCCCACAGTGATGGCAACTTTTTTTTTGGGGGGGGATTAGCCCATCCAGGCACAGGTCACTGACCCACATTGGGGCCTGGAGGGCGAAAATATAATAACAATAATAACAATAATAATAATAATATAAAATTCATTTCAAATTAAAAAAAAATTATATATATATATATATATATATATATATATATATATATATATATATATATATATATATATATATATATATATAATAATAATAATAAGGAACGATAAATATAAAACTGAAAAAAAAGGTCAAGAGTGAGAAATGTTTTACGGTTGGGTTGTCAAAAGTAAGATAAACAATTATGACCCTGATATTGTGTGTAAATGAGGCAGAAAGTTCGATATGGCAGCAGGGTCTACCATTAGACAATACATTATGCTTCCAATATCTTCCCAGGACGTAGTACCTCTGTTTGATAGCTGCCTACTACCTACACAGTAAAGTCTCAATAGGCATGGCACGTGAACGTAACTCAATCAGGATGAGATAACTCTGAAATATTTGGTAAGGGGTGAAGATGAACATGGTAGTGACAAAGACATGTATTGATAGTGATATTGAAGGTGATGATAATGATCGTGGCCAGGACTACTTGTTTGAACAAGAGGTAAGCAATGACGAGTACTGTGATGAGTGGCAAGTGGAGGAGAGAGGGTTGCTGCCCTCCCCATCTCCAGTACTCCCTCCACTTTACCGACCCCTACCACTCCAAGTCCCACTGCATGGTTACATCCACCCACACCTTCCTCCCACTTGCACTAGCTCCCTCCCTCCCATACTCCTTCTGACCCACACTGTTCCCTCCCTCTCACATTGTTTCCTTCTTCCTACACTGTTTCCTCCCTCCCACACTGCTCTCTCCCTCCCACACTGCTCCCTCCCTCCCACACTGCTTCCTTCCTCCTACACTGCTTCCTCCCTCTCACACTTCTTCCTCCCTCTCACACCGCTTCCTTCCTCCTACACAGCTCCCTCCCTCCTACACAGCTCCCTCCCTCCTACACTGCTCCCTCCTTTCCTCCCACACTGCTCCCTCCCTCCCACACTGCTCCCTCCCGCCCGCACTGCTCCCTCCCGCCCGCACTGCTCCCTCCCGCCCACAATGCTTCTTCCCTCCCACACTGTATCCTCCCTCCCTCCCACACTGCTCCGTTCCTCCCACACTGTATCCTCCCTCCCACACTACTCCGTTCCTCCAAGACTTCTTCCTTCCCTCTACACTGCCTATTGCTATAATAATCTAAGTACAATATAAGCGAATAATATTGGTAAAAATGTAAGGAAAATAAACTGTGAGGGACGGAAAATGCCTCTCCTGATCTTGAGTGTGGAACTTGTAATGAAAAACATCCATATTTTTATAGCATTAATCTTTTTTAGGTTCATTTGTTATGCTGCTACATTCATATTATTTTCTTTTTATTTTTGCTTGAAAAAAAAATCATTATGTATACAAGTGGCTGCAAGACCAACGGGAAGTACTATGACAGCAGTGGTAGCAAGTAGGCTTGGCATACTGCACCAGCCCATGATTTAAATCACAAGTAGCACTTTTAAACGGTGAACGGTAATAAAGCCACAGGAAAAAAAGTAACAGAAAAAAGTCACATTCAAGTTAATAAAACTAAAAATATTTTAAAACAGTTATTAACTGACAATACATGACTTTTACACATTGACAACACAATTTACATATGCTGCACGTAGGTTAGGTTAGGTTAAGTTAGGTGACTTTTTCTGTGACTTTTTTCTGTGACTTTTTTTCCTGTGACTATTTTACCTGGATTCCTTTTAAACGAGGGAGTTGCCACTTTTACTAGTATTTCTTGTTTTCTTAGGTCATTTTGGGGCTTTCGGGCCATACAACAAAAATTCCATATTTCCTGGCAGGGGCGGTATAATGTGTGTATTTAACATGACCTTTTACAGGTTAATGCTATTCAATTTTTATTTTATAAAAAGTTTTGTACCATTGTCTTTTGTCTTTATGGAAGCATTTTGCATTGTTAAAGGAACACAAGTACAGTAATTCATAAAATGCTTACCAGGGTCAACAGAACTTACCATCTATGACATTCATCTTGGGAAATAATGTCACCTTCTTTGTATAATTTTCCATCTATCACCATACACTTCATTTCACATTGTGACTTAGGCACGCATCGTAGTTCAGTGGAACTTTTGTACACCTGGCCTGGAGGGCACTCATCTTTGGAACAACCTGAAATTGAACATTACATTACAATTTAAACACAATTATTTAGTAAAAGGATATGAACAATATCTATACAGGTACTGTGTACCTATTTCTGATACTGTGTGCACACAAGGAGATAATAGACCGGCTGGACAATGGCAAGGGAGCGGCGGCAGTGGCCCGTGCATTTGGAATCAATGAGTCGACCATCAGGCCTGTCAGGAATAGCTGGGAAAAGATACTTCAGGTCTTTAAAGACACCTCCACTTCTGCGTACGACCACATTCATCATATAAGGAAGGCTACAGTCGACCGTGGCAAGAGGGAGAAGCTGCTGTCTATCTAACTTGATCAACAGACCAAGAAGAAGATGCCAGTCAGCTCAGCAATGATCTGAGACAGCGAAGGTCTACTACAAAAAAACTGAATATCAGGTTGATAAAAACCCTTATCCGAAAATCCGAAAACCTCTGAAAACCGATTGTTTTTTCGTGGAGCATCACTCGTGTGCATGATGCATGACATACCCCGATTTTATTATTATTTTTTTTTTTTTACAGGGATTAGCCCACCCGGGCACAGGTCACTGATCCACATCGGGACCTGGGGGATAATAATAATAATAATAATAATAATAATAATAATAATAATAATAATAATAATAATAATAATAATAATAATAATAATAATAATAATAACAGTAATAATAATAATAATAATAATAATAATAATAATAATAATAATAATAATAATAATAATAATAATAATAATAATAATAATAATAATAATAATAATAATAATAATAATAATAATAATAATAATAATAATAATAATAATAATAATAATAATAATAATAATAATAATAATAATAATAATAATAATAATAATAATAATAATAAAGAAATACAAAAATGAAAGCATGATCAAAAATGAGAAACACGAGCCCTGACCTATGAATTTTTATTATTATTATTACATTTTCGCCCCTCAGGCCCCACTGTGGGTCGGTGAACTGTGCCCAGGTGAACTGTGCCCAGGTGGGCTGATCCCAGTAAAAAAAAAAAAAAACTCTGAAATCTGAAAAATGTCGAAATGCATCTGGCCTCAAGAAATTCGGATAAGGGATTGTCAACCTGGTACTGACAAACAAGATGCCAAACTTTTCAGGGCTACTAAGGGGTTGCTTAGCCGATTCAAGTAGAGGGAGAAGTGCACCATCTGAAGATTACTGGAGAGAGAGCAAGTGCCGACATCGGAGCAGCAGACGCGTACCCTGAGGAATTTTTGAAGCTTATTGTGGAAGGCTACACAGGGTGTCAATTTTCAGAAATAGATTTTTATGAAACCGCAGGTGATAATTCTGTTAACTTTTGTGTAAGAAGCTCAAAAATGCCTTTAATTTCAAGATTGGATATGATTTAGCTACATCTATTTGGCTTTGAAGTCAGGCATTGATGCACTGTGTATGTGTTTAGGTAGATAGATAATTTCTGCAGCATTTGTACATTTGTCAAGCAACAGAGATCGCTCTAATCTTGCATAATTGTATGTGTGCATATTGTGCAAGTATGCACAATACACAGTCGCTCGTTTGAACGTAGTGTGATTGCTTTATCGATACAGTATGGAAGTTAAAGTGTGATGTGTATTGGTCTGTTACTCATATTTTTGCCTTTGAAAAGTACTCATGCATGTTTTCTGACAGTGTTAATATTTGTTTCAGATGTGACTATGTCGTCTCCCAGTACAGTACAAGGAATAACTCCAGCTGCCACCTCTGTAACCTTGTGGGACCAGGTAGGCAGCTGCTGGTGTCAGAGCTGCCCACTGTCAGGGACCTGCTGAAGAGGAAGGACAGTGATGCAGATAGAAGGAACTACAAAGTCAAGGACTTGGTGAATGACATCTATACTGATGTGCTAGCACATTGGCAGAAAGCCAATGCACAGTTCACTGTACCTGTGATTGTTAGTAAGAGAAGCATCAAGAGGAGAATGGAGAATTTGTGGGCCAGGGCTGTGGAGGTGTCTTTGGGCAAGGGGAAGCTGGAGGTGAAGCAGACTTTCATTCAGGGCTTAGGCCTATTATTTGACATTCTCTTCTGAAAGTGCCAGATCAGGAGCTGTGCTGAGGTGGGCTGCAGCTCAGACTGTGCCAGAGAGGCTCACATAGACTGTAGCTGCAGCAGGGAGATGAAGATTCCAGTGAAGGAGCTGCTTTACATAAAGGGACAAAGGGAGATAGGGCCTTAAGACATTCCTGAGCATAGGAGGCAGGTGCGGCCACACAAAGGCAGAAGAAGAGGAGGAAGGCAGAGGAGAGGAGAGAAGGAAGAAAAAACTGGAGGAGTCTGTGAGGAAGGAGGAGGAGGCGGCAAGGAGGGCTTCTCTGCTGGAGGAAGCTGGAGACATAATGGAGGATGGGAGGAATGATGGCGAGGAGTTCATTGTCCCAGAGCCTGAACCTGGTCCTGCTCATAAGAAGATGAAATACAACACAGAGAACACCAGGAACATTGCTCTGGCCAGCATAAGTCACCACACAGGCCTGAAAGAGGCAGCAGAGATTGCTACAGCTGCCTGGAATGTTGCTGGCATCATCACAGAGGATGACACTCACCAAGTGAAAGATCACAACAAGTTGAGGAGGGTACAGTCGAAGGTGATGACTGAACTGGACCAGGAATTTGAGAGGGAGGTAAGAGAGATTGGGATCAGTTGCATCTTGTTTGATGGCAGATGTAATGACACTAAAGTAATGATGGAGGCAGACAGTAGTAACAGACTGTTTCCTGGCATGATCAAGGAGGAGTATTACTCTGTATGCAGGGAGCCAGGAGGGAGATACCTGTGGCATTTTGTGCCTGAGGAGGCGACAGAGGAGAGAACGCATGCAGGTGTGAATGCAGACAATCTAGTGGACTGGCTGAGGGAGAGAGGAGCTGACCATTCTCTCCAGGCAATAGAAGGGGACTCCAGTACTGTAAACACTGGGTGGGAGGGAGGAGTAATGCACTATGTGGAGGTCAAGCTGGGCAGGGGGTTAGTCTGGCTAGTATGTGACCTCCATACTGGGGAGTTTAGCCTGAGACAAATCATCAACTTGGATGTCCCCACACTCGGCAACAACAAGTGGACTGGCAAGATTGGCGAGATGCTGGACACTGCTACAGAGCTGGAGATAGATCCCAAGTTTGCCAAGATCCGTGTGGGGCCTCCTCTGACCCAGTGGAGGAAGAGGTTGTGAGGGACCTCTCTACAGGCCAGTCCTATGGTTACAGGATTGCTCAGGCCATCAGGACTGGAGAGCTGCCCCACAATTTGACCCTGCTTGAAACTGGACCAGTCTGTCATAGCAGGTGGCTGACAACTGCACTGAGGATGTGCAAACTGTAGGTGTCTAAACATGGGCTGAAGAGCAAGCACAAGTATAATCTCAAGCTAAGAGTGGAGTTCATAGTGGGGGTGTACTTGCCTAACTGGTACAACATCAAAGTCAACCACAGCTGGGTGGAGGGGCCCAGGCACATTCTGTACAGCTGGAGCTGCTGAAAAGTCAGAAGGAGAAGGTGCTGGACACAGTGTTGCCCACTGTGAGGAGGTCAGCCTGGTATGTACACCCAGAGGCAGTGTTGCAGGCCATGCTGTGCAGTGAGGTGGAGGATGAGAGGAGAGGGGCAGTGGACAGGATACTGGAGTAGAGGGGGGTGGGGATGAGGAGACACAGATTGGTGACGACTCTGTCAGTCCCAGGAGAACACCTGACATAAACCCAGATGCCACCAAGCTGTCAGAGCTGTTAGACTGGACCACTGGCGTCACTGAACCTCCCCTCACATGTTCCCCCACCACAGCTCAACTCAAGCAGTTTGTGCACAGGCCTATGGAGGTGCCAGACTGGCCTTCACATACTCAAAGTGTGGAGAGGAGTGTCAAACTGGTCACAGAGGCAGCTGCCCATGTCTACAGTCACAAGAAAAGGGATGGGATGATCATGTCCCAATTGGTGAGCAGACTTCTGATGTCTAGGATCAGGAGCAAGCAGGACCTGGCCTCTCTCACCAAGTTCAAGAGGTGAAGAGTATAGTATGTGAACATATATATGTGTGTATGTGTGTACGTGTCTGTACATAGTGCTTGCATTGTGTGGCCACTTTTGTATATCGCGTTTGCAACAGTAGTCAGTCGTTGTAATACAAAGGTTCCGTGTGTGGCTTGTGTTCTTGCTCGCAATCATTACTACAAGGAGGAAAGTAAAAAACCTCGAGCCCTATTGTCACACATTACTATATAAAACTGCAAATACGATTTTCCGTGTCTCATTCCAGTACAATGGTGATAGATAGCAACAGGAAAATTTAGCATTTTGGGCTTAAAACGCAAAATTTAAAATGGAAATTGATGTAGGTAGGAGACCTCCAATCTCAAAATCAAGGTTATTCCTTAAATTTACACATACAAATGCATCATTTGATGATCCGCCGTCAGAAAAATTCCTAAAGTTGCACTTCGACCCCTGGTTGAGTGTGTAGGTACACACTTAACCAGATCTACAATTGTGATGAAACCAGGCTTCTGTGGAAGTGTATGCCCACCAGCACCTTCATCTCACAGGAGGAGAGAACTGCACTGTGATTCAAGACTGCTAAGAACAGGATCATCCTCATGATGACCTCCAATGCTACAGAAGATCACAAGCTTCCTATGCTGGCAGTGTATTGCTGTGCAAGGCCGATGTGCTATAAGAATGTCAACATGGAGTCACTGGAGGTCAGGTGGATGTACAACAAGAAAGCTTGGGTCAACGGTAAGATCTCTCTTGATTGGTTTCACCAGAACTTTGTGCTCATGACGAAAGCATACTGTGAGGAAAAATTTGACACATCGTGTTCTCCTGTGTATGGTCATCCAGCAATTCTAAGTGAGCATCACCCCAATGTGAAGGTTGTGTTTTTGTCCAAGAACACAACATCACTCCTGCAGCCTCTAGATCATGGGATAACTGCCTCCTTCAAGAAAAAGTACTTCTCTTTGACCTACCTTCAGTTATGAGAGGCAACAGATGTGGCATTCGAGGAGGCAATGGAGATAGACAGGGAACCGCAGAGCAGCAGAGGTGAAGAACAACACAGGCAGGAGATATGAGACTGGTGGAAGTGCTACACTATCAGATATGAGGTGGACAATGCAGTGGTTGCATGGGAAAACATTACCAAGGCACAAGTTGTTCGGGAGTGGAAGCCACTCCTACGAGCTTACCACAATTAAAGTGACCAAAATGAAAGTGATCTCAGTGAAGTGCCCTCTGGTGAAGATGTGCTGGGTGAGCTGCGAGTGGTTGGGGGGTGCAGTGTTTGGGGCAGTGACTAACACCGAGGTGGACGAGATGTTGGATTCTGGAGAAGCTGGGCCAACGGTTGAGTTGATTGTGGAAGAATTAGAGAGAGTGGAGGACAACAAGGATGAAGAGGTGGAGGCACCAAGAGTGTTAATGGCCAAAGATGCAGCAAAGGTCCTGAAAATAGCCGAGGCCCTCGAGGCAAAGTTAATGGAGATCAACCCACACCTGGCAGAGAGCGAGTTACAGGCGCTGGAGATTGACCACATCCCCCCGCCTTACAAAGACCTCTACACCATATCAATCAGCTATGCCAGTCTACCATCACACAGTCTATAGCTGCCCCTATCCAGTCTGTACCTCAGCTTAGCCTCCCTGCACCTTAGCCTAGACCCTCTGCACCTCAGCCTAGCCCCCCTGCAGCTCAGCCTAGCCCCACTGCAGCTCCACCAAGTCCCCCTACAGCTCCGGCAAGTCCCTCTGCAGCTCAGTCTGGTCCCTCTGCAGTTAAGGCAGGCCCCTCTGCATCTGATTAGTTTGAGGGATTTTAGCACAACCCCAAGCCTCGGAAACTGTCACTCATGCCGGCTTCTCCACGACCACCAGGTATGTTTATTCTTCTTATTTAATGGATTATTTCGTTTTTTTTATTCTCCTCATATAATTAAGGTACAGTACACATATTTAACTAAGGGTAACTTTCATAAAGGTTATGTGCAGGAAAAGTGCTTTGAAAGACCAGTTTTGGGTTCATGGTGTGCATCTGCAGGGGTCCCGGAACCAATTGTTGTTTTTGTTTGCCATTAGTTTATAGTACCCAAGTACACGGTTTCCAAGTACACACCGCTCCGTTGGCACCAAATATGATTTTTGGATGATATCTATTCTCTGGGGCCCAAAATAAAGTGGTATCAAAATGCAAGATATTGTGTCTGGCTGCTAGGAAGAGTATGACTATGATAAACACATGTAGCTTTTAAGGCAAAGTGAAATTTTTTTTTTGAGATAATATATTAAATCTATTTTGGCAGAATTGTTGCTTCTGTAGAATGTGTTTAAATATATCAGGTACAGTTGAAGAGCAAAACTGTAGTTTGGCCTTTATGTCCCTGATGAAATGAAGCAATAGCAACCACAAGATAACCTACCTTCAACACATGCATCCTGTGTACACATTGGTGATTTGGGGCTGAACAGTGTGTCACAGGTCAGTAGAGGACAGGTGGGGATACAGGCCTCATAATGTTCACACGTTTCATCACACTGCATAGCTGTAAGATCAAAATATTTTAAATTCCAACTACTCGTCCTCTTTCAGTCTGTCTTATCAGGTCGTCATTTCTTATAACCTCTCTTATAACCCCTGGCTCTCCTCTCCTCCACATTTTGGCTCATGCAACTCTTGACCCAATTGGTCTCATCCACACCATCTCAGCCTGGCTCTACACAGGACTTCACCAATCAGACATAGGGCTGATTATTATTCATAATTAATCAAACAATCATAATATCCTATGATGCTTATGTAATCATCATACTGTATAATCATTTTTTTATGATTAAAAATTATGATCACAATCTAATCATAATGTGAAAAATTTAATAATCGCAGTACAGTCATAATCAAAATTAGATAATCATATAATCAATGATTATAGTGTAAGTATAACTTGAAAATTTACCATATTTTTTATTTTTACAAAACTTAATTCAAACAGGTATTAAGTACAGGAGCAGCCATGATATACGTCCATGGCAGGTGGCTGGGAGGATCTCAAATTACGTTCCATTAACCCTTTTGTCCAGGTGATATTCCTCTATGTTTACCAAGGTGACCCCAGGTGGCGTTCCTCAACGTTCTTAATTTTGGCAGCATATTTTGACTGTCCAGGCGGGACAAAATACTTTGTTTTGGGTACTCGTTTAATTGGCAACACAACTCACGCGTAATCTTTGTCTCAAGACTCGTGGTCAGTTACCCACCAATTATCGTGATGGCTGCTCGTCCGTCAACCTCTGTTCAGTAATTCTTAGCGGTCATATTTATTGCTATGATAAACAATCAAATCGATACATAACATATCATAAAATACAATAGCACATATTTTATATACAACAAAAATAGCTCCTTCCACACTAAAACCATCCTCTGGGTGACAGACACAGTTGAAGCAGTCAACCAGCTGACTGATAGATGTGTGGCTGCCGCTCTGAGCTGTGTGTATGCCATGGCATTAAATCGGGAGGGATTGTAGCCATGTAGCTATAGCCCAGTAACCCACCACCTCAACACACCCACTCACTTCCCACCCATGCTCTTCATTTTTCCTTATTTAAAGTTTTATATTATATTTTCCATATTTCTAAACCACATTAGAATACTGTAATGATTTTTCCACAACTTTTATATTTTCAATACAAGTAACAATAAATGTGGCAGCTGGGCTGGTGAGTCAGCCATGGTAATCATGGTTATCATATTATTAATCATAATTAATTTTTTCAAGACTTTTATTCAAAATTAAATCATAATCAAACTTTTAATGATTATATATTAATAATCAGCATTTACTGTGATAATTATTAATCATAATCATAATCAAATGGTGTAATCAGCCTCATGTCTGCTCTCAATACCCAGCCATCCCTTCAGCTCTGAACAAGGCCTATTGTCTTCAAGTGTCACATTACCTATCCAATTTACCATTCTCATTTGAGCTCGCTCAAGTGTTCATATCATCCTCTTTAAATGCCCAAGATTTAATGACATACATCACATTTCTCACACCAGCCACATACATTCTCCATTTAATGTGGAGGGAAAGTCTTCTTGCTGTCAATAAAGGCAGCGATTCCCTAGACTTCCTCCAGCCACTTCTGACTTGCAACTGAGCAGGCTTCAGAAATGTCATGAGCACGAGTTCATGTCACCTAAGTAACAGAACTCATTGACACAGTCCAGGGACATATTCCCAATCTTGAGTTTCTCTAGCCGTGCTGTGGGCCTGTGGTTACCTGCACATACAGAACACTTGAAGTATGCAGCAACATCCCACAGTCTGTGCCATCTACTCCACTGCTCCTCTTGTGTACCCATCTTCCACACTTGTTGCACATTACTTGGTTACTGTCAACACCTTTCTTACTGACAGTACATGGACACTATCCACCACTGGTCTCTCACCCACAACACTAATTAATACTTTTGTTTTCACCACATTCACTCTCAGGCTATTTTACTATATTCCTTCCTCCCATTTCTTAAATTCTCCACAGGCTCTTCAATACTTTCTGCTATCAGCACTAAGTGAGCAGCATATAACAACTTCCAGAGCAGGAAAGTCCTCAAGTTGTGTGATATTACCTCCAGCACATGACAAATAGATGGATGTTCAAGATGACCCCTGAGATGACCCCTGTTGGACCCCTACTTTCAATTCAAGTTCCTCACTTTCCTCACCATTTACTCTCACAGGGGTTCATGAACCCGCATATAATACCATAATCACTCAAACAAAGTACTTCTTGACCACTAGTCTTCTCAATGCCCACTTAACTAGTGTACTTCACATCATACCCTGTCAGGTGCTTTCTCAAATTCTACAAACACAAAGTTTTCTCTCCTTCCTTTTATCTTGTAGCTGCCTGGTCATAAATATTTCTTCTGTAGTCCCTCTACCTAGCATATATCCAAACTGAATTTTGTTTATGTACACTCTCTCCCTTATCAATTCCTCAGTCATTCTTTCCACAATTTTAATAAATTGATCCAGCAACTTCAGATCCATGTAGTTCCCACATTCAAGTGCATCACCTTTATTCTTGTAAGAATTCACAATCACACTTCTCCTCCAGTTACCTGGAACAGTTCATTCCACCTGTTAGGTATTCTGGGTAATAAGTTCTATATACAGGAGAGAACACAAACACCTGTATAGTTTTGTAGGTTCGGTTTACTGGATAAGAGTATGTACACAGAGGTGGGTAGCACTGCTCCCTAGCTAAGCTCTTGGTCAACTACCATAGACGACGTATGGCAAGTGATACATTAGCAGCTTCCATACGTCGCCAGGCACATTAATTAAGCGTGTGGGATATGGTAATAACATTGCCACACGCTGCTAGCTAGGCTGAATAAATATAAATGGAGCACATACATAATATACATACATAATACATAATCCAGCATACATAATATACATACACCTCCCTCCCCCCTATACGCTCATAGCAAAGTCTTGAGCGGACCTTTTCTTCTGGATCCGTTCTGAGCGTCGAGGGACTTCATCACTGGGAAGGGTATGGGACTCAACACTGGTGGCGGGGCCAGCAGAAGGCATTGTTACGGGGCGGAGAAAACGGCGGTTCCTCCACCACACACGACCACTGGGTAACCGCACCTGGTAGTCCCGTGACCTGCCGAGACCCATGACTACGCCTACTTTGTCCCAACGTAGGGAGGTCGGGTCCTGAACACGGACTTGGGTGCCGACACTCAACCTGGGGAGGGAACGGGCGTGGTCGTTGTAGCGGGCGACGACGTCCTGAACACGTTCGGCGGCTCGGCGATCACAATCCTCTGTCTTAGCCTGCCACTCCTTGGAGAAGGATTGAGGGTGAGCAGGGACACAAGAACGAAGGGGGCGTCCATACAAAACCTGGGCAGGGGAGCGTCCGGTGTAGTTGGGTGTGTTGCGGAGTTCAAGAAGACCCCGGTCGAAGGCCTCGCAGTCAATATTCCCAGAAGGGGCCACCTTAAGGATGAGGTGCTTCAAGGATTTGACAGCAGCCTCAGCGTGGCCGTTGGACTGCGGGTAATGGGGCGATGACAACACATGCCGGACTCCCCATCGGTCGAGGAACACAGCAAAGTCCCGGCTTGTGAACTGAGGCCCTCCGTCGGTTCGCAGGCGTACAGGAACGCCCACGTCACGGAAGTAGTGGCGGAACTTGCTGATGGTGGCGGCAGACGTCGTGTCATTACCGCCCTTGATGACAACCGGCCAACCAGAGAGGCGGTCGACGATAACCAGGAAGGACTTTCCTGACACACAGAAAAAGTCGGCCGACACAGACTCAAAGGGGCGGGTGGGGTTGTCGTCACTCATGAAGGGTACCTGCTGCTGGCTGGGTTGTAATACGTGGCGGGGCTTACACACCTGGACAGCATTGGAGATGTCGGGGTCGATGCCAGGCCGGAACACAGTCTGTCGTGCACGTCGTTTGGTGGCCTCAGCTCCACGGTGACTGTCGTGAAGGCGAGCCAAGGCGTGGGGACGTGATGCAGCAGGGACAACTACCGAAGGAGAGGTGTCACTGGCCAGAGGTAGGGGTAGGGCGGCAGCAGGGTAGTTGCTGCTCCCTTCATGCACCCTGTTGGCGTAATTTACCTCGAGAATCGGTGTTGGGAAGTCCTGGGAGATGATGGCCAACTCTTGACAATGTCTGTAGGACAGCAAGGGAGTCGGGACACCATTATGCACGTCAATCCAGGCCTGACACGACCTGTTGCCAAAGGTGACATGTGCATAGAGTGAACCCAGGGCTGGGGCCATCTGTGAACCATCTGCCGTGACGCAGAGGTCCTCGGGAGGCGGTCCTAGATCGCTTGGAGAGAGCCCCAAGCATCGCAAATGCTGGGGACCGATGACTGTAGCATCAGCGCCGGTGTCGGGCAACATCTGAAGACGGGATGACACACCGCCGTAGGTCACGATGACGCTGATGTACTGGGGGACTTTGGTCCTGGGATGCGAGGAGTACACCCTCCTAAAATGGGTCGGGCTTTGTCCAGGGTCGTCGTGCCTCTGATTTGGCGACTGTGGGCGGCCCTCACTGGTAGAAGGGCGCCGAAGCTTCCGCCGACGCTGTCCCTTGGGTTCGTGGGTAGGGCAACACTTGTCATAGTGGCCCAGACGACCGCACACATTGCACTGTACGTACTTAGCTGGGCACCGCACTGTGAGCGACCAGTGGCCCATACGGTCACAACTGTTGCAGGTAGACTGAGCAGCTGGACATACCTGTGTTCCGTGCTGCTTACCACAGTTGTTGCAAAATGAACCGGGCGTGGACGTGGTGGGCGAAGGCGTAGGAGCAGACTTCTTGTCCTTCTTGTACCGGGAAACAGCGCGTACAGCTGTAGGGGGAGCTCGGATGGCAGAGGTGGCACACCTGGCAGCCTCATAGGAGCGACATATCGTCAACACATCCTGAAGAGAAGAGGAAGAGTCGAGGGAGGTGAGGCGTTGGACAAGTTCCTCGTCCTTAACACCCATCAAGATCACCTGCTTCAACTGGGTCTCCTCACACTGCTGGTGGTGGCCTAAACATATATCTACCTCTTCCGAGGCTCTCTTAAGACGTACATAAAAGGCGTCAAAAGACTCACCCTCCATCTGTCTGCAGCTAAACAATTCCCTCCTGCGCAGAGCTTCATTCTGCTGTCCTTTGATGTGCCGTTGTAGAACGTCCAGTACCTCCTCTACAGACAGCGAAGAGGTTGGGGGTACCTGCAACGTATGTTCTAAGACACGCTGAACTTCCAAGGACAGGCACATACGCAGCTGGATGAGTTGTTTAGGCTGTGACAAACTCTGGAGATCCACCATTGTAGCATAATCAGCCCACCGCCGCCGCCATTCGCGAAAAGTCTGGAAATTTACATCAGGCTCCAAGATGGGCGGTGTTTGAGCTGCTGCTTTAGGTGGGGCTGGGGGGCGTGAAGGAAGCATGGATGAGGTATCTGAACCATTCAGTACCGAGGCAGTGTTAGAGCCAGGGGCTTGGTTAACAGTGAGGCGAGATATCAAGGCTTCAAACCGTGCACTGTCTTCCATTCTCCGTTGGTGGTCTCGTTCTGCCTCTGCTTGCCTTCTGTGCTCATCCGCCAAACGTCTGTGAGCTTCATCCTCGCGTCTCTCATCTCTCATAAACTTCATTAAGGCAATTATCTCTGGAGATAACGCTGAATGTTGAGGTGAAGGGCTGCGCGATGTTGTGGGAGCTGGGCCGGCCTGGTCATCCATCTCTGGGGGACTATCATCCGCTTGACTCATCCAGGCGCTGGGTCCACGGCTACGTAAGGCATGAGACATAACTACTTTATCTGTGTACTGTGTCTTAAATCAGTGTTGACCGGTCAGCCCGTCGTATCAACAAGATTTCAGACAAAAATTTAATTAAATACACAGATAAGTAGGTTATATATATAAAATATATATAAGAAACCGCGCGGTCAGCAAGTGTTAGTACATGTATGTGTGTGTGTCCCAGGCAGGCAGAGCGTCTCGCCCCAGCTGTGAGGGGGGGTGGAGGCGGCGCTGTGAGGGAGGGGGGTGGAGATAGGAGTAGCTCAGTCGCTCTCTGTAAACGGTCAGAGGAGGGTGCGCTGAGCTCTACACCCCACAAATGCCCAGAACATGCCGTATACCTTGGAAATCCGTTCGAACAAGGTCACACATGAATGGCACGAAACACACAATGCACTAAACACTTCACAGAAAATCACTGTCACTGACACTGCTCAAAGTTGCGAAATTCTTCGAGGGATGACGCGGGGTTGACCCAAGGCGGGGATCCATCAGCCGGCTTTCCACAAACTTGCACTAATCACTCGTAATAATCCAGTAAAACTACGCACTGCGCCATGTTAGGTGTTCTGGGTAATAAGTTCTATATACAGGAGAGAACACAAACACCTGTATAGTTTTGTAGGTTCGGTTTACTGGATAAGAGTATGTACACAGAGGTGGGTAGCACTGCTCCCTAGCTAAGCTCTTGGTCAACTACCATAGACGACGTATGGCAAGTGATACATTAGCAGCTTCCATACGTCGCCAGGCACATTAATTAAGCGTGTGGGATATGGTAATAACATTGCCACACGCTGCTAGCTAGGCTGAATAAATATAAATGGAGCACATACATAATATACATACATAATACATAATCCAGCATACATAATATACATACACCACCAACTCGGTTATCATTAACATAACTACATTGCAAACAGTTTCAGCATTTTTGCAACTATCCCAGAGCTTCCAGCTGTCTTTCCATACTTCATTTTGTCAATCACTTTGTTCGCCCATTCTCTTGCAACCCTTGGGCATTGTCCCTGTACTGGTTCTACTACCCCTAGGCTTCCCATCCCATTCGTACTCCTCATTCAATATTTTTTTTTCGTTTATCCTCTTCACCACTGATCGGCTCGTTAGCCTGTTGGGCAGTCGGTCACGTCTCTGTTACACACTGTTGGCAAGTACTGGTCATGCACTAGCTCCTGAATGTATCTGAATCTGCTCCAGTGTTGGTCAAGTCTTTGTTTTGAAAGAGCTCACACTTGGTGACGTCACAACACTCTCCGGCAGGTTGTTCCAAGAGTTCACAATTCTCACTCCGAAAAAGTTCGCCCTCCCAGTTTTCTGGACTTGCGGCTTCTTCAACTCTCCTTCTCGAAATGTACACCACCTACCTTTTACTGCACCCTTTAAACAACATGTCACACAAAATAATCTGAGCTGCAATGCACACTCTTACCCTGCTATTATCTTTAAATCCCTAAGAAGTTTCCTATCTGATTTCTTAACGAGAAAGTAATAAATGTAATAAATCCACCATAATCAGCTTACTCACCTTCTTCTCTCACATCATGTTACTACACCATGTTCATTGCATCCCTGAACTCAAGTATTCTTTCACCACCCACAGTTCTTGCTTCACCATGTACATGTTTTTAATCCTCCGTGTGTGCATCAACATGACTGTTTAAGTTACCTCTCAGTACTACATGTAACAGCTTATCCCAGAATTCATCCTTCACTTCTTCATTTAGCCCAACTTGTATGCAGATGTGAGTCACCAGATCCTTTATCTATATCTAAGGTAAACCTTCTTCATAAAACTACAGAGCTTGTCTACAAAACACATAATGCACAATCTAAAGGTCAGTATCACAACAGACTGAATCAGTATAAGATAAATAAACAAATACATAAACAGCATTATGAAGGGTCTACTTACGGCAAAAGTCTGGTGTACGCCATTTAATGTACACCCCATGGATGTTACACTCATGAGCATAGGCAGCTACAGCTGTACACAAACAGTGGCAGTCTCCACCAGTGTCACAGGCACAAGCATCAAACAGGCACCTGGTAAATAAGTGTTAGAAATTGCTAAATCAAACAGTATATACAAAAATATCAATTGATCGTTCACCTTGGGAACTAACTCCAGCTTGATATTCATTAGGATGATGTCACACAGTTGCTTGAGTCTCATGCTGAAGAATTCGGCAATGAGGACATGATTGAACTGGAGAAGCAAATTTTGTCAGAGGATGGAGAGGAAGCTGAACTCCAGAACCAAAGGGATTTATTACAAAATAATTGGCAGATGGTTTCAGGTTTATTGAAGGATTGTTTAAATTTACACAGCAAGATACCAACACAGCAAGATTCACCAAGGTTCATGGAGGTATTACTGAATGTCTACAATGCTACAGAGAGATTTATGACGAAAAGAAGAAAGTTTCAGTTCAACCATCCCAATAAAGCCTCTGTCACTCCTACAAATGACCATCTCTAAGTGCAAACCAGTCCCAGGTTTCAATGTAAGTGTTAAACTTTAATCTTTACTTTTCTTTACTGTATTTTGTCATTCAATTTCTTCTTTTCTCTTAAATTGAGTGATTCGAGATGTATAAAATGGACTTAGGCTATGATATAGTGCACATAGGGTATGTGTTCCAACTTATGGACATTTCCGACTTAAGACGACCTCAGGAACGGAACTCCTACGTAACCTGGGGTCCCCCTGTTTAAGTGAGAGTTTACTGTTGATTCCTCTTCATGCTGTATCCACATTATTGCATCAGTTCGCATAAAATGCAGATGACAAGAAAGAGCAAATCATGAGGAAGACGATGGTGTAATCAGAAAAGAAAATAATGTAAAAAGTAATGGAGTTACAGAATAAAAAGTAAAAATAAGTGGTGGTGAAGCATACAGTCGCCGAAATATTTATACACATTTTTCTTTGCTATTTTTTGTGTGAAATCTTTTGAAAGTAGTTTTTTATGGTGGATTATTACTGTACACATACTAAGGAAGAGAAAGAAAACAGTTAGAAGTTTCTGTGACAAAAACTCAAAATTTGGCAATAATATTTCCACTTATCTCTCAGACGAGGTAGACCTTGGCATATGCAAGACAATGGCGACGTAGTTATGAATACATATCAAATAAGCACAATATATTCATTATAATTCACCATACCCATATGCATGACTCTACTGCACTACATTTCACTATCACTTCTTGTTTTCCAAGCTAAGCCTATATATTGCAACATGCTTTTGTGTGGTATATGTGACTGTATTGTGAGTAGCCATTTCACCAACGTCTCATAAATTAAAAAAAAAAATTTCATTATTTCATTATAAATATTTCAATACGCATCACTTTATCACTTCATAGGAATGAATATAGAGGTTGTAAGTTATAAATATTTGGAGATAGTGGCACAAACACCGCTATAGCCATTATATAAATTGTGCCCAGGACACACTCACAGCTCTCCTAACCGAACCAGAGGCAAATCTAGAGTGTTTGTTTGGAGGCCGTGTGATCCATCTCACATTGATGAGTTACCAACTAGCCTTAAGACTTGGTTCCATCCAGGAGAATGAAGTGAAGAAAGTGGCGTTAAAATTTGAAATAATTCGACCAGTAACTTTTAGAAAAAATGAACTATACGCCACAGTGGCATGTCTGACTGTGAGGCAAAAATTTAATTTACAATAAATCAAAAACCACTTAAGAGCGAATGAACCCGAGAGTGTTAACTTTTGTTCCACATTACAAACATGTAAACCTCACCTCTTACATGTTCTCCAATGAAATTATTAATTTTACTTTACATAATTTCACTTTGCATGACACTTTTTATTGACATATGTATCATATTAACCAAGGAAGATATTTCCTGTAAAATCTACTTTCTACAGTGATGGTTGTAGATAGCAAGAGAAATCAATAGACACTCCCACTGTATATTACTCATTTCCATCAAAATTGCATAAAAATTTTCTAATTTTGCTGCACATTATGTTTGTGGTCACCAGATGTATGGATATTTCTCTCAAGGTTGCCAGAAGTGCATTTCAATAGACCTCCTTCTTACATGGTGTTTTAGGGTAACTGAACACTGAAATTTCTGCGAGTGAATTACTACTGCTGGTTACATTTAGCCTTATCCTATGACTCACGGGATATTTGAAAAGGGAAGGGAAACATCAGACTATTTCTTGTACATACAGTTGCCCTCAGGTATAGTGGCCTTTTTGAACATGTGGCAACATGTTGTTAGCAACTGCCCTCCTCACATTATCAATTTATTCATAAAGTAATTCCGACGTTGCCACATGTTCGGAAAGGCCACCAAGGGGGTGGAACATTATACTTGTGGGCAACTGTACATAGTTCTTTGGTCCCAAATGTACAAGTGCATAGGACTCTGGTCCCAGGTATACAAAGTACCGGTATAAGTGTAGGGTTGAAAGGAAAATATCTGCCAAGTTGGGCACTGTACTTACATGACTGAAGTCAACTTTAACATAAATTTAGGCTTGATCAAATATAAACTGTATCTGTTTATCGGTTTGATTTTTCAAATAATTTAAAGTACTGTATCAAATAAGTCAATGTTTTACATGTCCTAACGTACAAATTCTGATGATTCAAAGAAACACTCAAATTCTTTGATAAATTTTACCTTTCCTCATAGGGTTTGACAGGCACTTCAGAGTGACATGGAGCAAAGATCTCTGTTTTTAGGATGGCACATTGCTCAGTAGCCCAAACTTTCCTGTAGGGGTGTAGACTGCAGGAGTCCTGTTGAGTAGAGACAAGCTATTGATAATGATGGTACAGTAATAGTAATGTTCACATTAGGTAAATGACATAGCTAACAAAACTTAGAGTCATTATGAAGACACAAGAATGTAATTTGGAACCTATTAATGTAGAATCTTGTTTAATATTTTTAAATCAGTGGAATATCCTAGGGAGAGTAAAGTAAGGAAGAATGGGAGAGATTTGTATAGGGAAGTGGATGTGTGAGTGAAGGAAGTTAAACTGGTGAATCTGCTTTAAGAGGAGAGCGAATTTGGGACAGAATTTATACTGGCTGCACTTCAAAGATCTGAAGATCATTTATCAAAAAACTTCTAAAATCAGAACAAAATAATTGAGTTGTCTACACAGTCCTACACTTCCAAGTTTTTAATTGTTGGTACATAACTCAATAACTGCACTGTACTGTAATTGTTTTTTTTATTACTATTATTATTTATTATGTTACTTGGTTTAGTTTCAGTTATACATATTATATAGTACTGTAGTTTATAGTTACCTTACATTATTTTTTTTGGTGCCGAATGAAATATTAAAGGTTTTTTATAGAAAATTCTTCGGTTAAGCAAAAATTTCAGTTATCCAAAACGGTTCTGGTTCCAAGATTTTAGATTTTTGAAGGAAAACCTGCAAACAAATTTGTTATTTACTTTGTCTCACCAAATATTCGCCTTCAAATGTTAGTTATTCTTGTTTTTCTTGTGAATCTTTATGCATCCATTCCAACCATTTTAGTTGTAAATGGAACACTGAAATTGGGTAAGAATAAAAAAAAAATGAAATATGTGTGACAAGAATGTCCCCTTCACAAGCTAATTTGTCAAAGGTGTAATGGCCCCTGTCTCATCAACAGAAAGTATTATATAAATGGGTTATTTACATCTGATTTATATTCAGATTCATCCCCTGTAACTTTCCACTGGCTATGAGGTGACATGTTCAATGCACTTGATAAGGTGTGCCCACAGGAAGTTGCATCATACTATGCTGAGTAAAGGCATAAAGTAGCCGGCTCTCTGGCCACCTAAAGCGGGCAGTGGCTTGATATCCTTGACTAGAGGAAGACGTTATTTAAGAGCCACAGTGGATGGCTCCGTCTTCCCTCGAGGGAGAGGACGAGTCTATTCCGTTCTCCCTCGATGAGTCACTACTCAAAGTCTCACTCACTACTTAATATCGAACGGACGTTGATTCACGTCTACTGTATTTACATAGACGCCGTCCCTTTCTCACCACACTCATAAATAGTGGAACTTACGGTTGATCTACAGTCAGGAATTATATATATAATACTTTTCAATAAAACAAGAAACTTCAATTGGGTTTCGTTACTAAAGCCCAATATAATAAATATGTGAGCCAACCTGGTTAACTTGGAATTAACCAACTGGTTCAAAGGTTCACAATTCTGACAAAATACCTAAATCTTTTGATGGTAAATATTCCTCTAAAACTGAATCAAAACATGTACAGTATGTGGATAGAAATCTTATGTTGGGAACAAAATGTGGACCTGTGACCTCCAGCAGAGACTTGAGCTTCTAAAGTTTGGTGTTATATACATTGTCTAACGATGATACATTTTCATTTACAGTTTTATAAAAAAAGAACTCTAAAGGTTTTAATCATTGACCTTCCTGTGACCTTACCATGTGTGACAAAGACTTTCCTTGATATTTTGCTCTTTTCCTACTGCTGACACATACTGTAATGTACCCGTGTAAAATTATATCAACATACCTGCATCAGTGGTATGGACAGTGGTATGATCTCTAACTATTAGTAGTAACCTTAACCTTAGGCACAGACATCTGAATCTAGTGGCTTGTGCTTTGTTAAGTCATAATGTAAATTCTGAGGTTTCTTAAAAATATCTGATCCTTAACCTTCCAATGACCTTTATCCTTTGACATGTAAAATTTGAACTTATTAACCAGCACTTTGTCTGGTGATAATACTATCCTTGTGAAGTCACTATGATACGTCAGTATTAGCACAACACTTCCTCCAGATACTGTTTTGATTTTGACCTTCAGCTGTGACCTTAACATTTCCTGAACTGTAACATTTGACAACATATATTGTACATCTGTACATGATGGGTGGTTGACTAAGTAGAACGTCGATATAACACGAGATATGTTCCAAGAGAGGTCGCTTTAAACAAAATTTGCACTAAATCGAAGTGTTGTTTAAATGGAATAATTTAGTTTGGTACTTGAGAGAAACACAAAATACTAAGAAGACTGAGAGTCTACCCAGATGCACGTCAGCCCTTCTCCTAGAATAAACAAAAAATTTTTTTTGTAGTATTATGTTAAAATAAACACTCATAAATCAACACAGCTAAAATTATGGGACATGAAATGGTCTGTTTACTAGTGATCAGCTGATGGGAAGAGGGAGGGAGGGAGGGGGGGAGGTGATATGTTTGACAGTTGATACCAAGATCTAGTGTTCATTTATCTGTCCTTAAGAGTGACTAAGTTATTTTCTCATGAAATGTCATTGAACTGACATGGGGGAATATAATTAACATTGCTGGAATTCTTATAATATAGTGATTAGTTTGAATATATACAAGCTATAGTTCGCATTAGACATACAAATTTTAGTTCTAAATAATTTTATTACAAAGGGCTAAAATTTTTATCTCTTGTGCAAAATAAATGACTTTTATTCAAATTTAAAATATGATGCGCCAGATTAACTCATGCAAAATCGAACATTCAGTGACATGAATTTATTGATCAGATTCTCTCCGTTAATCTTCTTTCTTTAATGCAGTGGCTTCCATAATTCTGTAATTTTACCACACAAAAGATTCCTCATATTTGGACATGTTGTTGAAAGGCCTAAACTAAAAGGAAGGAAGCCACAAATAATGCTTCAAGTGGTAGTGCTTATTTATTGCTATGTTCTTCCCCTCTTTCTCCTGCTTTGTTTGATAAACAAACATTAGTTAAGTATAGATCAGCTGTTGAGCAAGCTATTCATATTACTGTTCCCAGGAGTCCTAAGACCTTTCGGAAATTTAAAAGAGGAAGGTCTAACAGGGGAACAGGACCAGATGCTAGGTTCAGTTACCAACCTAGAGGAAACTTTACAGGAGGAACCAATTCAAGACGTAGTAGGGGTGGCCGTTTGTTCAGCAGTGGAAGGAGACCTTATTCCACCACATCAGCGACCACTCCCTTCCAATGAAGCCAGACAGCTGGGCAGTCTAGGGGGTTGGGAAAACAGGTGGACTTCTTCCATATGGGCTTACAAGACAATAAAAGGGGGCCTCACATGGACTTGGTTGAGGCTCCCTCCGCTAATGTTACCAAAAAGGGGTCAGAAACCAACCCCCTTTCTCACAAAATTTGTAATTCAACTGTTAAACAGAGGTGTGATAGAACTGTTGCAGTCAGAGAAGTGTTTCATGTCTCGCCTGTTCCCACTCCCCAAGAAAGGCAGCGACAAATTGAGGTGGATTTTAGATCTGTCAGCCCTGAGCAAGCTCATTACTAGAACAAGTTTCAAGATGCTCACTTACGATCATCTGAGGCATCTACTTCCGCCCAATACTTGGATTCGAAGATGCCTATTATCACGTGCCTGTTGCTCCCGTATACATAAAGTTTCTAGTGTTCGCAGTGGGGGATGTAAGTTATCAATTCACAGTGATGCCATTCGGCCTGATAATTGCGCCAAAAGTGTTTACAAAACTGGTGAACATCCCCAGAGAGATCCTTGCGAAGGAGGGCATAAGAACTTACGCTTTTCTAGATGACTGGCTGATAGTGGGAACCTCTTTCGAAGACTGTCAAAGGGCGACCCACCGTACACTAGTACTATTTCAAAACCTAGGATTAAAGATAAACCAGGTCAAATCAAATCTCCTACCACGTCAGATATTGGATTGGTTAGGTCTCCAGTGGGATACAAATCAGCAGTCAGTCAGTCTACCAGAAGCAAAAGTAACATATGTGATAAACCAAGTAGAAGCCTTTTGTGTAAAGCAAGAGGTTTCTTGGCATAATTGGTAAAAACTACCGAGTCTGTTGAATTTTGCCACCATAGTAGTGCCTTTGGGCACGTTAAGGAAGAAGCAACTAACTCATCTGGGGTCGAAGTTGCTTCACAGAAACAGAAATATTGCTTCTCCTCTCCCAATTCAGATCAGAATTATCTGTCATGGTGGACAAATTTGGACAATCTAATCGGTTCATCTCCCTGAGTTCCCCCTCAAACAGACTTGGTCGTTTGTACGGATACGTCCGACATAGGATGGGGATGCCATTCCTCAAAAGGAGAGTTCCGTCAAGGGAAGTGGAGCAACTCCCTTTGGGACAAACATATAAACATAAAAGAATAAGCAGTAGTCCTATTCTTTTTGTTGCAAACCCAAATTTAAAAAACAGGACGATTCTGTTTGCCATGGACAACAGAACGGCAGTGTTTTGTCTCAATCATCAAGGCTCAACTTTACCTCAAAGCAACTCGCATACTGGGAGTACAAAACAATTGGGCAGATGAGTTGTCCCGTCTCAGGCCAGTATCGACGGAAACAGAATTTTTCCTAAAGATATAGAAGTTCAAGAGTCTAGTGAGGAGGTTTGGGACTCCACAAATTGATCTCTTTGCCTCAAAACAATCACAAGATGCCAACTTATACATCTCTGAAACGATCGAATGTTTCAGGAAATGCTCTACTCATAGATTGGAACAGTTGAAATTCAATCTATCTGTTCCCACTTGTGAAAATGTTGCCCAAAGTGGTTCACAAAGTCCGATCCTTCTAGGGAAAGGTCCTCTTAATTACATCATATTGGATCCTACAACCGTGGTGTCTGGATCTGCTGGAATGGTGCCCGCATCCACTACGATTGCAACAAGGATGTCTAGACCAGGTACTGCACCCTCAGTACGAGATATCCTTGGCACTTCACCCTTGGAGTTTCTCAAAAGATGCTTAAATAGATTATTGGGTAATTCCAATATAGTTAACCAAGTAATAGCAGGTCATAGACCGCAAACTTCTAGGCAATATGAGAAAGGTTGGAAACTTTTTCAACAATTTATCAGGTTAACTACTCCAATCACATTGCCGGAAACAGTGGTGATAGAATTTTTAGATTTTCTATTCAGATTTAAAGGCCTTCAAGGATTTACAATTGCATCTTATAAATCAGCATTGGTTGACCCTCTGGCTTGGGGTTTTAATATTACTTTGAACCCAAGGATTTATCAAATGCTCAGATCGTCCTTTTTCATTCAAAGACCTCCTCGGCCTAAGAGAATCCCACCTTGGTCTCTGGAAAAAGTTACTAAATTTCTTATGGGGCCTAATTACAATATAAATCTGAACCGGGACAGATTGCTCCAGAAGACAGCCTTCCTTCTAACAATAGCAACAGGTATGAGAATCAGTGAACCGATTTAAATTTCCAATAATGCATCATTACTGGTATTTTCTGAGGAAGAGGTCACCCTTTTTCCTACTGAGATTCAAAGAAAAAATGAAGGGGAGGATTTTCAAGCTCAACCTATCAGGTTAAAACGGCTAATGGATGAGACAAGGGATCCTCATATATTGTGCCCAGTTAAAAATCTTCACGACTGGTTAACCAGATTCCCTAATCGAGGCCTCTATTTATTCTCATCACAAGATGGTAAGAAATTGTCTCCTAGTCAAATGACAAAATATTTATCTCAGTTCGTTAGTCAAGCAGACCCTGGCAAGAAATTTTTGGCACATGACACCAGGAAATATGCAGGGTCTGTGGCCTTTCTGCAGCTTATGAGCCTCAGTCAGATCAAAGAAGTGGGCTTTTGGATATCTTCAAAAACCTTTCAAAACAGCTATGTCCATCTATGTCTGAAAGATACTTCACATGTTGTGGTACTGGGGTCCCCTCCCCCACCTAGTTAATCTCCACAACCAGGACCTTCTTCTTCCTCATCAGAATAAAGTGAGTATCCTAATGGGTATATGTAAATTAAAATTTTACCTTCTGGTAAATGTTCCTAATATTGGAAAATATTCCAAAAAGTTTATAATTATAATCTGGACCTGAGCTAGCGGAGCCTTATACGCAATGTCACCTCCCTCTCCACCTCCCGCTTGGGTAATCAAAGTTAGACGTCGCATTCTGGATTGAACAAAAAACCGTTTTTTCTAAAAAAAAAGACCCAGTTTTTGTGATAAAGTCCATAATGCGACGTCGACATCGCACCCATCTCCACCCCTCGATAGTTGACATTTGTTTACTGCTCGCTCTAGGGCAAGAGATGACGGTAGCAATGCGTGATGGGGATTTGAGAATTGCAATTAAATGCCTGGTAGTGAAGTGTCCTCCTAATATTACGTATTTAAGTAATTAGTGGATGTTTTAATTGACTGTATGTTGGCTCAACGAATTAATACTAGGCATTTACATACCTAGGTTTAAATCTAGACGTCGCATTCTGGACTTTATAAAAAAAAATGTTTTTAGAAAAAACGGCTTTTTTATTTCCTTATAATAGATGACACTGTATTGTTTGTGTCGTATTGTACCAATCAGCTTTTCAGTGCAGAAATCCCTGTAAACACTATAACAGCATTAGAACAACACGACAGCCCTACTGTGACAAAACTCACATGAATAACAATGACAAATCCCAGAAAGAAATCTTCCTGTATAAGGAAGGAAAGAAATGATTATCCAATCCATGAACCCATTTGTGAAAATTTCCTTGAAAAGAACAAAGTGAAGCCTCATTAACAATAATAATAATAATAATAATAATAATAATAATAATAATAATAATAATAATGATAATAATAATAATAATAATAATAATAATAATAATAATAATAATAATAATAATAATAATAATAATAATAATAATAATAATGTACAGTTAAATTATTAATGATAATAATAAGAATATGGTAAAGATAATAAAAGGAAGGGTATGTTAATATGGACAATACTCTCATGAGTACAGTATTATCACTAAGCTACAAACAACACCTCACCTCTACCAAAGTTCAGATTTTTTTCAAAAAATTAAGTCGGGAAATGAATACATAAGTTCTTTACAGTGCAGAACAGTATTGTGTGATAGGCTGACTGAAGGGAATATGCCACCAATATATGGCCCCTTTCCAACATTCACTGATTTGGTATACACCAAACTCTGCTGTGCTGTGCTGTGCTGTGCTGTGCTGTGCTGTGCTGTACTGTACTGTGCTGTACTGTACTGTACAGTATTCACTCAAATAGAACCATCTTTGCATTTGCTTTTCTCCCATAGATATTCTGTCTAAAATTGGTGGACAAGTTAACGTTACCAACTTATGTTTATTGACAGACAATATACAGTACAGTGAAGATGTAACAGTACAGTACAGTATACACTCACATTGACGACAATCTGCCAGCCACCCTGCCTACAAGGACCATGGAGGAATGCCATGATTTTGTGGTATAAGACAAAGCCAGTTAATATTATAAGAAGGATGTTAGTATGAAACAGTATTTTGAAATGTCACAAGACTGAATATGGCAAAAAAGACTGAATATGGCAAAAAGGAGAGAAAAAAGTAATAGGTAACTAAATCAGAAAAGTAATTAAAAAAATATATGAGAATAGTATTTCTTTACTTGCCTTAATCGAAACACTGTCGGGACAACTGTTCTGTAACCTCCAAGAATCTCCAAAGATGTTGACTAATGCTTCACTGGAACCACCTGAAGGAGTCTGGAAGTCATCCTGTTCATCTCCATTGTAATTGCCACACAATCCTCGTACCTACAGAAGGTAGAGATTTTAGTATTAGTTAGAAGCAACAATGATTACTGTACTACTAATACAGTGATCTGCTTATATCTCATCCCCATTAGTTTGATTCTGACATCAGTTTTGGTCTCGGTTAAAAATTAAATTTCAGAGTTGTTTTCAGACCACCCGACATTAATAAGAACATAAGAAGTATAATCATACACATCATTTCATTTCTCTTTCTTACATAAACCAAGGGCTTAGTATAAGTGACCAAAGATTTTGACAATTTCACAAGACAAGTCTGACTAATTAGTGTTTCTTCTTTCAATAGCATATAAGTTAATACTGCGAGTGTACTCGTATTTATTGAATTGTTATTTCACTTCCTTCTTTGTTACAATCATCATTTAAATATAAATAATGCTTCAATTAATTGTTTTCATAAATGTTCACTACCTCACTAGTATAGTAAGTTTCCTCGCATTCATAGCTTTACCATGATCAAACCAATGTAACTAGAGGATTCATATTTTGATTGTAGATGTAAAAAAAATATATATCTTTATTCTATGAGGTTAATATTATCATTTGGAGAAAAAATTTACTTCGTTCTTGCCGCACACAGGGCTCGGCCAGGAAACCCAGTCCTGCAGTTTTTGGGGTTAATGACCAGTCAACGAATCAGATATTGCCACAAAAAACTATCGTACGCTGGACAGATAGAAATAACATACAGTTATCATACATTTGGACAAACTGTACACATATTTTAATTATCAATTTAATTACCTGTACGATTCGAAACAACAAATTAACAAAATGATGAACAAAGGAGCAATGAACAAAAAGGACTCTCATATACATCCATCTTGTGGCCATCACTATACTTTACTTTATCTTCTTCACCACTGATTGGCCTGATAGCTGCTTGGGCAGTTGGTTATATCTCTATTACACACTGTTGGACATGTACTGGCTCCAAAATGTATCTCTACCTGCACCAGTGGCCAGTATTTGTAAAGTCTGGTCTTAAATGAGCTCACACTCTGTGCTGTCACTCTGGCAAAATATTTACAACTCTCACTGCAAAAATATTTGCCCTAACAATTTTATGAACTCGTGACGTCTTTAATCTGAGGCTGTGACAGTCTCCAGCATATCTTGGGGACCAGACGTGGTGATAGTACTTCAAACGGGGAAACTCCTCACCTTTGAAAACAGTCATGAGCGACAGAACATCGACTGAAGGTATGTGAACTATGATTTCTCAGAATTACTTGTGTACCTCTAACAACAAGATTCATTTCTTGGTGACCAAGAGTCAAATAGTGTTGATTTTCACATTATTGTATTAAACTCCTAAGGTGTTACCTGTTACTCACTATCTTTGCAACCTCATTCAAATTCAAACCAGAATTTTCATATGCAAAGTGGAGTCTCACAGCCCAGGACTTGATATTATTATGGAGGGAATACATATTAATTTCTTCCACTAATGTTCGTTCAGTTCTGGTGCAATGAACGACAATTAAGACACAATTGCAAAACTCAATTCCTTAACACGTCCAGCCTACTTAAGTTTGCAATGCTAGCCGAGGCAAATGCATTAGAGCCAGGGACTTATAAAATCTATTTTACAAAAAAGTATCCTTCAGGTCTCTAGTAGAGCCACGAAGGTAGTTATGACAAAATATATTTCCTTATTTATTTTCTCATAGCACAATTTGAGTTTCCTTGTTAAGTCTATGATAAAAATGAAGACCAACACCTCAACAGACTTTTGAACAGAAATTGGGATGTTTAGCTTTGTTTTAAAATTTTCCCTCACAGGTTGAATATTATGACTTTACCTTTCCTTGCCAGAGAGGATCAAGTCTGAGGTAGGCACGGGTTCCACGGTCCCACTGCAGCACTAGACCTATATCTGTCACCTCAGCAAAAACAAACACTCCTGCCTCACGGATGATGGTTCTTGTCATATTCCTGGTAATTATAATATTAAGTGGATGTAAGTATTCATCCTGCATGTATGCATAAGACAATATAATAAATATGAAATAACAAATAAATAAACATAAACATGAAATAACACTTTAGGTCCACACAGTGATAGTTGTGGTAGGGACAGTGCAAAGACAATACCTCTGAAACATCAGCTGATCTGATTTAAACAATCCCTGTACTGGACAGTTCCTAGTAAACATGCCCGGTACCAATAAATATTTGTAATGTGTATACCGTCGGTACCTATACGCATAATTATATCCCTTTGTATTAAATGAGGTAAATTTTATTAATACCAACAAATGTTTGATAATAATAGGTCCATAAAGTGATAGTGAGCTGTGGTAGTGAGAAACATGATAGCTTAGTGGATCTCTCCCCTACAACAGCGTAGCCGAATACCATAGCAACGGAGTTCAACCACCGGCGAGGTTCTCACGGGAGGGGGGGGGGAGGGTTTGCCACTTGGGTGGCCGGTAATAAAGTCACAGGAAAGAATGTCACAGAAAAAAAGTCACAATTTTGGCTAGGAAAAAAAGTCACAGGAAAAAAAAGTCACAATTAATTTATGGTGGCCGGTAATAAAGGTTAGGTTAGGTTAGGTTAGGTTAGGTTACCATCAGTTCTGCATATTCCTTTACTGAAACTGATTGACATATTAACCTTAAAAAATGTGAGAATTCGATAGTTAACTTTTCTTTTTTTCCTGTGACTTTTTTTCCTGTGACTTTTTTACCTGGATTCGCCACCTGCGATACTCTTCCTTACATCTGACAAGCGTAGCCCAATAGCCTAGCAACGGAGTCCAGCAACCGGCGAGTTCCCACGGGTTTACTCCCGGCTGCTGTGTACTGTATATAAGCCCCTACTATCTCCGTGTGCTCCTTCTAAAATTCACTTCAATCCTCCCTTTACCCTTCCCCTGAACCTCTTTCCCCCCTGTCACTAGCTTTTATTCATTTATTCATTCGTGTGGGGCATTCAACTTGGAGGCCAGCAACACACAACATCTCTAACGAAGCTCCTGCACAGCTACTGCCTTCAGCACGCTACTCACCGAACGTGTCTTCTGAGCAAGCTTCTCACCACACGGCATCTCCAGCACCAGACTGTCTTGTATATAATATATATTATTTAAGAAAACCACCACCTAGAGTTTCCATCCATCCCATCCTGAGTGCGAGACAACATAACCTAACGTAACCCTACAATAGCATGCATGCATGCATGCATGTATGTATGTATATATATATATATATATATATATATATATATATATATATATATATATATATATATATATATACATACACACTATATATTGCTAATTATAGGGTGCATCTTACGACCTGGGAAATATGGTGGGCTGTACTGTCCTGTAGTGTTGACTCCTCTTAATTCCTGGCGCACAGCCTCAGATTTATTTTATTTATTTTCAATATCAATCCTTGAGTTTCTGAGGGACGCAAGCTTTAAAACCGTGAGCTTTAAGGGATATTGAATGTATTTTATTTTCTCTTACAGTTCAAAAAACTATAGTCCTAACAAAACTCTGTCTCTGGTGATTGTCTTTTAAAATATTCACTTCTTTAACATCATTTATGTTATACAGTTTCTCATAATTTTTAACACCTATTTCTAGTATTTTTTACTCTCCAATAATTATACTGTACAGTACTATATGTACACTTCCAAATTTTTGGCCAGTCTTTTTTCTTCTAAAACTTACTACAGTAAACCCTCGAAGATCTGGACCCGGGAAATCCGGATTTCGGAAGATCCGAACAAAAAAATGGGGTTCTGGGCTAAGAAGCCTCCTTGAAGTTTCCCTTAGAAACATTCTCAAACCAGAGCAAAGAATATTTTAGGCTCGTGGGCGCTGCTTGACCCGTCAGTTGCTTGGACACAGGTGCCCGAGGGTGTGGGAAACATAAACAGAGTTGACAATTGTTTGGGGGAATATTATTTCTTTACTTTTATCCTCTTCACCACTGATAGGCTCGTTAGCCGCTTGGGCGATCGGTCACGTCTCTGTTACGCACTGTTGGCAGGTACTGGGCATGCACCGGCTCCTGAATGTACCTGCACCTGCTCCAGTGTTGGTCAAGTCTGGTCTTGAAAGAGCTCACACTCGATGCCGTCACAACACTTTCTGGTAGATTGTTCCAAGATTTCACAACTCTCACTCCGAAAAAGTTTGCCCTCACACTTTTCTGGACCTGCGGCTTCTTCAATCTTGAGCTGTGACCCCTTGTGGGGCGAGCGTCCGCCAGCTCCAAGTAAGGACACTCGACAATCGGCTTTCCGGACAGGTGGTCCCCCCCGTTTAGTCCGGATTTGAAGGTTCACTGTACTCTTTAAAGATTTAAAATACACATTTTATGCCACCATCAAACCTCCTCATATATTCTTACTTACATCTCTGGCCTTATATTTCCATCACTCACCTGAAAGGTGTGGGTTTATTTTGTGAGAACTCAATGATCTCCTGGGCATCTCCTTTACCAACCCTCAGTGTGATGGACTTGGCACAAGTCACTCCACTGGTCCCACATGGTACATTCTGGGGATTATCAAAACAATATACAATACAGTCTCTCCTCTTTCCTCTTTGATGTCTTGAAAGTATGTTATGGTGATTTTGTGTTGACCAACATCAGCAGCTCCTAACTTTAAGACTATGACACGGAATCTGGTCAACAAACACATACCAAGACTTAAGTTGCAGAAACAATGCATAACTTTAAGTGAGGGAAAAGAGAATCTCTTTCATATATCCATCGGTTTAATTTTTAATCAAAATGGTCAAGACAATAATACTCTTGTTTAACTCTGCAATATACTACAATCAGTTAAGAACAATACACCATTCTAGTCTGGATCTCGATGTTAACTAGATTTTTAGTGAGAATATTGCTTGGCTTTGAGGATTCAAGTGTCACAGATCTGATCAAAATGAGCATGTTTGTTGGTGAGGGAAATACAAAGGTCGTGCTCCATTAATTGACTTGTTTCTATGCTACATTTTAATTGGGTTCGAGCGAAGTAACCTGCCTCATAGAGCAAGTTCACCCAAAATGGAAGACAACCTTCAATACATCCAACACAAAAAGATAACTTGTGAGAAAGGTTTTACTATCACTTTAGAAACACTTCAAGATCCTAAAATTATGAAAAACTGACATATGTACAGTAATGAATTGGTTCTCACTCTCTTGTTGTAAAACCTTACATAAACATTAGAATTAATCTGATTACCACTCTTAAAATATTAGTTAGATAAATTATGTTTCAGGGAAGAAAGACAAAAAGCAACACCAGACAAGAACGCAAAAGCACCAAGTGTCCGAGGGAGCTTTAATAACAAACAGTTATGCGTGTCAACATCCTGTATAGTATAAATATTTACAATTGGATATTAGCTCACTCTGATTCTTTGATGGCTGTTATCTCCTGGTGTCATAAAAGCTAACGGACTGACACTCACTGGTTAACCTCTAAAGGACGTACAAGATTAATTATTATTGTCCAATAAAAAATATCCAGTGTGAGCTAAGATGAGTATGATCGTCCCTCCATAAATCACCCTAAATTTGTTCTGGCATCTCTCCCTCTGTCCTCCGTCTTCCTATACACACTTTCAGTAAGCATTTTTGTCACTTAGGCTGTAATGACCTGAGCAGTTATCAGAAGGTTGTTTATTCCACTTAATTTTGCTATATCATTTTAAGCCAAATAAAGATTCTTCAGCACATACCTGTATTACGACCTCAAAGTTATCCACGTCAGAGGTCTTTCCCTTGGCCAGGAGGTAGTCGCAGTCGCCTTGAAATTCATAGAGGCGGCCATCAAAGGTCTTGTAGTGAGAGTCTCCCCAGGCAGTGCAGATTCCTGGACACTGTTTCTTTGTACACAGCCACATGCCACTCTTACATACACTATAATGAAAGGTGGTGATGAAGATGAAAATCTCGAAAAAAATTTTGGCATGATGGAAACTATAAATTTTCGAAAGAAATCAAGTACCTAAACTTTAGTAAACAAAAATTAGGATACATTTTTAGAAAGGAAATTTTATTTTAAACAACTCTTACCCTAACCTACCGGTAAGTACATTTTCAGAAAAAAATATATATTGTACCTAAATGAAATTTCAGAGTATTTGCACAGAGGATCTGAATTTGTCAGTCACCCCTAATAAGGTGAGTAGGCTCTGGGAAAAGCCCCCTCAGGATCACAATAGAAAATTAGGAAAATAAATGGGATATCATTCGACAGACAAAAAAACGTAGTAAACTTTAACCTTTCAAAAGATTTTCTTACATCCAGATCCTAAAGTAATATAGAGAGAACAGCACAAGATTTCTTGATAACATTGAGGCAGAGGATAGTGGATTTGATGAAAAACTGGGACAGACTCTTGTGAGTTATATACAAGGAGAAAGTAGTGGAGGAAAGTGCACTCGTACAGAACCAGAGGAATGGAGAAGGGGGGACAACGAGTCATTCAACGAGTCATTCTCCTGCCCAAAGAACTCCCAGCCAGGAAGAGGTGTGCAATATATAAATAAATATATACCCAACCATAACCCACACAATATGGTGAACATAGTAAACAGGGAAGCTGTTGAGAATGAAAGGAGACTAGATTTTGTTTAAAAGTCACAAACAGTGGCAATTTCCTCGACAAAACAGTAGAGTTTAAAACTCTAGTGAAGACACATTAACCTGATTTAGTTGGTGTTGTGATACTGTTGTATAAGAACAGGAGAATCAACCTGGAGCATTTTGAGGTTAATTTAGATGGCTATGTCTTATTTATGAAGCTCTCTGAAGCAGCCTGTAAGAGGTGTATGGTTATTTTTTACTAGATAGGACCTTGGAGCCATCCAGGAGAAGGTGTAGGGGGAAGATATTTTTAAAGAATGAAATGGTGTAAAATTAAACTGAAGGGAAGATATTCCCAAATTGTATTTTATTACACTACAGGAACTTAAGAGCTTCAACAGACAACATAATATTGTTCAACTCTAACCACCTCCTTGTCATGTGGGACTTCAAGTATGGTAACATCGACTGAAGGACTGAAATTACACCCAATGATCTACAGGTCTTTTTGTTGAAACTACGAGAGACAATTTCCTATTTCAACAAGTTAAAGATCCAACTCACTATAGAGGGGAACAAACGCCAAAAATGTTGGGTCTCATCATAACTAACAAGGAGGGCATGGTGGCCAAGTTGAAACATTTAACCCCCGTTGGCACCAGCCGTTACGTGATGTTGTCCTACCCGATTAGAGCAGACAATGGTTCAAATATAACAATGGTGATTACAACAGAATAAGTGAGGAAATAAAAGGTTTTTACTGGCCTGATTTGTTGAAAAATAAGAATGTGGATAATACTCTGAATAGCACATGCAGTAGAGTGAGGAAATGCAAAGTTGAATGCTACAAAGGTCAACTAGTCTCTCTTTTACTTTACTTTTATCCTCTTCGCCACTGATCGGCTTGTTAGCCGCTTGGGCGATCGGTCACGTCTCTTTTCATTTATATTCTTCACCAAAAGATCGGCTCGCTAGCCGCCCGGGCGATCGGTCACGTCTCTGTCATGCACTGTTGGCAAATACTGGGCATGCACCGGCTCCTGAATGTACCTGAACCCGCTCCAGTGTTGGTCAAGTCTTCTCTTGAAAGAGCTCACACTCGATGCCGTCACAACACTCTCTGGTAGATTGTTCCAAGAGTTTACAACCCTCACTCCGAAAAAGTTTGCCCTCACGGTTTTCTGGACTTGCGGCTTCTTCAATCTTGAGCTGTGACCCCTTGTGGGGCGAGCGTCCGCCAGCTCCAAGTAAGGACACTCAACTGAGTAGTGCCCCCTGAGATGCTTATACACCTCAACTAGGTCCCCCCTTGCCCGTCTGTAGTATAAGCTAGGCAAGTTCAGGCGCTCCAATCTCTCAGGGTAGCTGAGGTGCCGAAGTGCAGGCACCAGTTTGGTGGCCCTCCTTTGAACATTTTCAACCAACTGACAGTCCCTAGCATATCTCGGGGACCAGATGGGGTGACAGTACTCCAGATGGGGAAGCACTTCACTCCTGAAGATCGTCATGAGGGACGGACCGTCTAGATATCTGAACGACCTTCTTATAAGACACAATAATTTATTTGCCTGATTTACCTTCTTCTCACAATGGCCCGAGAACTTCAGCTCATTGTCAACATACACACCTAGGTCCTTCTCACACACAGTCTCAACTAGTGCATTTTCTTCATCCCGTTGGGACATATGATACGCCTCCTTACCGTTGGTACGCCCCAGGTGCATCCTCTTACACTTCGTGACATTGAATCTCAGCAGCCATTTCTTCGACCATTCCTGGAGCCCACAGAGGTCCTTCTGCAGCTCTTCACAGTCCGCTTGGTTCTTAATTTCCCGAAATAACTTGCCATCATCGGCAAACATTTGTATGGAAGAGTGTACAACGTCAGGCATGTCATTTATGAAACAAACAAACAACAGCGGGCCCAATACACTACCCTGCGGTACCCCACTTGTTACAGGTACAGATGACGATTTCGTGCCATTAATCACCACACACTGCTTGCGGTCATGTAGAAAGTCTTCTATCCACGCTAGGACATTTCCCCGAATTTCGTACCCTTCCAGTTTGATTGTCAGCCTTTCGTGGGGTACACTGTCGAAAGCCTTGGCAAAATTTAGGTAAATATTGTCGATATTACCACCCCGTTCTAGAATATGGGTCCAAATATCCAATACCTTGAGCAATTGTGTTAAGCAAGAGCGCCCCGGCATAAAACCGTGTTGGCAATCTTTTACAAGGTTGTTTCGTAGTAGATGTTCCATCGCGGCATCTCTGATAATACTCTCAAGTACTTTACATATTATGCTGGTCAGGCTCACCGGTCTATAGTTGTTCGTGGAGTGACTATCGCCCTTCTTGAAGATAGGACTCACATAAGCCACTTTCCATTCACTGGGGACCATTTGTTCATCCAGGCATTTACAAAACAGAATCTTCAGGGGCTCTGCAAGCTCGTTGCACAGCTCTCTTAGCACTCTAGGATGCACCATGTCAGGTCCGGGACTCTTATGGACCTTTAGCCTGGACAGTTTATTTCTAATACCCTCTTCTGTGAACACAATGTGGGTCAGTGCTGTGTCGAACCGTCTGTCCTCAAACGCAGGAAGGTTAGTTGCATCCTCTCTTGTGAACACTGAGGAAAAGAAGCTGTTCAATGCCTCAGCTTTATCCTGGTCAGAATCTGCGTAACTACCATCTTCAAGCCTCAGGTCTGATACTCCTACTCGCGTTTTCAATTTCGACTTTGCATAGCGGTAAAACGCCTTTGGGTTTGACTTGACCTCGCGTGCAACCAGCCTTTGGAACTCCTTTTCAGCCCTCCTACACTCTATCTTTGCTTGGTTTCTGGCTCTTGCATACATCCTCCTGTCTTGCTCATCGTTTGACCCAACCCACGTCTTGAATTTCTGGGTTTTCTTCTTAATTTTGTCGACCGCCGCATGGTTCATGTGTAGGGATCCCCTCGTATTCCTAGAAGCACTGGGTTTGGTCTTGGGTATATATTTATCGATCAAATGGGTCATTTTACTAGTTATGATATTCAGCGTAGTGTCTGCGTTCTTGTACCTTAATAAGTCAGGCCAGTTGATACCCCTCGTGGCAGTGATCAGGAAAAAAATGTATGCAGTTGTGAATGGATTGTTGGGTCAGAGGTCTGGAACTACTAGGTATGCCTACTTCCACTTAGGTTGCTCAGCTTGACTCGGATTTGTCATTGATTTTTATGACAAAGATATTATGCAAAAGAAATGACCTTTATTGTGCTTCTTTGATTGAGGAATTTAAAGGTGAATTTCAACCAAGTTACATCATAGACCTCACTCTTTCATTGTGGGTCCTGTAGGGGTGAACAACATTCTGTGCTATATCAAGGATTTGAAGACGACTTTTTTGTTGTCTTGTTCCTGCAAATGTACCTAAGATACCACTCACTTATGAACATGCTGCAGACTAACTTCGTAGAATCATAAATAAATGCTTTGCAGAGAGGAAGTTTGTGATATCTGAGAAACAGGTTTTATCACATCCATTTTTTTTTCTTAAACCTGGTCTTGATACTGAAAATATGACAAATTATCGTCCGGTCTCTAATCTCTCATTCTTACCAAAGATCATAGAGCTCGCTATTCTGGATCAGTTATTTCCTCTTTTAGAGAGAAATGGAGTGATCCCTCTGGTCCAGTCAGCCTATAGGAAGGATCATTAAACCCTTATACAGGAAAGTCCTCTCTCCTGGTCTTGCTGGATCATCTTCATCATCTGCTGCTTCAAGATATTTGGTGGTTTGGTATCCGTGATGATGCACTCTCACTGTCGTTTACAGACTATACTAGTAGTTTTGCATCCCTGTTGGATACTCATGGAGTTGCCTGCCATTTCTATGCCGACGATACATAGGTTTACGTACAAATGATAAATGTCGAGGATACAGTATTGAGAAGATAATGAAATCCTTGATGTCTAATATTTAGATTTGGATGGTTAGGAGAAAGCTTAAGCTGAATGATGACAAAACCAAGATTATCGCCATCCAAGGAAGTACAACTCAGTCCTGTCAATTCTGTTTGTAATCTTGGAGTGAACTTTGACTCTCAAACTGAATTTTAAAGAGCATATAAATTCAATAGTTAAGAGTTGTAACTTTCATATTCAAAATCTATATAATTTTAAACAGTTTTTGGATAGACAGTGTCTTGTGACACGATTACATTTATTTGTTTTGTCTCGGGTTGACTATTATAACTAAGGGTCTGACTACATAATTAACTACTGAAAAAAGTTCAGAGAGTCTTGAACAGACTTTCCAGGCTTATATTTGATCTCCCACTGAGGACTTCCACTAAGCCATTCTTGATCGAATTATACTGACTTCCAATTAAGCAAGCATAGATTTCAAACTCTGCCTAAAGACTTTTAAGGTGAGCCTAAGTGTTTTTGGCCAACCTACTATATACTCTGACCACAATTTCTTTAATGATTTTACATAGTAGCGATGATCCTTCACCCCTTGGAGAGCCCTAGAGCAATATGGGAATGTTCTTTTGCTGCCCGATTCTTTTCCTATACAACACCCAGATTGTACAATCAGTTGCCTGCATCTATGAAACAACTCACATCTATGGGGGCCTTTAAGAAACGACTTATGGCCTTTTTTTTACGGTTTATTATCCTGAATAGGGTACGGTATGGTGATGGAGCCTGAATAGGGTGCGGTATGGTGATGGAACCTGAATAGGGTGCGGTATGGTGATGGAGAAATAGAGGTTTAGGAAGAGTTACAACTTAAGGATATATAAACTGTAATTTTTTGTGATCTTTTTTTTGTACTATTTTTTATTCTCAGATCCATGACTTTGTAGTGTTTCGAGTGCTTTAGAAGACCTAGCGCTTTTGAGAAACAAAACACCAGGTATTTATATTATTATTATTATTATTAACCAAGACCAGACCCACTGGCTCTAGGTCTACAAAGAGACAAGTTAAGAAAAAATCTCAGAATTTCAAGAGATGAGTCACGACAAATGATGAGCAGGATAGAAGGATGTGTGCCGGGTCCAGCAACAAAGCAAGTCAGGGAATTCCTGAGGCGGATTGTAAATGAGGCAAAGTTAAACCAAAAGGCATTCTACTGTAACACAAAATGAAAATTATTGACACTTGTGGGCAATATCAGATCTGAGACTTGAAGATGGTAGTTATGCAGACTCAGATCAGGACAAGAAATAATCCAAGAAGACCAAACAACTTGCCAACTGCACTGGCTAACCATCACTCAGGAACATGATTCACAAATCACTAATCTGGGTCCCCAATTATTGCTAGGTAAACAAGTAACCACGACTAACCCACACAAGCGAGGAAAATGGCAGCAAAACAATGATGATACAGAAGTACATTGCGTAAAGAAACCTGCCCACAGCTTCAGGCAGCCAGGGAATTGAACCCAGGACTACTTGCTCGTGGGGTAAACATGCCGACCATTAAACCAAATATCACTCTCAAGAGAATATACTCATATCTTGTCTCCAGGCTGGTGGTCATCAAAGGACCCAGAGTTGCCATAATACAATACTGTACTGGACTGCAACAATGAGTTAAAGGAAGACCAAACAGAGGAAATATGCTTGACCAAATATTATGATTTATTTAGAAGTCATAAAATGTATAGTGGAGTTGTTTGTAAGTACATGAATAGCAGTAAAAAATTTATAGTTCTTCTGTCACTTACTACACATTACTGTTTATGGGATCAAGAGTGTCTATGTCCTTACCATGTGTTGCAGTCTTCTGTAATGCTATCCTTTTCATTGTAGGAGCGGCCACCATGATGGCAAGGACAGTCCTTACGAAGGACACACACACCACTTGTGGAATCACGCACGTAATCTGCAGCACAAGTGCAGCCTGGACGACATGTCTCATCAGCGATCACTTTTAAGTGCATTGTCTGTAATAACAATTTCAGAATATAAGTAACAAAAGTTGTATTGTAATTAAAAAAAATTCTCACAAGCATATTAGCAAGTAGAAACGGAGGAAATCAGAGATCTAATCAACTACCAGAAGAGCCAATAAACTGACGAGTGGTGAAGAAGCAAAAGTAAAGCAAACAATGACCTAATTAACTCACAAGGTAAATGTTGACACATAAAATTTAATTTTGTGCTAATCATCCAACTCTAACATCAGTGTGTTCGTACTAGCCCTTCAGAAGAAATAGGTACCCAGTTTAAAACAATTAGAATAATAAGTTATGTCTACAAAGTTTTACTATACAGTAATATCTCCATTTGCCGGAATCCCTCAAACCCGGAAATCTCCGCTAGCCGGAATTTAAATTTGCTCGGAAAATCATTCCCAACTAACCAACCTTACCTACACATTACATACACACACACACACACACACACACACACACACACCCCCCAACACCACTCACGCACTCCCAGTAGGGGAATTAAGACACATCTGTGTGTGTGTGTGACTGCATGGTAGCGAGTTAAATACCAGCTCTTGAGGAGCGCTTGGCAACACTCATTTCCACTCCAGCTCTCTAATCACCCACACCTTTCTGCTCTCACTCCATATTTTAAAATGTTATGCAACGTAATGTTGAAGGGATACAAATTTGCTCATTTATATTTATATCTGTACTTACCACAATCTCTCTAAAAATAGGTTTAGTGTTTACTCAAGACGTCTTCAGGTCACAAGACCCACTAATCCTCCACCCAAGAAAGGGTAACCTGACATTCCATCAGATCAGTAATATGAGACCACTAATCCCCATCCTACCTCCACCTGACTATGCATCAGGTCAGATCAGTTACACAAGACCCACTAATCCCCCATAGCTTTATGGGAGTGGAAAATAACGGTGTTTGCTGTAACACAGTTTCATTTATGTGCATATTTTTAATTTTTCAATACAGCAAGTCCTAAATTAACAACGTCCCGTTTAACGTTGTTTCGGTGATCCGATATTATGTCGTTTTGCGTCGTCAAGGACTACTTTCTACGGCGCATCACCCACTCCTGTCTGGCCGCGCTACACTCTCTAAGGCTTTTCGTCTCCCAATTTAGGGTGAACTCGATATGTTTGTGATCATTGTTCCCTAGTTCTTCCTTTATTACGATATCTTTGATAATATTTTCTTTATTTGTTAATACTAGGTCTAATATATTGTCACCTCTAGTAAGTTCTGTATTTAGTTGCAGGTTCCAAGTGTTCCCTGAAGAAGGCAGTGATGGGTAGGGAAACACCGGGTAACACTGAAGTCCATTTATTAACGGATAGGAGAAATACAAGTGGTGATTAGTGTGTGACTGCACGACCCACAGAGTCAGACTGAGACTGCATTGCCATATGGCAGCCTCGGGGCAATGTTGCCACATAACGCGTGCAGTGTTGCCACGTAATTACATTTATAAATGCTACTCGGCACAGTAGCTTATTTACAAAGTTGCTACTCGGCACAGTAGCATAGATCCATAACCTACAGTAGGTAGTAGGCAGCTACCAAACAGGGAGGTACTACTTCCTGGGAAGATATTGGAAGCATAATGTATTGTCTAATGGTACACCCTGCTGCTATATGGCATCACGAAAATTGTGACCAAGTCCCAGGTTGCTGATCTGTCTTTCTGCCTCATTTACACACAATTGCAGGGTCTCAATTGTTTCTCTTACTTTGACAACACAACATACATATATCGTTTCTCACTCTTGATTTTATTTTCATTTTTGTATTTCTTTATGGTTCCATATTATTTTTTCTCTCCCCTAGGCCCGGATGTGGCTAATCCCTGTTTAAAAAAAAATATATGTTCTGTACTGCGTCTAGGAAGTCTTCAGATTCATAGTCACCTTTAATGTTGTCCCAGTCGATATTTCTGAAGTTGAAATAACCCCATAATGCACAGGTTGTTGTATTTTACTGCCCTACCCATTTCCTGCCATATGGGCTGAGCTGCTTCTTTCCCAAGACTTAGGGGCCTGTAAATCACTCCCATACTTAGTTTTTCTCTTTCTTTTGCAATTTCTACCCACACAGACTCGGTTCCTATTTCACCCTTTATTGAATTATTAATACAACATTTCAATATATCCCTGACGAAGAGTGCGACCCCTGCCCCCTTCCTACCTTCCCTGTCCTTGTGAAAAAGGTTGTACCCTTCAATGTGGTATTCGGATAAAAAGTTCTTGCTCGCCAGATTCATCCAAGTTTCGGTGATTGCTATGACGTCTACATTCTCGGTACCTACAACCGCTCTCAGCAAGTCTATTTTATTTCTAACGCTCCTACTGTTTGTATAGTATACATTTAAACCTACCCTTCCCTGATCCTTTTGTACCTCTTGTCCTGAGCAACCAATTTTACTCCCCAGGGCCTGCTTGTTTTTTACTCCCACTTACCCTGACCTCTCTCTACTGGAGAACCCCCCCCCCCCCCCCCCCACCTTTGGAGTGACAATTTCACGCTCCAGGGATGCAGACAACGTCTTTACCTCCACGCGAAACAAGTATACTCCGTCACGACTGTACAGGTAGTCGTTGCCATAAAATGGTTGCCATTTATCAATGAACGCCCAGCCATTGCTTGCACAATGTTTTTCTTGTCGGCCATTTATAGCAATTGTCCTGGACAGCCATTCACCGCCAACTCCTCTTCTAGGCAAGACACCACATACTATTCGGATCCCTCCCACATCTCTAACCTTCCCTAGCGCCTCCCTATACCTCTTGCAAAGTTCCTCACTCCTAACCTTTCCTATGACACACTACTGGCTTGGTACCCTCCTGACAAAACCCTATCTATCCTCTCAGCTACATGCCCTATCCCAGCCCCAGGAAAACACGCCCTAGTCCTACGTTTCTCATCTCTTGCACAAAAAGCCCTATCTAAGAAACTCACCTGGCTGTCCCCACCTACCACGAACTTACCACTGGGCAGGGTTTGAACAACTGCCCTTTTCTCCTGGCACCACACCGTCCTGCCTCTTCTCTTCCTCGTCCGGACTCTTCTTCTCTTTCTCGCCAGCTTCCTCCAACACTTGGTAGGGCTTACTGCACGCTATACACTTGTCAGCTTTCTTGAGTCTGACCCTAGTTCCCATGGAGACAACTACTCTCCACCCCTGCTCCTCCTTCAGTCCTGAGGGCTTTGTTCTCCCCCTTTAAAACGTCTATCTCTCTCCTCATCTGCTCCAGCTGACTTAACAGAGTGGCCAGGGGGTCGTCTTCCCCCACAACACAACGATCCACGGCGGCCATTTCCTATGGTCACTAACACGAGCACTTTGGGGCACGTCCTTCTCCAAGCTGGGTCAGGTAAGTTTGCAGAGTTGAATAGTTCCATCATGTGTGGTGTTACTTTGAAATCTCTACAACATTTTCCTTGGACCGGGAGGTGTGAGCGAACTCTAATAATTGCGTCCAACATTTCTGAAACGAGCCGATTTCGTGATTTGGTTTTGACGTTGGTTAACGTGGAAAATATTCTTTCAACAACAGCATTGCTCGTTGGTGTTGTGAGGCAAGCCATAGCATAAGTCCCTATTTGTTCAAAGGGCCGTTTACCTGTTGAATTCTTGTATTGCAACACCCCAGACCAGAAAGAGATAGAATCTGTGGGAATTTTGCCATCAAAAACTGACTCCTCCGCCCAAGACAAATGATGTATTTTTCTGTAGTGCTGCTCAATGGTATCTTCTTTTTCACTTCGAAGGTGAGGCAGTGGAAGGTCTTTGAATGGCACTCGTTCAGTCTGGTTCAATACCTTGCATGGAGCAAACACACTCAAGCCTTTGAAGATCCCCATCGATGCTGGAAGCCTGCTTTCCACTTGTTTCAAGGCCTCGCTAAAAAGACCAGCACATCGCTTTTTTTACTTCATCTACCTTACCTACTGCTTCAACAGAGTGATTCTGTTGGTTTGTGAAGGTGTACAACTCGTGCATGAATTTGGCACCATAGTCGACCATGTTTTGTGGAAATGATTTTCCTTTCCTGTCAAGGATTCTATCTTACAAACTCTTGTGGTGCAGGACCAACTCACTTACCAGTTTTTCAGGATCAACATCTGTTGTTTGAAAAAGAGAATTAACTCTTTCGAATTATGTAACAATTGGTGACACAAAGTGAAAGTACAACAAATTGATTGGATCCTCCAGCATACCCAGAATTTCTCTTGCCTTGTAGCGACAGGAATCTTTTGCTCTTGGAACTGCAACAGCAAAGTCGGCTTTCAGTTCCTTCCAGTTTAAGAGGATATTGTAGAGGACTTTTCCTCGAACTAGCCATCGTGTACACGAGTTTCTGAAGGGTAAAAGGAGTGACCTTTCGTTCTTCCTTAGCATCCATTACACTAAATAGTTCCTTAAATGCATCTCTACCGATGATGCTCTTACTGAACCACTTAAGAACTTCATGCAAGAGGTATCCAAGATTAGATGGCAGCTTGTCAAAAGCCTTTTCAATGCAGTTTGGTGACCGTTTTCTCACTCTCGACCACACTGAGTTATGTTTACCAATCATCGAAGATGCACCATCACTGCCAAACACGACACAGTCAGATCACTTTAATCCTATCTTCCCCAGGGTGTTGCTCAGTGTCAAAAACACTTCATGACCCGTAGCCCCAACAATGGGCACAAGGCCAACAAATTCTGTGACAATTCTCGATCTTGAAACACTATAATACCTCACAATAACACAAATATGCTTATCTGTGGCCACATCTGTTGCTTCGTCAACAAGCACGGAGTACTTCTTGCCCTTTGCATCATCTTGTAATTCCTCAAACAATGTTGAAGCGATTACTTTGGAGAGCAACTTGCTGCACTTTGTACGATGGAGCTGCAGATTCTCTAGTTTACTTCCTTTACCGTCCTTTTTCATAATTTCCCCAAGGTGGTCTACAGTACACTTGCTGTTGAAGAGTGACA